TCTGTATGAGGCAAAGCAAAGCTGGTTTTCTGTTATCTTGTTCTTGTCTGGAGCTATTCTCTCCCCTTTATCTTTCCTTATCCTTCTCTTCTTGTATATCCTTGCCATATCATATGATATCTAAGACCCTTGCTCCTGTGTCACGTGATATCCTTCAGAGTATAAACCATTTTCCCCAGTACATTACTAAGTATTAGAACTATAATATTATTATTATATAATAGTAATAAATATAATAATATATATAATATAATACTAAAATATAATAATAATAATAAATAGTAAAAGTAATAGATAGAATATACTTAATATAATACTATACTAGTAGTGGAATACAATCTTAACAAGTCTGGGGACCAGACTATGAAAGGGGGGGAAGAGTTGTGAGGAACGGAGTAAGAATATATATATGGTATGGCTGCGCTTAGGCTATAGGTTATATACTCTAGGGGAAAGTAGTATTTAAGCTATATATAGTATCTACCTTAGTTTTACTTTTTAGTTATCAGTTTTAATACTAATCCATACTTATTGCTCCCCATCCTAATATCATGCTTACATTCACCCCTTACAAAATCCTTTTAATATTATATAGAATATCTCCCTTTTTTAGGATATATTAATTAACTTACCTCTAGATTTAGGTATATATATTTCCTTTTAAGTAGGAAATTATATATATAACTTTCTTTTCTTTAATTTTAAGCTTATCCTAATTCCAATAGATATAAATTCTAAGCTAAAACCTAAAAGCCTTATATTTAGATTATTCCCTTTTAAAAGGTTTAGATAGATTAACTTTAAGTTAAACTATATTATTATTAAATAGATCTTTACTTTTAGAGTTAGAATTTAAATTAGATAAATCAGAACTATTAGATAATTAAATATCTAGTAGAATTTCCAAATCCTTTAATAGTAATAGAGGTAGTAAAGGTACTACTATTTTAAATATTAATAATCTAGTAGTACTTATATTTAAAGTAATCTTAACCTTTTTCTTTAGTAGACTAGACTATTATTAACTTCTACTACTTCTCTTAAAGATAATAAATATAAAATATTATTTTTTACTTTATCTAATAATTCTAATAATTTAACTTTTATTAGGAATACTTTCCTAGTATTAATTAGCTTTACTAATATAAGCTACTTTAGAAAGGTTTAGCTTTCTAAAATAGAGGAATAATATATAACCAGAGCTTATTATAGAAGGAATATAATAAGGTAATTATATTTATAACTTAGAGTAGTCTAAGCTTTAAAAGTATAAAAATATATTTAAACTAACTATTAGATAAATTAGATAGTTGAATTATAAAGAAGCATAATATTAATAAAGATAGGATATTTTTATAGACTTTATTTTTAGTATCCTTATTACCTTACTTATTTTAATTATTTTAGAAAAATAATCAGAATAATTACTTTTATTAATTAGTAATACCTTGGTCATCAATCATTAGCTGATATGCTTATTTTGATCATTTTTCTAAAATAATTAAAATAATCACCCACGTGACAAGTCACGTGTTACCTCGTAACAAGCCTATTAATTTTGGAAATTTCGTGATATCCATTTTTTTACCTGATATAGCCTTCTCTAAGATTAAGATAGTAGTTAGTCTTTCTAGACTTAACTAGCTTAGTTAGTCTATAGTATATATATATATATACTATAATTATAGTTATGAGTATCTTAATCTTTTATTCAAGGCCTATTTCCAAGCTCTTTATGGAATCATATAAATATCATATAATTATTATATAAGCATATAACCTATACTATTATGTGATTAGATATTTATAGGGTTATATAAAAGTTATATATACTAATCTTCTTAGTTATATATGACCTTTTATATATCCAAAATAGGTAATAGAGTCTTCTAAAATATTAGGTAGACTCTATTAGTTAAAAAGAATATATAAATCTTTAGTTATAAGAGGGTATATGCTTAACCTGGGCTCATAACCTGTTAAGCTATGCTTGGTAGAGGGCGGAAGCTTAATAAGATTTATATAGAAGGAAACTTATATATTTAAGATATATATTTTGTTTTACTTACTTTACAAAACTAAGGTAAGTCCTATTACTTATATAGACTAATTACCCCGCTTTTTATATAACCTCGGTTAGTTAAATACCTCGGTTATTACCTAATACCTAAATAACTAATATTTTCATTCTGTTATTTAAGAAATATATCATAGATCTCATTCTGGATCAACAATAAGGAGCTGTAATCTTTAGTTTATAAAAATATCTTATCCTTACCTTTATTATAGCTTTCTGTAATTTAACTATCTAGTATAGCTAGTAATTAGTTTAAATATATTTTAATATTTCTAAAGTTTAGACTATTATAAACTATAAAGTTAACTATCTTATTATATTTTCTTCTATAATAAGCTCTAGTTATATATTATTCCTTGGCTCTAGGAAGCTTATCCCTTCCGAAGTGGTTCACATTAGTGAAGCTAGTCGGTATTAGGAAAGTATTCCTAAAAGATTTATGATTTTGGTCTATAAAAATATCCTGTCCCTACCTTGATAACAGCTCTCTATAATTTAATTATCTAGTTTATTTAATAGTTAGTTAAATATATTTTTATATCCTGAAGCTTATACTATTCTAAATTATAAATATAACTAACTTATTATATTTCCTTTTATAATAAGCCTTAATTATATATTGTTCCTTTGCTTTAGGAAGCTCATCCCTTCCGAAGTGGTTCACATTAGTGAAGCTAGTCGGTGCTGGGAAAGTATTCCTAACACTGACGTGGCGGTCAGCCTAAAACCATTACAGCGCCCATTAATGGGCTATGTTAATCTCTCTGCACAGTTTCTATATGTAGAACTTGGTTTACCATGTTATAGTTCTGACATTGGGCAGCTCGGAGGGAGTCAATCTCCGCGAGCGCCAGGCACGTTTGTCAAATTCGGTAAAATCTGGTGACATATTACAGATGAACAAGTGTAGAATAGGAGAAAAAGAGGACGGGCTTGATGGGGCGCTTTTTCATAACCAGATCGGAGACAGGACCGTGCTAAGCAACGGAAGAGCATTGGTGAGAATTGGCAAAATGCCAACCAAAGCAGCAATGCGCACACATAAATAAATTCAGAGAACTCTTGCTCAATTGATCAAACGCATGATATGATGTCCTATGCTGGACAGGTTGTACCAGGTTCTTGCTTCTTTAAGTTTGAGCCCGAGACTATGGCGTATTATCACTCTGTCAGCTACTAAGACCTTTGACATCCTCTACGATCCTGTCTGACTCTATGTTATTCTTAGTTCGCATGGCCCATTGCTCCCCTGCAGTTCTAAAAATGTGACGCATGTCAAGGCCCATCCTTCCGAAAAGCTCGAAGTATCTACCTCGTCGCTCTGAACGTCGTCCGCCGTCTAACGCAGAAAATGCAGATCGTGTTTGGCGTTTCTTTCCTCCAACCGACAGGAGATTACCCATACGGAGCCGATCCTCCCCACGCGATTGATATTCGCGTGCGATCATACGGATATACGGTGCCAGATCTGTTGTTATGATACTAAACTCTCTATCAAATGACGAGGCCAGGAAAGCGCCGCCTGAGGATGGAGCAGGATCATCAGGATCGTATGCAAGAGGATCGAAAGCAAGTGAAAAATCCTTTCGAGTGAGTTTGAGAGGTGGTAAAGAAGAAATTCGTGTCTCGACAGCGTTGATGATGTCGGCAGAAGCTCTAAAGGTGCGTTGATGTTCGCTATTCCAACTGGCAAGCATTCTTTGTGCACGCCATTCAGAGGCAATGGCCATCTTTTTATCTAGGCCCGTATAGTCCACAGCCGGTTCTGCATTGAGCACGTTTCGCGTGAAGTGCCAACCGAGAGCGTAGCTTGCAACAACTTTTTCTCCCACAGGTGGCAACGTGCTATCAAGGCGTTCCTGCTAATGTCAGACCAACGTCTTATAAACGAGTAAGTTAAGGATTTACCTTGTTTGGCTTGCGCATACAGAAGCCGAAGGCTACATCGCTGGCACTCATTTGATCTGCATAAGAGACAAAATCATCAAGCGAATATATTCCCCGTCGCGTGTGGTCCGCGTCAGTCTTTGGACCACAGTGCTTGGCTATGTCTGTGTAGATCTCGGCCACATCGATTTGCCAATCATCCCAGGCGTGACACCAGAGGAATTCTTCGATGATGGTTGAATCGTTCTCGAGCACTAGGTCTCTGGAGACGATGTTCATGCCGCGGTCAAATGTGTTTTTGCTTGCAGTTCGAAGTCTTCGACCTTTCTCATCAATATCAATACCAGGCGGATAACGATCCAGCATCCACTGGAAGCCGCGTGTGCGGTCGCCCACGGCCATCTGACACCAGAAGTTAAGTTCCATGATGCTATGTCGCAAGTCATGTCCACTAGTGTTATATAGGCTTTCGACGGAAGTCCGCTCCAATATATGACCCTCAGCTGCCGCTAAGAGAAGCAAATGGTCCACCGCAAGATCAACAGGTGCTGGTACGAATCGTAAAACTGCATGGAGATCCAGTGATTCCATGGGCACGTACCGCTCGTCATTGCAAGTCATGACAATCGGACGTTTGGAGTGCGTCGTTAGAGTTAGCACTGTCAGCCAAAATTGTTTATCCTCTTCAAATAGAACGTCAACTTCTTCAAGCAAGATTAACGATTGTTTCTGACGTCGTCTTCGCCCGCTTTCGTCTTTTAGCTCGGGGATGCAAGTTGGTAACACTTTGCTCACGATCTGCGTGGGCTTTGTTGCTGAAGATGCTCTTTTAAAGAACGACGCCATGCTTTTTTGCTGTGGATCTGGAACATTCGGCTGTTCGATCTTGATCGCTTCCAACTTCTCGTTCGTGATGGTAGATTTGTCTTCATCGAGAGCCTTCGAAACCTGTTGCACCAGATGGTTTTCAGTCATATCCCCAATCTTGTCAAGTACATCCTTGCCACTGCGACGGATAGCAGAATTGATCTCGAAGACCTCAAACCCAAGCTCTTTGGCGACAGCATAAACCGCGGCTGTCTTGCCACTGCCATGTGGACCACTAAGCAGCACACATGAGCCAAGTTTTGCGTGCTTATACTTGTCACCCCCCAAAACGTATGATTGCGAATTCGCGTCTTGGCGGCTGCGATCTGAAATGGGCATTAACTCATTCAATTCGTCTACTTCTTCATCGCTGCCAACAATGAATTCATCCTCTATTTTCCGCTTCTTTTTCTTTCTATGTTTTGAGACGGATGCATTTGAGCTGTTAGTCGATTGCTTGCTACTGGTTTGGACAGCCGAAATTGTAGATCGTTCCAACCAGTCTTTCAATATAAAAACTTCATTCCCGGTTTGTAGCACCTCGCTCGCAGACCTTGGAGCGTACTTCTGAGTCCATGCTTGGGTCTCACACTCGAACTTATCAAAGGCTGATAAGTTAGTTTCAATGCAGGAATATATTGATGTCAAAGCTGGGTGCAAGTCTAGCACACGAGAGATACCTATCGGTGTCTTCGAAAGCCGTTCAGCAACGAGGTTTTGTAGCTCGGCACCAGTAGTTATAACGCGTTGTGGCACGCGCAACACCGAGTCTGAAGTCATAATGTGCGGAAGAGTGCGAAGGACAGAGTCGACGGTACAGCTGCTGGCCACGCCTGCCTTTTGCTTCTTTAATTTAGGTATGAATCCTGCCGAACAGATATCTTTCTTACGGATTGGCGTGACAGAATGAAGCCCCCGCACGTGTACATTGTCGCATGTCGGCCAGGCTGGATGTTGCCCAAAGAATTTGAACTCCTTGCGTTCAGAAGCCATGACGGCTGTTCGCGGGAAAGGCAGCGAAGTTGGTACCCGAAACGCATCTCTTGCTGCACGTATCTTGCCTGGTGTAGTAGCAGAAGCTTTACGAGTAGATGATGCAGTGAAATCAATGGTCTGTTCATTTCTCTTCGCAAGACAATCTGGCTTCACCTTTTTCATAGCTTGAACTGTGAAAAAGGGATGCGTCGGTCTCAATAACGATAATGCGGTCGAATGTTGGGCTGTAGGTAATGAGCCATAAGTGGACCCACGGTATGTGTCTTTCCCGTCGAGGATGTTCTGTATGCGTTGGCCCAGATCGAGAGAATTTGATTTGAATTTCATGTAGTTCAGTTTGACGACTAAGCTCGCGGGTTCCGTGATCATTGATTTTTTGCCTCGTTTTTGTGGTACCGCTGGAAGTTTTGGCCTATTTGCTTTCGGCGAGACGAGTTTGCCGCCTTTAAGGTGCATTATACGACCAGGCTTGGGGTCCCCGACCATGTGCGTTTTTGGCGTTTCAACACCACCATCGACGCGTTGCGTCGAAGCTTGTGCCTCACCGTCATCACTAGAATGGATTTGAAGATTTGACATTCCAGAGTCTTCGACTGTCGCGGTTTGCTCGTCTTCCAGAGGAACACCTTCATGCCAATCCGGCCCATCAAGGCCCTCTCTTAAAGTCGGTCGGGAATTTGCAAGCTTGTCTTGTGTTAGATGATCAGGACTCTGAACGTTAGGTGATATTGTCTTTTGTCTTTTGCGTCGCTCCTGATTAGGATCTGATTCAAGATCTGCCAGTTGCTCTTCCTTTGGGCCGGACTCAACCACGGGTGAGTCCTCTGCAACATTTATTTTGATCCCAAACCCTTGGAGAATAGTGCGTTGGCCGATCGTTTCATGCTTCTTACTTCGCTTTGGTCGCTTTTTGGGTGCATCGTAGGTCTCCGCTTCATTTTCGATGCTGCCGAGAAGTTCGTTTGGCTCTCTGTGGGCGGCAGGAGAGGACGACCCTGCATCATCTCCTGTTGACAATCAGCGGCGCTTGATCTCTGCTCAGGAACAAACACGATATCGTACTGGATCTCGAAAAGAACGGGTGCAGATGGCTTTGAGCGTCGTCCAGATTCATAGCCCGCTCCACGGCCACGGCTGCCATTTATCAGAATCGAAGTCATGAGATCATTGGAGATTGCACGATCAGGCAGTCTGAGAAGTCGAGGTCGAAGGACAGAACAGAATAGGGCGTCCGAGAGTTGAGAGAGATGGCGTCCAGGCACGTCACGTCGACGCGTGAGAGCGCGAGCCACGCAAGGGCAAGGCCACGGTAAAGTGGGTGCGTCGGACCGAATCTAGAATAAACGCTTTTGTTTGGCGCTGGCTGGTTGGTTGGTTTGGTCATGGCTGAGGCCGAACTGCGCTGGCCAGCCTCGAGGAGAAAAAAACCTTTTTCCCGGCCGGGGTGTAGGACATGTACGCTTGGTCCGATACATCCTGAACACCAAAGACATGGACGACTCGGGCTGGATCGAATCTGTGTACACTCTCAGCGCGCTTCCTGCGCCATTGGACTCGCACAATGGCCGCATCACCGCGTCTGTCGTCACCTCATTGGTCAGAGGAAAGAAGCGGAAGCGTTCTGAGATTGCAGCGGCCATCGATGGCGAAGGTGTCAATCTTTACACGGTAAGTTCTTGCGAACATTTTGTCTTTCATAGCTAAACAAGGCTCAAGGTCGAAGATTCGAGCCTTATAGCTTCGTACGCAGTCTCGCCAAACACGTACTTTGACGCCGCACCCTTCTCGGTGTGTTGCAAATATCCCCAGCATTCTCCTCAGCGACGCCTGACGTACGCCGCCTCGCGCGTGTCGAGGACATCAGAAACGGTGCAAATCGGTTGCTTCGAAGCTGCTTATCAAGAATCGGGGCAAGGCGCATCGAAACTACCCGCTCTGCCTTTACCGTCGGCTGCTCAAGTCGCACTCATTGACATACTGCCCGTTCAACAAATCGCAAAAACGGATGCTTCACATTATGTTCTGGCACTACAGAAGGACGGAACGCTCACTTGTCTTTCGGAGAAGGTAGACAAGACGTTCTGGTCTGCTGACTTGAGTGGTCTTCCAACTGCACCCGACGGGTTTGATCTACCAGAAGCTTTCGAGCTTCTCCATGCTCAGCTTGTTCCTCTAGAAGCGGCATCTCAGGGAGTTCTCAAGGGCAGACAAGATTTGCTTGCCGCTATTGACACCGCCGATGCTGCATCGTTACATGTCTTAACTATCGTTGTAGCATCACCCTCGATACGATCGCCCGACGCCATTGACGTAGATGTTCACCTTTATTCCATACGCTCGAATGTACTGGACAAACAGCCGCTTTCACGGTTATTGCCCCAACAACTACTCTCATGGAACGTTCCTCAACCGGTGAGACGCCGCTCTACGACCGCCTTGCAGTGCGAGCTTGCCTCCAAGACAGGGCTGCTCACCGAACTTAATGATGGGAACATCATCACTTATGATCTCTCTGGTCTGTCACCCAAAATCATCGATACGTTCATGTCGAGGGACAAGTCACAATCCTTCATTAGACTATCTCCGGCCTTGCTACTGACTGCATCATCCGAGAAATACGCAGTTTATGATTCCAAGTACGGTTCCCTGCTTGCAACTCGAGCGATTCCTCCTCTTTCCTCGACGAATGCGAGAAAGCCAATGAATTCGACATCAGATTGCAAAAATCAAGTAGTTCGATTTATTGGCTTCCGCCGTAAAACAGGAAGAGCGATCGCTCTACACGGCGATGATTTGGCCGTCATTGAAATCAGGAAGTTGACGAGGGAAAATAAACGTCGAAGGCCGGAAACACGGCTTATTGATTCTTTAGGTAAAGGAATGCTTGATTCGAGGCCACTGTCCGTCGACCCTAATAGCATCAACGGCCGTACGAGCAAAAAGACGAAGATTGGCACATCATCTTTGTTTACCTCGTCTGAACTAGATGCCTTACTTGAGAAAGGAGATCTCGACGAGTTTGAGAAATCATTTGCAAGAGCCTTGGACTTTGATACCGTAACGGGCAGCAGCAAGCACAATGGTACCGGGCATTCCGAATCAAATTTTGCTAGTGGTTTTCCACCTCTGGACAAGCTGAACAGTTTACCGGCAAGTCGACCACAAGTTCTATATGCTCTGAGCAAGTTGTTCGAGCCAATTGAACCATTGGAAAATGAGGATCAAAGAAAGCGGAGCTTGCGACCCGCGTCCATTCGTCTCAAGATCTATCCCGAAAATATTTTCTTGTGGCTTACGCATACAGGCCAGCTGAGAGGAGACTTGATCGCACGTGCTCTATGCGAGCATTATGGCTTCGATAGAGTTGTTCCACATGGTGATTTGATGAAATCTCTGGCGGAATGGGACAGTGACCTTTCGCTTGTTCACTACGTTCTTAAATGTCATCCGAATCTACACGTCAACGAGCTTACGGTCGCTATCAAAATCATTATTGACAGTCTTGACAATTCCACTCTTCCTCAGCCGGAACATAAACTGTTAATTGATGATGAGTTTGCGAATGCAGCGGCCTCGACTGGTGCACTTACAAACGGAGTCGGCCTTGGAGCTGGCCTAGTCAATGGCGAAGTTTCTATGCCAAGCGACACAGAAAAGCCAAAACCAACAGCTTTAGACATTGAAACGATCACAGATGCTGTGATGAAAGACGTTGACGACATGATGGACCGGGCTTACGAGACTCTAGATCAACTGCTGCCAATACGTGGCGAAGCTTTACGATATGCGTTGACGAAATTAAGTACATTTCCAGCTTCCCAAGTCACCCTGGCTTTGCGGAACTACCTCACTCAGCATGAACTCATCTTCCTAATTCACATTCTTCGGGTGGAGCTTGATCAAGGCGGCTGGACTACACGTTATACTGACAGGGAGGATAACGACGGAGAAGAGTCGTCTGAAGAGCCTTCGAATCAAGCCATTAATGTCATATCGGCCATGTTAGGATGTACAGTTGATGCTGTCGGGATGAGTGGCTGGCTTACCTCAAGTGCTGCCGTTCCATTTGATTCCATTGATGAAACCCTTACCCTCCTGCGGGGAGAGATTAGCAATACGCTTGAAGGTGTACATGAGGCTACTTTTGTTAATGGTGTCCTCAGCGAATTTTTGCGACACCACTACAAACGCAAAGCGTACGAGCACGCGACGCCGCAAAACCGCAAGGCTGTCGCCGCTGCGAAGGAAGAGGCTTTGTGGAAGGCAGGCAAAACTGTGATTGTCCAGGAGGCGCCACCGCCGCATCTGCCTATGGGCTTGGGATTGGAAGAGCAGGGTGTACAAATGAGTGTAAGTTTGTACACGAGGACGTCATACGGCGAAGTGAAAAAGAAAACAATGGCGGACGTGAGCAGGGAGATCAGGAGGAATCTGCCACCATATGTATTTGAACGAATTCGATTCTAGCAGTAAAATCTATTCGTTGAGATTCTTTGCCCCGAATAAGCTAACAATGATTGGCGCATGCTCACTTTTTGGCTTATCGCTCGCTTTACTTTTATACGTCAGCGTAGAACAATGAGTTGGAATATTAAGCTGAACATCTCTTCCACTCAAAATAAATCGCGCGAACTGAAAGGAATTCAACATTGGAAGAAGCTTGTGTCCTGATAGATCGAAGATGTGCCTATAACTGTGAACGAAGTCACCATTTATTTAGCGTAGAAGTACGCAAATACCCGAGTATTGCTCAAAATATTAAGTCGATGATGCCGGACGAACTCTGAAGTTGAAGATAAAAATTCAAATTCGATCTATTCTACTAAAGTCAATTCAGTTGTCCTTAGAAGTGGTATCTCCCGGTTATGATCTGGGCCCTATGTAATGACATGGAGTTGAGGCTCAATGAATGGTCAGATAGAGAGAGAAAAGAGGCGGCCACTGGGAGCAAAGCAAAATGAGATTCGCCCAAGAATTGCATTTCTAATTAAGCCAGACAATAGGCCAATATATGACCTTTAAATTCGATATTCGAGTGCAGTGGGCGATGTTGGCAATCCGGCAGCAGTGAAGCTACAAGGTGCAGCCGGGTTGCACATGAAGATTTAGTCGAAGGTCGAGTCGGGGCTTGCTATTTGATACTGGCGACAGCACTTGAACACGACATCGCCGATAAGTCACTGCTAAGAGTCGCACGCATTATGATGTATCCGATTCTTGAGCTGCCCGTCGCTATATTGGGATCAGGCCGAGGAGTCAAATTCCATGTAGGATGCTGACTCGGTAACGCGTGTCACTTCTGCGTGCTCGGCAGCCATGCCGATCACAGAAAGGAATTTGCCATCTCGAAATGAGTGGCTGTTTACTCCGTCATTTCCACTGCACAGTACTAACTAAGCTTCGTAGCTGTGGCTGTTCTTCTTCGTCGTTCCGCTCGAGCTGCTCAGACGTATTCATTGGCCGACGCCTTTCGGGCACCGTGCCTTCATCTCTACGTACTCAGTGTGATCTAACATTTTTGGACAACGGGGGATGAAGAGACCACTTCATCCAGTCACAAGTCATCGCCTTCAAGCACCTAACAAGTTGCTATCTGAATGCAATCCTCGTGGCTGTCCGGAAGAAACCGAGTTGAGTACAACTTTCGCATCAAGGCCGATTCGCACCCGGAATCCAAATACTGCACTAGACTGTCAACATGGCGGTAATGACGGCCCGTAAACAGCATCGATTGACGCGATGGCGTTCGCACATCATCAACTGTCAGAGGTGCACGAATGCAACGGCACGTATTGAGATTAAAGCACGCATGCAGTCTGCATTTCAATTCTTCCAATCCTGCTTAGGATTACTTTCCAACCGAATCCTCCTGGGAGATCGTTCGCGTACCGAACAGCGATTACAGCACCCACTTTGTTACCTAGTTGCTCTTTATTTTTTAGCCCACTGTCTACCTATGCTTTTGAATACCTATCGCTTTGCATTTAAGTTAATCATAGACACCGGAGTTCATTAACCCTGGGGCCTTAGCTTTACATGCGGCACAATACCGACTTCATTTATCGAAACCATATTCAACCATCATACTTTCGAACATCTCTAAGACTGATTGTGGCCTTGGCGACGAATTGCTGGCTATAGCCATGTCTAGTTCACCATCAGAATCAAGGACTCCCGAGGGATTGGAGAGCAATCAAGACGAGGCTCGTTGTGCCCCTAACGGTCCAGCGACCCTTATCAATAGTAGCTGTGGCGTGGACAGCGTCAGATCCTCACTATATAGGTCGCGACATATTTCTCTCCAGTCGAGAGTGGACAGCATCACCGAGGCTCCAAACCCACTCCCCGATCTTTATCCAGCAGGATGTAGCAGTGACGATGTAGGTTCGATGCCGGACATCCCACACATGCATCGATCGTCCACGTACAACCAGCGATCGCGAAGCTATCTAACGGACGACTTGTTCGAGTATAATAGGAAACCGCAAGCAATGGGGAGCCTTACGATGGACTGCGACACAATCATTGCCCCGTCGACCGTGAGGATGTCAACCCTTCAAGATATCATGTTCATTGGCGTGGTAGCGGCTGCTCAATTTTGCACACAATTTGGGCTGGGAATGACTCTAGCGCCTCTAGACGTAATATCCCAAAGCTTCGGCGTCGCAAACGTGGCCGAACAGTCCTGGATGATCGCTGGTTATACTTCCATGATTGGGACTTTCATTCTAACAGTCGGTCGCTTGGGAGATATCATGGGTCATAGGCGAGCCCTGGCGTTTGGCTACGCATGGTTCGGAGTGTGGAGCGGGTTTGGTGGTTTTGCAGTTTACCCCCAGAAATTTGTCTTCTTCGACATTTGTCGCGCCCTGCAAGGTGTTGGTCCTGCGTTCACTATACCCAACAGCCTTACTCTTTTCGGCCGGGCATACTCTCCTGGGATCAAGAAAAATATTGTCTTTAGCATATTCAGTGCTGTTACACCAGCAGGTTTCGTCGTTGGCGCGGCTTTCGGTAGCTTTTTTGCCCAGAACGTCTGGTGGCCGTGGGCGTTCTGGTCATTTGGCATCGTGCTGTGGGTGTTTGCTGCACTGACGCTTCTCTTCGTTCCGCAAGGGCTTGGAGAGAAACCTCGCGATTCTCCTGATTTTGACTGGGGTGGCTCGGTAATGAGCGCTGTCGGTTTGTTGCTTATATGCATCGCATGGAGTAATGCTCCTCTGTACGGCTGGAAGACGGCGCACGTATACTTTCTCCTAGTCATAGGTATACTGTGTCTCATTGCCTTCGTTTGGATCGAAACGCATACGAGGTGTCCAATTCTACCAATAAAGACCATGAACGGCACAGTCGCCATTGTACTTACATGCATGACTTTTGTCTGGGGCGCTTACGGTATCTGGATCTTTTACTCGTTTCGCTTTTTACAGAAGGTTCGAAATTCGTCTCCACTGTCCACCGCGGCACAATTCTCGCCAATGGCGATATGCGGAGTCCTTGCCGCTGCACTCACGGGCTTTCTGCTTACGCACACTCCGGTGTCGTTTGTAATGCTCATGGCAATCACTAGCTTTGCTGTTGGTCTCATCGTTGCGGCGACTTTGCCACCAAGCCAGCCTTACTGGGCACAGATGTTCATCAGTGTGATCATTATGCCCTTTGGGATGGACATGTCTTTGTCGGCTGCTTCAGCTATTCTGTCAGATCACATGTCGCAAGCAAGGCGAGAAGTAACCATGTCTATCGTCAGCAGTGTGGTCAATATCTCGATCTCAGTGGCACTCGGGATTGCAGGGACAATTGAGCTGAGTTTAGTTCATGACCTGTCGACGCCGGATGAGATGCTCAAAGGATTTAGATACGCATTCTACAGTGGCGTCGGGCTGAGTATGACGGGCCTAATATGTGGTGCGCTATACTTTCTACTTAGCATGAGAAAAGAAGGCTGGAAAGTTTTGGGAAAATGATATAACGATATGGAGGAAATTTTGTCTTGGTTCTACGAAATTTGCGTGATCTCGTGTGTTGCTACCGGCTTTTCGACGTTGAAATTTCACTCAAACATGGAATCGGGGTAGTTGTGGACATTATTGGCCTGAGACTCGACGTTACGAAGGGCATGAGCCTCCCAAGGAATAACTGGTACTGATCTAATTTGTAATGATGTCTGGCTGGATCATGGTGAAAATTTTGGGGCGCAATATCCTGGATCTGGATTTATTCGTCTAATGCAAAGTACATTGCCGAACGCATGGGCAACAATCAGCTATTTGATCAAGCGGGTGAATGCTTGATATCATTCGCTATCCCAAATCGAATATAATTGCAGGTTGAAAAAGACGACTGCCGGTGAAAGCTATTATTCTAAGACTGTAAAACACTGTTGCCGTGATCTGGACCTCAGCCGATTTGACTTGAGACGCCTACATCCTTGCTGCAGCCCTGTATGTTTTCTTTTTGTGAGTGCCTACACGTTGCAGTCCTGATTTGGAGGTAGTTGCGCTGTTTTCCGTTAAGTTACGACCAAGTCTTGGAGCCTGCCATGATACAGGGCATTAGCCGAATCTCATTCGATCTTAAGCCCTTTCACGTTGTCAAGCATATCGTCCCAGTCAGGCTGCACCACCAGCTTGCCTCGCGGCTGCCCAAATGCTGTTGCCATACCTTGAACAGCGCCTGGAAACGCGGCCGTCAGCGACTCCTCGTCCATCTTGACCATGACTAAAGTCTGCAAGAACTTCGGCAGCACCCCATTCTGAACCACAAGGCTCGAGCCACCCCAATCCATCGTGACTCTGCCACTTTTATGCACCCGCAGCTTGCCAACAGCGCCGGGTGCTAGCTTCGGAAGATGTTCAGGTCGGATCGTTTGGTCTCGAAGCAGCTTTTCTTTATCCGATGCGTCGCCATCTTCGATTTTAATCGGCGCGCTCTTCTTATTTGAGCTCGAACCTTCTGCAGCCGGCTGTTCAGGCGGCGCATCCGGATCGTCCTTGATCGTAATGGGGTTTGGGACGCAAAGATTTGGGAGCACAGGTGGAAATTGGAAGACGTAGGTTCTCGTTTGGTCTTTGTAAGCGTCCGCATTGCCAAACTCTCCAAGCATGACTTCGTTGTCTTGAAGCTCGCGAGCAAATTCATTACGTTCTTCCTCGTTTAAATGACCGGGCGCTTTTGAGAGTGATTTCCGTGTTCGTCTTGTCGGTTCAACAGGCTCTGCTTCTGCCTTTATCTTATCTTGGGCGCGTGCATCGGGCTCTTCGATATTTGGTTCTTCTTTGATTGCTGGTGGTTCTGGCTCTTGCCAAACTCCTCGCCAAGGCCGTTCACCTGTAGTTTCGGCACTCTTCTCACTTGGTCTTCCCTTTGCTTCTGCAGACTCGGGCACGTCAGTCATCGAAACATCCCCATCTTCGGTTTTAACCGCCGCATCTTCTTCTGCATCGGCTGTAACCTGTACTGCTCGGGCACGATGCTCGACTCGATTTAACCTCACTGGTGCGCCAAAGGGCCCAACGGCTCCCGCGCCGTCCTCATCCTCATCGTCAGTTAAGAGACTAATTGCCTCAATGGGTACACGAGGCCCGTCGCCAAGATCCTCGAGATCTGAGGATATGTAGCCACCATCTACTGCGTCATCTCCAGCCACGCCGTGAACATCGAATTCGAGACCAGATCCAGTGTTGGATTTGCTGCTGGTTGGTAATGTGCTGATGTCACTAGATCTAACACCAGATCTATTTGACGGTGCCCACGGCCGTGGAAAAGCTTTACCTTGAGGTATATGGGCTGTTCATCCGTAGAGTCAGTGTGTAATTCCTAAGTGCAACCGAATTCACATACAGCCTATTATGGAGCCATCAGAAAGAGGTCCACCTGACAGCTCATTCTTGATATGGGATTCGCCCATGAAACCACCGCGGCCTCGGCCCCGGCCTCTAGCAGCAGCAGCAGCTTCTCTCCTCTTGCGATCTCGCTCAGCCCGTTCCTGGGCCAGTCTCGCTGCATTCTGTTCTCTAGCAAATGCGGCGTCACGTTCTCTGTTGCGCTCTCGCTCTGCGGCGGCGATCTGATCACGTTCCGCTTGCGATCGTCGCCCACGACCGCGAGGTGCAATGACCTTTTTGCCTCGTCCTCTGGAAGATTCCGACATATTATTGTTGTTAATGAGCTGTACGGGTAACGAGGAATTTCTGACACGAAAAAGAATTAAGTATGCGACAGAAAAGTTAGTGCGTTTTGATTGGACAGAGAGACATGCAGCCTTACAAGTCTTGGCACATGACGGAGTGACTCAATTGAGATGGATTTTGTGATCCGCCTCTGGACTCTCAACTGTAATTTTATATCATGACGCGACGACCTTTCCACCTTCTCTCCTCAAACTGACCGCCATGTCGACTTCAGAAAAGTCAAATGCTGCGTCGGCAGCTAAACCAGACTCTACAGAGGACGGGAAAGCCAATGGCGCACCAAAATCGTTGTCGGCCGATGCTCCCAAGGAGGAGAAGAAGCTGTCAGGCAAGGAACTGAAGGCATTAAAGGCGGCGGAGAAGCAGGCACGACGGGCGAGGGAGAAGGGCGCAATCACAGGCGGAGTCTTGACAGGTGTGCCGACTCCAGAAGCCAGCGTTTCAAAGCAACAACCGCAGAAGAAAGAACAGAAATCCATACAAGGAAAGCAGGCACAGGGCAAATCAATGTCGTTAGGCATTGCTGGTGGGTCTCAGAATCAAGCAAATATTCCTCATCGACAGCGAAGAGCCTCCCTTGCAGCGCAGGACAAACCTGCACCTAAGGCCAAGGCGAAGGCGACCACGAAGTTGCAAGTCTCGCTGTTTGGGCACTTGTCGCAACAGCGAAGACATGGAATTGCCGGCGCGTCCAAAGACGTGCACCCCGCTGTTTTGAGTTTGGGTCTGCAAATGAGCCGATATGAAGTTTGCGGCAGTACAGCGCGCGTGGTCGCAATGCTGCTGGCATTCAAAGCCGTTATTCAGGGATATACCACTCCTCCAAATCAACACATCTCCCGCCACTTCACGCCGCATGTTCTATCTCCACAGATCGAATATCTCAAGCAATGTCGGCCTATCAGCATATCAATGGGTAATGCTATCCGCTACATGAAAGAGGTCATTGCGAACATGAGCCAGGAGATTGTGGACGAAGATGAGGCAAAGAAGCTACTGTGCGAATGGATAGATAACTTCATCAAGGAGAAGATACAAGCAGCTGATGCTCTCATCGCTGAATCAGCATCGTCGAAGATCGCGGATGGTGACACCATATTGGTCTACGGCAAATCAAGTGTCGTACTTAAAACACTTCTCCTAGCCAAAGCGAAGCGGAAGAACTTCAAAGTCATTGTCGTCGACTCGAAACCACTATTTGAAGGGAAGTGCATGGCAAAAGATTTAGTGGCGGCAGGATTCGAGGACATCGAGTACACGCTTCTAGCAGGTATATCGCACTGTAAGGCCACGAAGGCTATACTAGGCGCACACGCAATGATGGCCAATGGACGACTATTCAGCCGTTGCGGCACTGCCCTTGTAGCTATGACTGCGCGGAAACAAGACATACCTGTCATGGTGTGCTGCGAGAGTCTCAAGTTTGCGGACAAAGCCCCTCTGGACTCAATTCTCTTCAACGAGACAGCCCAGTCTTTAGATTTGTTACCAGAAGGAACTGATGTCAAAGAGTGGGAGGAGAATCCTAATCTACAGATTTTGAATCTAATGTACGATGTGAGTGCTTCCGCAAGATTCCTTGTCGATAAGAAAAGCCAACTAAAAGGTTTTAGGTCACACCCGCCGAGTATGTAACAGCCATTTATACGGAATATGGCGTGCTCCCTCCCAGCAGTGTGCCTGCGGTGCTGCGATTGCTTGAGGATGTGTCTAAGCAAGGTGTATAAGCTTCATGATATGGGCAGGCACGCTGCATTGTTTGTGCTATTTATCTATGTCTAGGTGCAGCGAGACAATGACGCGGTATAGCGGTTAAGGCGAATACCACAAAGTGGGAAATGTGAAGAGATGGTCTCAGATCCACTTCGCTCGTTGCCCGTCAACGAGGAGTATGAAAGGGCGATGAAGACGCGCCATCTTTGCAAATCCACAAGTCTCGCAGGCTCCGGTCTCCAAATACCACTGACTCCTGAAATCCGACAGATAAGTCGAGTTATCAGATATAGGCAATTTTTCTATTTGATGTTATCATGGCTGTCGCTAGCTCGATAGCTAATTAAAAAAAATTTCAAGAACAAGCTTCATCGTGTGTAGTTTTGCATACATGCTAAAGAGAGATCTGATCAAACCTGTTCTCGTAGGCGATCTGCTGTGCGAATTTCCTCTTTAGAAATTCATGAAAAAAAAGCAAGAACGTGAAGACTAAAGTTGGTTGGTCCGCTGTGAGGATGACGTCTACGCACTCCAAGACTCCGGGCCTGGCGAGCACTGAGGTGTCGATCAACTTAATGCTGAGATCGGAAATACGCAACCCTTGATCTTCAATCTGAAATATAAGCGTATGAGTATTCAAGCAACTTAAGAGAGACCAGCTTAGTCTCTTATCGAGTCAGCGACTTCCAGGTTTCTTTAGAAAGTGATATTTGGAGATCAAATTTCCAAATGCCTCCCAAATCCATTGTCCCAGACGTATCAAAAGACCTCTCAGGCAACACGAACTTGTCGGACGAAGATGCTGCAAAAGTGCAAAGGCAGCTGGACAGTGCCATAGACTCAGCCTTCAGCGGCGGCCAGGCTCAAGCTCAAGCGGACGAGGCTCGACGTCGAGCGGCCAAAGCGAGCACTCCCGCCGAACGAGAAAAGTACGAACAAGAAGCGGCTGAATATGAACGACAAGCTCAAAGCCAACTTAAGACGTCCCGGCGGCTTCAAAGCGGGGCATGGCAAGGCTTCGGAGCCGGTGCTGGCATTGGCGCCGCGACAGGAATGGGATTAGGCGGCATCGTTGGGACGCTCTCTGGTGGAGTGCTGGCCGTGCCTCTCACTGCAGTTGGAGGCTTGATCGGCGCCAGCACAGGCTTTTTTCATGGCCCTTGGATCAAGCTCACTCGCGGAGAGGATGGACCGCAGATTGAGGCGGCAGAGGAGGATGAACCCGGAGCAGTCAAACTGGAGCCGAACGAGCTGGACGCCATCAACAAAGGACTCGCCCAGGGCGTGGCTAACCTGGGTGACGCAAGAAAAGCCGCTCCATCGAAAGGACTACCTATTCGAAATTCCCCCAAGCCAGGTAGAAAGCCGCCGAGAAAATTAGAAGTCAGGGAACATGGGAAGTGAGCCAATACTGCGGTTACGTTTTACGTTTTGAAGGCAACAAGGGGAAACAAAATTCGGGGTTTGGATTGCCCGTGGTTTACTAATTGTGGACGCTACGTGAACCATCACAGAAGTTTCTGCACCAAAATTAGGAGGCAAGTGGTCGATGCAACTACAGAAGGCGAGGCTTCCGATGAATCGAGCGCCCCAGCATTGGGCATGATCGGGCAACGTACGACTGATGAACTATGCCCCGATAGCGAGTCGAGCAGCGGGCGGAGCTTTACAGACTCTTCTGTATGATAACTTCGCTGGACACCATCGCCAGTGTCGCATCTTCTTGAGTCTTCCATGCTTGCCAAGCTATGGCCATTCTCTCAAGCTCGTCTTCTGTTGTCAAACGCGCCGTCAGCGCTGCATCACGGAACCGACCTTGTCGGATCAAGTCTGCCATACCCTGGGCTACGGGGTGATTTGTTTTGTCAGCGATAGGAACATGGAAATAGTGCGTTTCTCGGAGAATCCTTTGCTTACCCCAAAACCGCTTTTCCTCTGCCGTGCTATACGACCACGTGCTGTAGCTCGTGACAATTCGAGACCGATCCGCGCCGGATTTCAACGCCCAGGAAAGCAGCTGTCGTCCACCTCTCACGTCGCCGCCTCCAGCAGCTATCAGATTTGCGGCCAAGTTGTGGAACATGAGCAGTTCAGGCGTTTCTGGCCAAACGCATTCGGTATCCATGTCGCCCTCACGAGCCGCAACCAGGCCCCCAGGCTTCGTCACTCGCAACATCTCGCGCAGTGCGTCCCACGGCGCCTGGAGGTAGAGCAGCATCTGATGGCAGTGGCTGATGTCGAAGGAGTTGTCAGCAAACGGCAGCTTCAGCGCGTCGCCTTGGTTAAAAACGACGTTTCGCACATTCAACTCATCCGCGACCTCCTGAGCTCTGAGCAGCACTGTCGGGTCAAGGTCTATTGCAACAACATGGCCTCGAGGCACCAGTTGCGCAAGTGTTGTCGATATGGAGCCAGATCCACAACCAACGTCTAGGATGGCCAGCTCCGGGTTTTTCTCTTTCATTTCTTCCAATGCGGGCAGCAAGTACGCTGCACTGTTCTAAGCAGTGCGAAGTTCGTGATGCACCGACTTCGTCTGAGCGTGTTTGCTGCTGGGATTAGACGAGTACATGGTCGCGGGAGGCCGAACTTTGAAGTTGCAAGCTTACCCAGACGAAAGGCACAGCCTATAGAAGAGGACATCATCGTTATTTAACGCTCTATCTTTCTGTTCCTTCTTTTCTGCCCATGCTCGTCACCAAAGTCCTCTTCCCAGCCTCGAGACCTTCTCCACCCGCATGCCCGACGTTTATTGGCCAGTTCGGGAATTCCTGCCTGTGATTGGACACCGACTGGGGGTGGGGGCTAGCAGTGTGTTTCCGCCAGTCTTTCTTTGCCTGCAGCTGCTCCTGGTTCCCAGATACGACCGTGGGCACGACCGATGCTGACACGAGAAGTGACGCAGGAACTGATATCGTAGAAGGTTGACGGGAACTAACTGCTTCATATCGGTTCACATTATCGTCCTTTCTGCCCTTTCGTCATACATACGTGTAGACAGAGATCCTGTACCACCCTTAAGGTTTCAACCCCTCAATAGAGCAGGCCGGACGCATGTCCTGGTTCACACCTGTTGTCCGAGCAGGCGTTGTAGGATTGCCAAATCTCTTCCTCAGTTCAAGCGCCTTCCCGTCCTTTGACCTTGCTCTTACACTGGCATCTACGAGGATGTCTTGTGACTCAATGAACAGCGGAATTTCGAAAGGTGATCTGAACTTGTCACGCGAAATCAATCAGTACTTTGTGTGTTCAAGACGTTCACAAGAAGGATGGAAAAGTGAGCAACGCGTGAATCACAACATTTGGGATGAATATTTGCAACTAGAATGGAGCTATACTTTGACACTTAACCAGGAAGTCTTTGTTTTTTTGTTTTTGATTTTTTTTTCCTTTCGTGTTTTAATCCCCCCCCCCCCCCACCTCCCAACTCTCAAGTACACGCTCATTACAAAACCATATCAGCAAAACCGTCAAAGAAGGTAGTCATAATCACCAACCACCTGGCATGCGCCTCGCTTTTACAAGACAGAAGAGATCGAAAGTTTGATGCGTGATAAGTGAAACGTCGCCTGACTTCGCTTGTCTATCCAAAGGGGTAGTCAGATCGTGGTCAATGGAAATCGTCACTCCCCAAGAAAAATCCCATTAGCAGATATGCATTCCAGTGCCCGAAATAATTACGATGCCTTTGGCGCAGAACTTGCAGCGAGTTGAGCCGCCTGACTAGCTGTTGCACCTTCTCTAGAATCCTGAGCATTCGTTTTCTCGTCAGGCTGTTTGGTGGAGTCGCTCATTGCAGAGACCGAGGCAGACGGCGCTTCGCTTTTCGCAGCGGCGGTTGCGGCCGTCACGGCGGCGGGAGCGAAGTCCTGGCTGCTCTTCAAAACCCCATCCATGCTCTGCTTGGGCTGCATAAGCTGTTCCCTAGGTACATCCATACTACGCCCATTTCGCCTAATGTCCATGCTCTGGCCACGTTGAGGCACTTCAGCTGCTGGTGGGCTACGCAACCCGCCGGTGGGAGGGTGATCAAAGCCCGAGGAAGGTGTGTTGGCGGCAGCGGTCGCAGCCGTCGATGCGGCTCTCACACTTTGCTCGCCACCAAAGCTCTCACTTATAGCATCGATACTATGATTGAACTGCGCGCCAAAGTCACCAGAGGCATGCGCTGCTCTTGCTCGAGCCTTCTCTTCCTTCGCCTCCTGTTTGAGGCGGTCCTTCTCCTCCTTAGCCTCTTGTTTAAGACGCTCCTTCTCTTCCTTCGCCTCTTGCTTGAGGCGATCCTTCTCCTCCTTACGTTCTGCCCGCTCAGCAAGCTTGCCCTTGAACCAGGCTATAGGCTTGCTGTTGCGATGACTGTCGCTTTCTGGGTCGCTAAGTGTCGCGTTGCGATCGAGTGTCAAGCTCTTCCGGTTAGAGTCGCCGCCGCTTAGAACAGAACTTCGACTACGCTGAGCGTCCACGTTCGAGCTTGGATTTTGCGGCGCGTATGAGACGGATTCGCCCTTCTTACGCCAAAACCCCCGCTTCTTGCCGGAGTCAGCCTGATCAGTCTCCTTGTCGCTTGTGACGTCTGGCGCTCCCTGATTGTCCAGTGGTTGCACATCATCAAGCTCACCCTCGGTAAATTCCGAATGTGACCTGTACGAATTCGCTGGAGACATGGGAGGTTCTGCCTTCAAACCGGGAGAGGGGTTGGGTTTGACGGGCGTGTTTTCAGCAGACGGTGGCTGCAAGAATGTCGCATTCGTTGGCGTCTGTTGAACAGAAGATTGCCCTTGCAGCAACGGCATATTAGACGTCACCGAAGGAGCCACTGACATCTGCTCAGTGTTAGAAGCGTCGGTCAACGAATGCGACGAGCTCTGCGCACTGGGATTTGAGGATCCGGGCATTCTCTTCTTCTGTAGCTTGTTCGGTTTACGGCCCTCTGCACCTGGCGTTCCCGGCTTGCTGCCCCCGGCTCCGAATATAGCAGCGAGCCTGCTACTACCAGTCGGTGTCTCTTGACCTGGAGGGATGGACATGGTGCGGGCTTGAGCTGGAATCTCAATTGCGTCGGGACGCTGCTGTGGATCGTGTGTTTCGGTGTTTGACGTTGCTGTCTCTTTGGGCACGGGTATTGGCGCGTCTGCCGGCTGGGGTTGGGATGGCGACATGATTGCGGGCGCGGGAGGCGCATCGATCTTTGGCGTGGCATTCTCTGTCGGAGCTTCACCGATGGTTGGGTAGGCGCCTGGGATTTCTGCTGGAGTGTACATTGGTGTCGGCACCAGCGACGATGGCTCCGAAGGCGCGTCGCGGTGAAAACGCGTGGGTGCAGAACGTGGAGAGTGCTTCGACGGCACCGTGTTGCTGCGATGTACGCCAGCAGCCGTCGGAGTATGAGGAGTATGAGGGGACGGCGAGATTGGACTAGGCGCAATGGAAGCCGACTGTTTGGAAGAGACGGATACGCTTCTCCTAACACCACTGTACTTGCTTGCGCCTGAACTAGAGCGACCAAGAACGCTTTTGGGCGCTCGACCTACCGAAGGCGTCGGGGGACCGCTTTCCACGTCCGCCTTGGTCTTTTCGTCTGCACCAGTGCCCGGCATGCCGATGAGGAAATGGTCTTGATTTTCGATGAGAAATATGAGCACGTCTTGACTGAGGCGGTACTCGGGCGGTGCCATGTCGTGCGATGGGTGCGACAGTATGCCTGGCTGGAAGATAGCTGCTAGGTTGGGAGTGGTCATCTTGTTCAAGTCGGACTTGGACGCAAAGACAGCGAGCAGATCCAGAATGTACAAAAGCAATTGGCGATTCAGCGGGGGAAGTTCTGTGATCAACTGCTGATATATCCTGATGGTAGCTTGGTGATCGAAGTCACCCACTGCTGGACTTTGGCCCTCGATCTGCCCGACGGCCTGGGACTGGTGGTTCCGCAGCGGATCTCTGAAGCGATCATAGAACTCGAGAGGTATGATGGGTTCGGGGAGCTGGTTAAAATATCTTCGGAGGATGTTGGCGGCGTCGTGTACAGTGTAGCCGGTCCAGTCAAGGCCCTTTCCGTACCGGTCGGGCGAGTTGAACGCTTCCTTGAGTTCTTTGATGCGCTTTTCGGAGCCACTCAGTCGAAAGATACCTTCCACGTCCGTGGCTGGCAAGAAGTTAGCCCTGCGCATCAGTTTCTCCAGGCCCCCAAAACAACATACCTTTCTCCTTGAGGAAGACACCGCACTTTGCTACAACAATCGGCACGTAGCCGTACACGTAGCTGTTCCCTTCAGAATCTTGCAGTGATATCGCAACGTTGGCATAGCGCACGCTCGTCTGTAGCGGAACGCCGAAGATGCCCGTGGGCTGGTTTGCTGTGACATAGGTCAGCTGGAATGTACGGGCGCCAAAAGGAAAAGGTTCTGACAGCGACTGCCACGCTTGACGGGACACAGAGTGTGAGCACGGCGCCTAAGCGGGTGAAGGATGGCGATGCTAGATTTTGCGCACGCGCTGCAAGGGACTCAGCTTACCTTTGTCTTCCTCTCGCTTTTTGTCCCCTCTTGAAAAGTTCTTCCACCATGACTTCAAGTCCCGTTTGGAGCTCATGGGCTCGTCGGTGTTTGTTTGCAGCGTCGGCGTAGGCTCACCGTTCCTTGCGCGCGCCGTCAGACCGCCACGCATAGAGCTCGACATGGCGGGCCCTTGCGACTGGATGTGACGGAGGCGGTTGTGACGGGAGTGACGGTTGGGACGGTGGTGGTGATAACAATGACGACGACGACAACAGCCACCACCACGATGTTGATGACAATGTTGACGATGAAGAGGACAAAGATGATGGGTCTGCGATGATGATGATTGTTGTTGTTGGTGGCGGTGGTGGTGGTGGTGGTGGTAGTGGTGTTGTTGTTGTAGGTGCGATTTGCGTCAGAGAGGCGAGGTGTCGGTGGTTTGCTGGCGATGGGGGAGCAGCTGCTCAGCGATGCTGGCTTTCGGTGCCTCTTTCCGCAGCTTGCAAGACGTAGCCTGAACGAATGGACCGATGTGCGCAGACGTGTGGGCCGAGTCGACGAGCTGCGAGCGCAGGAAGAGAAAGAGCCCAAAAACCAGGGAGGTCGGCAGCGGTGCAGAAAGAAGAAAGTTGTGTGTGTGTGTGAGGTTTGCGATTCAGCCTTGTCGAAGGGGGATGGAGGGCTGGTGGGCGCAGCTGGTGTCTTTTACGGCGTGGGACCCGGTGGCTATGATGTAGTCCAATGCAAGGGGGACAGCAAGCAGGCACAGCAAGACAACGGAGTCGGCCGCCGCTCAGGAGAGCCGGGCCAGAAGTAGAGGCGTTGCGATGGTCGAGCGCAGCGGTGAGGATGGGTATTAGCGACGTAAGCGTAGGGGAAAGCGCTTGGGCGAGCCAGCGGGTAGGTTTGGCAGCGGAGCGGACGCGAGGAGACGCGACGGCAGCTTGGACGGGTGGAGAAACTGGGATGCGCGTTGTTCGGCTGGACGGTGGGGATATTTTTGGGGGAGGGGGGTTCGGGCCGTAAGAACAGGAGTAGTGCGACGGGAAGGGAAGAGGCGTGGCGACTTCAAAAAGGACGACGCGCTGGACGACCGTCGGTGCCGAGTGTTCGCCAGGCGGCGACGGGCGGCGGGAGAGAAGAGACGAGAGACGAGAGACGAGAGACGAGAGAGCAGAGCGAAGAGGGCGACGAGGAGGCGAGTGCGACTGCGAGAAGAGGGAGGGCCGACGCGGACGAGAAGAGCAGCAACGTGCGCAGGTTATGCGTACGCTTCCCGCGCCGGCGACCGTCTGGTTTTAGGGGGAGCCTGCGGAAGGGAAGGGGAGGGGGGGCGCTGTGGCCGCGGGGGCGCTGGGCGGGCGGCCAGCGGGTGGCCAAGCGAGTGGCCGGCGGGTGCCCGAGCGAGCCAGAGACTCGCAACCGCGCAGGCTCGCTCACTTGCTCGCCCACTCGCTCGCGCAGCAGACGGCAGAGGCGGACAGCAGACAGCAGACGCAAAGCTCACTGCCTTTCTTTGGCGTTTGCCTAGCGCTGGCTGTGCGTCCGTTGCAACACGCGGTGCTGTGCTCGATGTGTGACCTTTTTTTAGCCGCCTCTGGTGTTCACCCCGCGGACAGGACAATGGACAGCGGCACGGCGGCAGCGGCAGCAGCAGCAGCAAGCGCTTCGTCGGGCTTCGTCGAGTGCGCGCTCGAGCTCTCGCATCAGCCCGCGCCCGTCCTGGACCTATATTTGGGGCCAGACGCGACGAGTGGCAGTCGGCCTAGCTTGCTGCGTCGCCACTCGAAACGTGTTTTAGCGTCTCCGCGCTTCCTCCATCACAGAGTCAAGCTGCTCGTCCGGCCCGTGGACAGGTCAACGCAGCCAGCGAGCAACAGGCAACGCGTGCAAGCAGCCACCTAGGGCCGCCCTGGAGAATAGAGCCGGACCCGCAGACGACGCAAAATACCGGGCTCCGCGGCCCGCACGAGGTGTTGTGACCTGGCCTTGGGCCAGTAGCTCTCTGCGCCCTAGACGCATCAGTCTTCGTTTATGGCCTCAGCTGCAAGCAACCGTTGGGCTGGCAAGTCGAAGAGCCAGCCTTGAGGGAGGCCTTGAAATCTGGAACTCTTTTTTTGGTTCTTTGTTTTTCTTCCCCCTCCTTTTCGACGTCTTGGAACGTCGTTTCTGTTTGTTCTGCTGCGTGTAGTCGCGGCCAAGCAGTAGTCATCAGCCTGGCGCACGACCCGACTGGACCCCAAGCAAAAGGTACTCTCTTCTGGCTTCCGTTTTGGGCAACTTTTTCTCCGCGCTGGACATTCAGACTCTCCAGCAAAGCACAACCAAGGCCAAACCCATCAGAACCTCCAGTTCCATCTTTGGTCACCGTCATCCAGCCTTCCCTCCCCCTTTGCATTCCCACGCAGAACCGCCGTCATGGACAGGTGTGTGCGACCTGGCGCCCGTTGGCCTCGTCCAATGACGTTACTAACTTCTCTCGCAGTCTCACCGCAGCAGAGCAGCGTGAGCTCGGCTCCAGAATGGAGCGGAAGCAGATGAAGGAATTCATGACGGTGCGTTGCATCCACTTCGACTGACTGTTCTCCGTGCCCTCCCTGGCATAGCAAGTGCTCCTCTCTCAAGCCGCTTCGTCTGTCTTGCTTCCGCTTCCATTTGTCTCCTCGGAGCCATTGCCTCTCCTTCCTCGTTCCATCTCTCTCTCTCTCTCTCTCTCTCTCTTAGCCCTTCTTCCGCCCTTTCTCACAGTGCTGACTCTACCTTTCCCAAAACCAGATGTATCAGAACCTCGTCCAGAAGTGCTTTGACGACTGCATCAATGACTTCAGTTCGAAATCGCTCGGCTCACGGGAGGAGAACTGCGTGATGAGATGCGTGGACAAGAGCCTGAAGGCCAGCGAGAGGCTCGGCAACAGGTTCCAGGAACAGAACGCGGCAATGATGCAGTCTGGCTCTCTGCCCGGCGTGTAGACGCATCTGCGCGCGTGATAACCGCCTCGAGTCGTCTCGTCCCCACGACAAAGCAAAGAGACAAAAAGTGGGTTTGAGGAAACGCATACTTGTACATTACATGTCGGACCATTCTTACGGGCGAGGACGGTGCCTGGGAGGAAAACACTACTCGGATCATTGCGTCCGAAAGATCTCTGCATAATATTTTTTTGGGGCCAACCTTGGGGAAACATGTGCATGCGTCTGGTTGCTCTTGCCCGTACCCGTGCCCATCAGAATAGTACGGCGTACAAAATCTGCTCTCGCCTGCGCAACGGCCCTTATTTTCTCTGTTTTCTGTCCTCTCTGTCCTGCTCCAGGTCTGGTCCTTGAGATCGTCTCGTGCCGCTCCCAACGAAAGGAGCTGGGAGAGGCAGGTCCTCGGGTAACCAGAGGCCGGAGCAGATGCAGTTCCTACCTCTCCAATCGCTCGCACATCCCATCCTACGTCGTGATTCCGCTCAACCAGACTCTTGGCCGTCATTACCACACTGTGAACGATCGAGTCCGTGGCGGTGCACTATGATGTGGCGCACATAGCGTCTGCTTTGGATCTGGAGGCAAATGGCTGGACGGGTCCCAAGCAAACACCAAGACTCGAAATCAAGGCAAGGCCTACGTGTCGGCTGCTTGGCGACGCCGTGAGGCGTGTGCATATATATACATGCGTACGCCCGCTGCCGCTGCAGACGCACTCCTCTTCTGCTTCTGTGATTTAGGTGTCCTCTGACGACCCAGAACCTACGTGCAACGACATTCACAGCCCTCGGAATCACGTTCCAGGCCTCATCAAGTTCATCCCTGCGCAGCTCTCCACCCGTTTCGCACGCTTCGCCTTGCTCTGGATCCTTTGCCATCTTGCTCGGCATGGGTCTCATGTGGACGAAGCATTGGGGCGGCAAACACGCCGGTGCGTACGCCCCATCAGACTCTTCCCCGTTATGGTCCCGCTGTGCTGATATCAAACTCACCAGGCGGTGGCGTCGTCGTCGACAAGCACGGCGTGCGTCGAGCGCCGTTCCGCATCTCCTTCGGCCGCTTCAGCTGTTTCCGTTGAACCCTCCCGCCCGAGCTTGAATCGTTGCAGACGCCCGTCTTTTGACTCGGCGTGGAGGACTCTTTTTTTTTTTTGGACAATGTCTACGAGTACTTTGCTGCTAGGAAATGTGGCTGGAAATGCGTTCATACGGCGGATCACGAAAGAAAGTTTCGGAAAGAGGCCTTGACGGTATCGAAACAGCGCCTATAGTATACATAATCTTCTCTGCGTCTGTCCTGATGGTCTTGTTTTATTCCTTTGCCGCCAAACTAGTTAACCACTACTCTATCCCTCCTTGAGAACCCAGTACGTGTGGAGGAATGCAGAATGTACCGTGTCGAAGCGTGGATTCAGCCACTTTCGTCACTCTTGCTGGGATTGATTTAGCACCCGTGGCCTGGACACGCAGCTCTTGGGTCTGCCCAAGGAAAAAAGAAAGCAACAGAACTACTTGGGGCGGGTAAATGCACAATGGCGAATGATTAAGCTAGATTCCCCACAATCCCCTCCTGCCTTGTAAGCGCACATATTGATATGGATTATTCTGTACTATTATAGCTTGCATCTACATCTTCACCGTACGCCCACGATGCCACTGCGTTCGATTCTAATCATCAATCCGAACAGCACGCGGTCTATGACCGATGCGCTTGTGCCGCTGGTCGACGCACTTCGGCTCAACGAGGTTGGTTTCTCCCGCGCAACCACCAGCGACTCGGGAAAGTTGGATTTTTTTTTCTTACACGGATCTCGCAGTAGACGTCCTGCGCGTACTTTACGGCGCCGTCGGGCCCTAGGTCCATCAACAACGAAGACGATGCCGCCGAGAGCGCAAAGCACTGTCTGCCTGTGCTACGCGAGACGAACGCGTTCGAACAGCACGACGGCTTTCTGGTAGCTTGCTACAGCAAGCACCCACTCGTGCACCTTCTCAAGGACGAACCGGCCATCCGGGCGAGCAACAAGCCCGTAACGGGCATCTTTGAGTCCTCTGTCGCCACCTCCCTGCAGCTCATCCACCCGCGAGAGAAGTTTGGCATCGTGAGCACGGGCAAGGTGTGGGAAGAGATCCTAACCGATGCTGTAGATTCTTTCCTGGGATGCGAGGGCGGCAAAAGGTTTGCTGGCGTGGAAACGACGGGCCTGAACGCCACGGAGCTGCATGACGCTCCGCAGGAGGAGGTCGAGCGGAGAGTGAAGGAGGCGTGCAAGAGACTGCTGGGCAAAGGCGATGTGGGCGCCATCTGCCTGGGATGTGCGGGCATGAGCGGCATGGACGATTGGGTGAGGAGCGCGGCGATTGACACATTGGGTCCGGAGCGGGGAGGGCGGGTGAGAATCGTAGATGGTGTCAAGGCCGGTGTTGCTTGGCTTGACGGCGCGCTCCAGCTGTGAGAGCGTCCGAAGAGAAGCAAGTTAATTTGCAGGAAAGAAAAATTGCTGTAGCTGAAAGAACGAACCGATGGCTCCGCTCGAACTCGGTTCTGTTTGAACACCGCCTCAAGCCAGAGCACCACGCTCCGGCCGATGCTCAGTCACGCTCAAATTGGAACTTTGACGTTTCCGTCTCTACGATCATCGGGTTCTCATCTGGCGTCGGCGCCTCGAAGCCAGAGCAGTACCTGTCAAGAAGTCTCTCGGAGATGTCCAGCGCGTTGTCCGCACCCTTCGCTTCCTTTGCTCTCGTCTGGATTCGCTGCCACAAGAACTCTTTTCGGGCCTGCAGATACACGAGCTGATGACGGCCACCTGCTCCATGCCGCCTCAGCAGCTCGTAGCACCTTTCGCGATCTTTGCGAGCCCAAAATGATCGATCTAGCACAACGTCCTCTTTCTGCTTGAGCAGCTCGACGAACTTTTCCTCGAGAAGAGCCTCGGCGTCGTCCAGCAGAGCTTGGTATTCGCGTCTGGGGTAGTCGACGCCGCAGATGCCTCGTGCTTCGAAGACGAGCTGGTCAATAGACAGCCTGTGAAAGCCTGGATATTGCTTGGTTATAGCCTTGGCCAGCGTTGACTTGCCAGCGCCTGCTATGCCACACATCATGACGACTCGGGAGCCGTCGGCCGGCGTTGTAAGGAATTCGTGTAGTTGATCGAGCATCACCGACACGCTTGTCTCCATGTCTCTGAGATCTGACAAGGGCTAACGGTTCTGACGGTGTGTGCCCCTTTTAAATCGCTATGAAATATCCGCGCCAAAAGAAAAAAAAGTTTTTGAATAGATTACTTAGCCCGTCAATGTACATGCAAATATGCCGTTTTGTCCTAGAGCTGAGTCACAGCAAGGCCAATCGGCCAAGAAGCAAGTATGAATCATCAAGCATGGGTGCAGATCGTCCAAGAATAAACAACCAATTCATACTAGCTTCTGTTCTGTGAAACTCCAATACCTGATCGGCCCGTTCGTCGGATTGTGTTTATGATGGCCAGCCATGCGAGGGGGAACTCATCTGTGTCTCGATACCCGCAAGGCTTACGTTGCCCCACCTTGACCTCATCGCAGCCTTCTGTACGTCGATATCTTCGGACGTCTCAAAGTCGTGCGTCAACCAATGACGCCAAAATGGACATCTGTCATATCCAACGGCTTCCGGAAGAGCTCCTCCTGCAGGTCCTGGCCGAAGTCGCAGATTTGGATGGTGGCCCACCGTCTGCGTCGAGGTTCGGGCTCGAGCCGTCGGCAGAGCTCACAAAGTCGGCGAATCAACCGCTCAAAGTCTTCTCGTTGGTCTGCTGGCGCTGGCGCAACGTAGCAAAGCCGCATTTGTTCCAGTACGCTCGAGTCTGCCTACCCTGCGACGCGGGATGGCTACGACTCTGCACGGGACTGAGTCAATGGATCCGGGCGAACTGTCGAAAGACGCCAAAAATGCTTCGCCTCACGGGCAAAATAGATAACCTCGTGCAATCGTTGACATTTGATTCTTCGGTAGACGTCGATGCGGACCGGGCGTTGGGATTCGAGTTCATGCCGCAAGGTGAAGATGTCTGGCCGACCGAGTACTACCATTGGATGCCAACTGCGAAGACTGACGTTGCTCAATTCTTGAACTTTGTCCAGCGAAACAATCTTGTTGAGAAGATTAAGAGTTTGGTCGTGTTTGCGCACAAGAGTCTTAACGAAAAGCGTTCCAGCCATGAGGAGAGCATCATATACGATGAGGTCAAGACGATGTGGAGTGAGATCTTCAAGGCGCTGCCTCTGCAACGAGTCCTCGTCGTTGCCCCTCCTTCGACCATGGCAGTTTTGTCTGGTGGTACAGACAGGGCGTGGGATTCATGGCTCTTCCAGATGCCGTATCACTATCTCGAGTTTTCTTCGCCTCAAGACTCCACCGACGAGGTCGATCATACCGACGCATCGCTTCCTCGTCGTCCACAGGGACGCAGTTTTGAAACCTTGCTCTGCAACATCCGTCCTTGGACTCACATGGCGTACAACGAAGGAACGGCGCTTCGAGGATACGGACAGTACGAATACCAATGGAAGAAGCTTCCCTACGTCTTTCCAAGTCTAATTGAATGGTTGGTTAAGGAGAGAAACTCTGCCAGAACGCCGAAAATTCGGACCATCGAATACATTTCGCTTTTCCCGTACGCGTCGCACTTGCGAAACTTTGTGCTCGGGTTAGCCAGTATGGAACATCTTCGAGAACTCAAGGTCAAGCTCGCCGAGCCGGACTTGCTGGAGAACGCCGAACTCATGGGCAAGGCCCAGCCAAGCGACGCGTACAACGAATGGGACCATTGCTATCGTATCATAGGTCACCATTTTTTGGCCTTGGCTCAGCCAGGCACAACTTTCATATCGGCCGACACGCGATTTGCCGCGTTGAAGAGCCAGATTCAGGATTGCATCGAGCGGAGAAGCGTTGTACCTCTCGCGCATCGCTTGGTCATGGAGGAGAAGGGGGATGGAACAATTATCTGGAAAGTGAGAGACGTTTCTTGATTGTAAAGACGAGCCAAAGCACAGCTGGTTTCTGGTCCTTTGGAGGACAGTTTCCAGCCATTCTAGCTAGAGGCTTGGGAGAGCGGCGGCCAAAGCCAGTCCCACGCGAGCAATAGTAAGCATGATGGCATGCAGTCCGGCTGATGAAACCTGGAGTCCTGCTTGAGCTGCAAGTCGTTCGATCCAACAATGAGTTGTGACAAGCAGCCCGACAGTCTCTCGTCTAGCAAAAATACTCATTCACTGCTGGCTTCTGTAAGCCATATTGAGGCATTAGGGACATTGATCTCGCTTGCAAACGGCGTGGTGTCACCATGATGATATATTTCATCGGCTTCGTGGACATCCATTTTAAGGCGCCGCGAGGACTTCATCCTAGAGCCCATCCCACGAAATGAGATAGCTCCGGCAAATCTGCTATGTTGTATATCCTGCACACATGCTCATTTAGAGATCTACAGGATCCAGCCTTCCTAATACAGCCCTCTCTGTGCTCTAATCGGAGTGAAGAAGCCCATTGTAAGTTAAATCACAAGTAAAATAGAAATCTTGCGTCGCTTCCGCTATCAATAGACACGCTAATGTACTTACCACGTCACAATTGGGGCGGCAGTGGCTGGGCTGGGCTATATGTTACCATTTATGTAAAACCTCTTTAGACGAGGCGACGGTGAGTGGAGATGAACGTCTGAAGATCTTGGAAGGGTCAATGAATATGCCGCATCGGGAATACGTATGCTTCGCTCTTATCATGATAGATTACTGCATGTTGTGTGATTATGAATCAGATATATTTGACCTAGCCTTTTTTTTTTCAAGTATATGATTTTGGCTAAGCTACCACTGCGACGCTCTTACTTACGTTCAGAATCGGAGATTTCACTGTTTTTTGTTGGACCGGGGAGGGTGAGGAAGGTGATGAATTCGAATGTTCAGATAAATCGGAATACCCTCGAGCTATTGAATCTTATGAGTGTGTCGATGGGAAGGAAATTTTATACCTTGAAAAGGCGTGATAACAGGCGCTGTAAATCCGTTCAAATCTGGCCAGATTTAGGACTGCGATTGCAAGAGGCGCGCCCTCCAGGAACGGAGTCGTAGCTCTTGCTCGAATGTGGTCCACGATGTCGCCTAATCTGACTCCCTGTCGATCCGAGACTATTCTGAAGTCGGGGGAGCGCGGGTACTCTTCCCCAGCGTAGCGTGGCGAGGCCATAAAGACGGCGACGTGTGTGATGGGTGGCTGCGTGAACGTCATCGACCGCCAGCTAGCGGATGTGTCTGACCAAGACCCGCTGGATTTTGTCTCCTGCAGCAGATGAACGAGCAAGAACTTTTGCTCGTCCCAGCGGGCCAGCTGGTTCTCGATCGACCACTTCTCGTAAATGGTCTCGCCACTTATGCTGTAGCCCATTCTGTCAGAGGGAGATCGAAAGATCCGAACAACCAATGGATTTGGCCGCACGGCGCTCCAGCCGTTGTTGGGTGTGATCTTTTCCCACGCGTCGCCGTCTTCGCTGGCGCCGTCATTCACTATGAGGCATGATGGATCAGCTTCGAGGAAGAGCTGGCGTCGAATGGTTCTCGTGGAGACGATGGAGTCTCTGAACCGGCGACAAACCCTCTGCAGGCGCAATAGGTCCAATGGATCACAGTGAAGCAGTATGATGTTCAACAGTTCGGGAGTAAAAAATACCGCAAGGCGGAGTTGGTCCATACTGAACGAGTTTTTGATATTCCTGCTACCTAAGCGACACCGCGAGATGCTTGAAGCGGCGTGACCAAAAGGCAAATTTTGAGAGCAATATTATGCCGTTTGGCCTGAACGTAGGGATTTTTTTTTTCTTTAGAAAATAAAAAATTATTGCATTAGACTCTCTCAGCGAAGCTGCCGGAGCAAAGGTTTTGCGCGTTGACCCTAAAGGAGATCAAAGCACGTTGTGGGGTATTTGTAGGCACGGGCTAATTTATCTGCATGTCGTCACCAGGTCTTAATTATTCTGGTCGCGTGAGTCAAATTCGACCCTGATAACACATTCTGGACCGACCTCTCAATCGTAGAATTGATGTTCCGTTTCGAAGCGTCACCAGATCGCAATAATCGGAAAAAGTGAGCTGACATGGTATCAATACGACAGATGGGCAAGAGCTTTGGGATGCCATACCGTACTGGATTTTGGGTCGATACTGTAAAGATTTTGGGCTTATGACAACGCGGAGAAAATGTGCTGCTGTATGTATCTTTAGCATTATTTTGGGAAACGTTTTCTGTTCCGTAATGCAAGACTTTGCACTTTTGAATGTCTACCAGCCTTCGGCGTTGAGGGAATCCCCAAACGCCGTGAACTTCGGTGACGGAAGACTTCACGGCTTTATTAACTCCATCGAACACGTCGAGCTACGCCAAATATGTCTGAAATCCACGGCCCATGTTGGTTTTGCGGGTGGATTTCACCAAAACTTGTTTGCCTCAGAAATATCACAAGGTAAACGATGGATGTCGAGTGATGGTATTATGATTATGATTATTATTGTTGTTGTTTTGGAAATCTTCATAACATCATTGGTAACCTTGTGCAGCCAGTGTTTCGGCATCTACTATTGTCAGATTTTTCAAAACGTTATTGATCGGCGTAACGTTGACATTGATTTTCTGCTGTGGTTCGAGTGTCAACAATGCTCCACCGTTGCCGTTGAGGACACCGCCCAAAACATCCCCGACAAGGCCACCAACAAGAGGCAGCACTCGAACTGCTGCTGATATTTTCACCGCCTCTGCCGCAGCCGTCCAGTACGGCCAAGTATTGCCGTCATCGCTTATGCTGGTGGCCTGCGCAGTAGCAATCAACCACCCACGACCCAGTGCGGGAAGTTCTGTGCCGAGGATCTGTGTGATATTTCTTAATACACCCACTATGTTATCAAGATTCAACTTGGCTTTGGCCGTCACGAGGCCTTTTCCTTTCACGAGCTGGAAGCCATCGACGAACACAGATCCCAGGACCGTATCACCGATAAGAGCATTAGCGGAAGCTTTGGCCGTCTAGAAAACCGTCAGTAACTAGTTCGGCCTGATTACGTACTCTCTTACCGAATTGACTGTCAAAGGTGACGGATTGACGACCGGAATCGTAACCACGATGTTTGCACCATCTTGATCCGGTGGCTGGAGAATTAAGGAGTCGAGCTTTAGCACGGTCGCATTGAGCAAGCCTGGGAAAAGGTAAGCATGATTGAAACACAACGGTACTAGTTGAACAACCTTGGAAGTTTTTGACTATCGTGACGTCCACCGTCGTCTTGATCGGACCAACTTTGACTTTGAGCTTCCCTCTCGCTCCAATTCCCAGTTCCGGCAGGAAGACGAACCTGCGCCATAGCCGGCCCCATTCTGTCAAATTACCTATTGTTATATTCTGATTATAGGCGGTGAAGGTCTGTCCGCCATGAATCTTGATCGTGGACGTATGGACCTGCGCAATCGGCAGTGGATTCGGTAAAGTATCCGGGTTGAAGAGCATGACGTCTGCGGGATATAGCGTAGCAGAAATACCGGCAGGTGCTCTAATTGAGGAGTGAATGTCAAATGTAGCATAATCTTCTTTAAAACTAGTAATGGCTCCGTAGACATTGTCTGGAACCGCGATATTGTTCGCCACGTAAACTGCAAAAGCTGGCACTGCATATATGATGCTTGAATATGTTAGTCAAGTCACATGTGATGCTGTGACACAACGGCTTACAGAATCGGGATTATGATAGCAACAGTGATAATCCCGAGCAACCCGAGCGCAAGCCAGTGTTCGAGAATGAAGTCAGCAAAGAGACCTCTGTACAAAACCTCGTGGTCAGTAGCTTAGTCGTCGATAAAGGGGGCAAACTTACTTCACTTTCATGTACTCTGGTGGATCCGGCTCCCATTTTTCTTCTTCTGCTTCTTCAACATATGTAGTTGTGGCCGCGACCGCTGAAGCTCTTGCACTCTTTCCCCCATCAGGTGGCGCATAAGCTGTGGGAGATGGTCGTTTCTCATCTGCGTACGTACGTTTCTCAACACCGTATTGTCGATTTTCGTCTGAATATTGGGCTTTCTCATCTCGATAGGGACTGATTTCATCATCGACTGGGGCCTTTTTCTCATCAACATGGACGGGAGCAGGAGCATTAGTAGGAATGGGTGGGATTGCCATAGAGTCCGTTCGCTCCCCAGCCTCGGCCTTCTGTTCTCGGTAAATTGTTGGTTGAAGAAGATTGTGGTTACTTCGTATCCGTGCATTTTTGAAAATTGCGATGAGGAAGAGCAACAAGCCCTAAAGAAGGTCAGGAGCAATTTTGATTCGGACGATGCTTCGGCTTACCAGTCCAGCGCATCCAGCCCAAGCTCCAAACTCTAAAAAGCACATAGCAACCAAAGCCCTATACTTAGGGCATGAAACATAATTTTCACCCGGCGTAACGTTTGCGACACCATAGCAGGTGGATTTGAGAAACTACATCGTCAAATTAGTAGTGAAAAGCCGGAGTTTATGGTTCCTGTATGGATCGTACCATGATCACAAAGGAGAATATAGCGCATACAGCCCACGCGACGGCGAAGAACCCATCGTATAAGAAGTTGGGATAAGGAGGTACCAGCGAGGCAGGAATACTGACGACGCCCATGACCACAATGTAGATGGAAATGCCATCCATCCAATTGCGCTCTGCCAAAGTCAAAGAGATGAGTGCTAGGGATATGACGGCGAATGCGAAAGCCCCCATCCGCCCAAGGAAACAGGTGAGCTTGATTAAGGCTACCCACATCGTGCTGAAGAATGGAAGCTGGACCGGCCGAGCAGCAACAGTGTATAGGTGCCACGTGCTATGTCTTCAATGCCTCGCAGGCCGTCCAGCAAGGAGGAAAGAATCTTCGCAAAGCATCTACATTTCTAATGTGCGGTCGCTATATACATATTTCCGAATTAAAGTTCTACCGCTTCGGTCACGATGATGTAGGGATTACGGGTCAACCGCAAGGAAGATCTGATCTGTTCAATGTGACCTCCATGGTAGCTTCGGATAACCTCCCCGTTGCGCTGCTGTTTGCTCAAGTCTTTGATTCAGAGAGGGCTCAGGACGTGTTGTCGCTTGTTAAATTGTGAAGCCCTGTTGCCAAATCGGGATCGTCGCAGGGCTCGTCACTGGATCTCAAGGGCCAAGCACCGGAGTCTGCAACCCCGCAAAGAGCAACAACATGCATTTCTTCACAGATCTGACGCTACTTCCCAAGGACATGGTGGCAGTCTCTTGGCTTTTTTTCTGACATTTTTTCTTGATACATTTGGGAAGTTTGCCGTGGCACACTCCGAGGTATAGCCCGTTCCACGTGGACGCAGGGATGAATCCTGGGAGGGCGCTCCCAAAGACGGCAATTCAGGCTAAAGGAAGCAGGGCGATATTTACATTATTGGATTAGGTATTTCTCCGTAAGGAGTCATGCGCGCCTGCCGTGAAGACCAGGTTGGTTGTAGCAGCGATTGGTGGTTCGCCCACGGTTACCCGCCCTAACGCTCGAGTGGGCGTTGACAGCGCTATACGCAGATCGTGCCACCCAAAGTAGATCTGTTGGCGTAGGTACTGATACACACTGGATAAAGCTAGGGCTTAGAGACGAAGTTATAGTTGGACGGACTCAAGTCGGCCTTTCATATGCCGCGTTTGATTCCTGCCGTGCTGCTCAAATGGCCACAGGTAGGTACTGATATAAGTTAGAAAATTGGTACAAAGGGTGTTGAAAACGAATGGAGCAGCTCCGTATAGCGCGGTAAGTTGAGTTATCGACAACAGGGTCGGTTGTCTCCGGTGCATGCCGGAACTAGAGGAGTCCTAGTAGATGGATCGCGCGCCATGGTCGATCGTTGCCAATGGTCGTCAGCCCCAACTACCTTTACAGCCACAGAAAAAGATCAAATCCTGGCTCTTCAAGCAGTATAATCCCCCACAATCTGGATCCTATGATCGTGTATGCTGAGGCGAGACTGCAGATACATATATACGTGCGCACATGGTGTTCCAGACGAAGGCCTATTTCCCCGATTCATTTGGTATACCTTCCACATGTACTGAAACTGCCCCAGCTTGTCACCCCACAAGGTACTAATCAGGCAATCGCATACCATGTCAGTATAATGGTAACACCCGAGGGGCAGACGGGGCTTTATTTGACCGATCGCCTGAGATAGGTTGTGACCCTCCTGCGTTGCTTTAAAATTGGAGGGCTGCTTCTTTTTGTGCTGCTATTCACTTGTCACACTTTTCATTTCAGCAAGTGTCCGCAATAGAGATATATTTCCAACTCAAATATGGCAGCAGCTGTCGACTACGGCCATGCGGAGCGCTGGTCTCAATCCGAGAAGAGCGAAGATGTTATCGAGGCCGAGAAAACACGCCTTAAACATTCCGAGGACCCACAATATGAGCCAGTGGCAGAGATTCACGAGATCAAAAAGATTATCCGCGAAGGTATCACACTGACAAGTGGCCTCACCGCCGTGCTCCTCCAGGTTGCGCACCCAGTTGTTGGTCGTGGCGTTGGAATCCACAGCGAGTTCTCCAAGCCAGGCCGTGCAGTGGATCGTGCAGAGAAGACCGGCATCTTCATCTACGTCTTCGTCTTTGGTACTGAGGAGCAGAAGAAGGCGATGCAGCATTACATTAATATGATGCATAGCCGTGTCAAGGGTGGAGAAGGGAAGACAGCTTACTACGCCAAGGATCCTCACGCTCAACTCTGGGTCGCCGCTACGCTTTACGCTACCATGATCGGCATGTACGAGATGGCTTTCGGTCCTCTGCCTCATAACAGGGCAGAACGCGTGTACAAAGAGTTTTCCTACCTTGGGACTGCTCTGCAGATGCCGCCTGAGTTGTGGCCAGTGAACCGAGCTGCGTTCTGGAGATACTATGCCGATATGATCGAAAACCACCTGGAAGTCACTCCGGAGGCGGAAAAGGTGCTTTACGATCTCCTCCATCCGTTCAAACCGGCGCCCTGGTATGCTAAGCCTTTCGTTCCGTTCCTCATGCCAATCGTCAAAGCTATCACCATTGAGCAGCTACCTGTCAAGGTGCGACAGGACTACGGTCTGAGGTCCACCAAGTTCACTCGCTTCGTGAACAGCTTCACCGTTGCTACCGCCACTTCTGTGTACCCAGCTCTACCGCTGTTCATTAGACAAGCACCGAAGACATTTTTTATGTGGCGTATCAGAAAGATGATGAAGAAGCGCGGCGTTCGTGAATACAAGAAATGAAGGGAGAAAACTTGCGCTGATACCGCGATGATGCTGATACCACGATGATGCGGTCGCTGTGAGAGGGTGCCTTTAGATCGAGACTCGGAAGATGAATTGCTGAGGGAGATCGGACTATTGAAATTGCACTCGACTTGGATGATGTCTTCATTTTTGTATAGTCTAGTGTGAAATCTGATCGCTGGTGACAAATTCTTGAATACTCCCATGGTCATGAAGTATTGCTGCCGATATATCTCGTAATAGTGATTGGCATAGCCCTTCCTTCCAGGACTAAAGACAGGCCAGCTCAAACTGAGCTTACGCTAGCACTGTATCAGGGAAAGACTCTGATCCTTAAGTTTGCTAAACTTGATAGAACGACGTTAAGCCACATTGTTGAGCTAGCGCTGTCCGAAATACACCGTGAGCGTGTGCTAATGTTCCGGTTATTGCCTCTCGTTGCAATGGCAACCGCGGATATCTGGATAAAGGAGAAGTCAAAATGGGTAATTTGGCGAAGATGTATTGAGCAACGCATATGGTTTATCTTCTAGATGTAATATGGTCTGGTGCAAAATGCTCTCGAAATTAACCTTGTTGCGTAAGGCTAAGAGCGTTCTGCATTGTAATGACCGGATTTATGCGAGGAGCTGATATACTGATGATTTTGAAAGGCTTGAACAAAAAAATTCTGGTATCATACGTTTGAAGGCTGACTAAGAGCATTAATCCGTGGCAGTGGTGGATGAAAAAGGAATACAGCCTCGTAGACCGCTTATTATTAGATTTGAGGTTTTCGGATAGAGATGCCCTCATACCTGGAGTGTTTTCCTCATTTTGGAAAACAGGGCTCATTATACCAACTACAAAAGTCAATATTTCATATGCGTTCATTCCTGAAGTGCGTGCTACCTGCGCATTCATCCATACTAATGTTTTTATTTCTCAAGTAAGAAAGATGAACAAATAGCTGCGGCTGCATACAGAGCTCAATAGCCTCCTTCCGAATCTTCTGCAAAAGCTAGTTGTTTCTTCGAACTGTCTTAATACTATGTTGCCGATAAATAGAATATGTATTGCTTATGTTACCGTGCGATTGGTGCTGTTGCATTGCTTTCTAGAGACACATTTAGGTGAATACTAGTACCTTGTGTTGACTCTCAAACTTCAAAGAAGTAGTCCCAATTTGGGATTTAAGTAAAAAGTGAAACAATTTATGAGAGTCACGTGGCTGGCTTCAACTGATCGTAGAAATATCTAGGCTTCGATGTCATCCAAGAATCCAGCCCAGCTGTTCTCTCTTTTCGAGATAGCGGGCAATTCATTTCTTGTCGTGTCCGCTGAAAGCTTTCTGGTGCTTGATCGGACTAAGCTGGCTGTATTTGTCACGTCGTATTATGCAAAAAGCTTGGCGTGAATAGGTATTCTGTTCTATTATGCACTGTTCATAACCATTGCCTCAGAATTTAATAGTGGAGCTCAAGTCCATCTTTCAAGGTTGACTGGCGTACTCTTCCGGCCAATCCAGCCAGTGTCGATCCTCCTCTTTCAATGCATTTCTTATTTGTTCAAAGGCTGATTCCATCCAGCCTTCCAAAAACCACTTCGGCGCCAAGTGTTTCGTAAGCATGACCCAATGGGCGAGAACAACTAACGCACCCACATGCCTTTTCTTCATCAAATTTACAAACGTTGCGCTTACAGTTGTCTGCCATTTCATCAAAACACCGAGCTCAATGTCTTTGCGACGGCGAAAATCTGGATTGAAGACTCCAACCCCTGACGGTGGGAAGTGCGCTATGTCGCGAAGCACCTTTTCAAGCTCGAGGATGGCGAAATGACAAGCTTCTTTGCTTGCATCGTGGTAGCTACCATGTTTATCAAGAAGGTCTCTGCGGAGCACGTCCATCCTATTGGCGAGAATTGGTGGCAGCTCGTAATTCTCGTTTCCGTCTAACGTGTAATTGTCGAGAACTGGCTCAAGTATTGGTTTTATCTCTAGCTCACTGAGCCAATCGTACACGGGGTGCAGGACGTCGCGAACTCCACGGGTCATAAAAAATACCGCAACAACGTCGTCTAAGGTTGGTGGATGGTCCGGACTGTACTTCGCTAGCGACATGTTTGCAACGCAGGCGACGGTGAGCAGCGACGATGTTAGGAATATGGCAACAATATTATCTTTTGTTATTTCTCGTATTGTGGTCTGGAACTGTTGCGTAGTATGCTGTTGGTGTTTTATCGAGAGCTTGGAATAATGCTCTCGTTGACTAGGCCGTAAATAAGCCAAATGGGAAGCGGCGATTGCTAAGATGATATGTAGAAGTGGAGGAACCTTCACTCCGACCTCTGGAGCTATTTTCTGGAATAGAAGTTGGGCGGCGGGCCGGGTGGTGACCATTGTAAAGCACGTCTCGGCCGTCCAGTGTGCCATCAGATGCAAGTCCTCAGCCCAATCCGAATAAGGGGTGCTTGGAACGATTTTGGGGGTGTAGTTGGAGAAGAACGAGAAGATGTCCTGATGCTGTGGAGGAGTGGCGGGAGAATGGGAGCCATAAGGGCTTGCAGGCGCCGCTCCAGCGCTACTTGATGGTGCACTTGCTGAAGATTCTCCTTTGAAGCTAGCTATATAAATGGGGTCTGTAACAAGACTACAGAGTTCACCACGGCGATGACAATCGCGACACGGCTTTCCTTCATCGCACTACACAGTATTAGCTATCTAGCTCCGTTACCAATCACATGATCAATCCAAATCTCAACGATAAGTACCAGATCATCAAACGTATTCACGATTGCATTCAGCTTGACGACAGATTTGGGAGTATGCTCGCATTGCACTGAGAGGATAGGAAAAGGAATGCTCACTTTGACGCGCCGCTGCTTGCATCTCAAACATCCGCTTCGAGACTTTGTATGAGCAGCTCTAGACGGCATATCGAAGTATATGACGCCAACGGGGCGCCAAAGGTCACGTCTGTGTACGAAGCTACATACGAGAATCCTTGATAGGTTTTTGCCTTATGCATCAAGAAAACGGTGCGACTGCATACGCACGAAAAGGTAAGCGAGCAAATCATACGGGCGTTGGGGCATTTTTCTGCCTGAGGCGAAATAGCGTCTTGGGCAGCACACTCAGGCATCCAATTTCCGCCAAGAATTTCGCGATCACCCACCACGAATTTCAACAGGCCAACCTGCGACAACGAGCAATCAGTTTAGAACGACCCGCAGTCAGCACTCCCAACCAGTGAGTATTTTGAACTCAAGTGTCAGGTCTATTTGTTCCACGGTACTGATTTAGCATCCGTACAGCAGCAATCACTTGCTATTTCTCCATCCTAGCGACCGCAACTATGACCCACGAGTCTGTCTGGTACTCACGTCCTCGCGACTACGGCAAGGGTGCTCGCGAGTGGTACGTACAATGCCTCATCCTCGTAGTCTCGATCTTCGTTGATCAAAAGGCGGCTCTGCATTGGCTCGGGAATGTCCACATACTGATTTGCTATACAGCCGTGTCTGCGCGCATCGCGCCGGTCTCATCCGCAAGTATGGTCTCAACATCTGCCGTCAGTGCTTCAGGGAGAGAAGCCACGACATTGGTTTCGTCAAGGTACGGAAAGCAATACGATGCAGCATTTCATTGTGCTCAAGGCCGCCGCTGTCGCTTGACATGATCCTTGAGCCTCGAAAATTCTGCATTAGAACTACGAAATGGATCTTAGCTTATGGATGTGTACAGCACCGATAAATTCTCGCATCAAGCATTCCGATAATGACAATGAGCATGTACGCATGCATATATCGAGCGAAAGAGGGTTAACAGGATGTGGGGTCTTTGGTTTGAGGACAACCCTCCAATAACCTCCTTGGTGAAAAGATCAAGGGCTTGCAACTGGTATTTTATGCATAACGGCGAAATAGAGTCTGTAGGGCTATTGAATGCATGTCAAGATTTTGAGCATAATCTGAGTTCATCCTTCCTCAGAGAACTTTACAACTCGGCTGTTTGCGTGCTGCCTGCTGATTGTTATAAACGCCAAGAAATGCAAAAAGTCCAGAAACACAGCTATCCGCTTCTAGTTTCCATTGCGGTCAAATGGGTAATGTGAACTGACAGCATGTGTAGGCTGGATTAAGGACTGGGCAGAATTGATTCTGCCGTGTCTGATTTTGATGACGGACGTAATCGAGTTTTTTTATAGAATCAGAAGGCCAAGTCCGCGAGGAATTCGCATGAGATAAGCAGTGACAGGCTCTAAATTCGGCTTTGGGGTGACTTTAAAGCTACTCCGTGCCATGTCTCCGCGTGTCTGATGTGCATCACCCTATCTTAGTACCCCTTGAATCTTAGGTCAGACCAGCATTCTTATCAACCAATCACCCATGATCGATGGTAGAACAAACGACTCCTATACTCATCTAACATAAAGAGCGCAAGTGCATCGGAACCTTTTCTTTTTCTTTTTTTATCTTTCCTTCTTTGAGAGACTGTATCTCAAAATGTCTGTCCCCAAGCCCGGCCAGAAGAAGGCTGTACTATTCTCGTGCATGCCATCTCACGACATCATCAACGAGCTTATCAAAACAGTACGTAGGCACAATTATCATGTCTCGCTGCTGGTTATGTCTCCTCTCGCTTTCAACTTCGCTATGACTGGCGACGGAATTCGAGATATGAGCAAGACAATTGCGGATGTCATCGATAAGACCTGGGACCCGCCAGCCATTCTATCTGTTACTAGTACGCGTCAGGTCGAGGACATCTACTGTAGCATCGATCCGGACATCGCGCTATGCTATTACTTCGCGTATCCAATCAGCAAAAAGATGCTGGACATGAGAGCCAAAATTATTAATATGCATCCGGGGAAAATGCCTGTGGAGCGAGGTCCATTTCCGGCGTTGTGGCCGACAATGTATCCCGACAAGTACTCAATGGACGACTTGTGCGCAACGTTCCACTATATGAACGAGAACGTGGATTGCGGGCCTATCATCAAGCAGATCCCTCTGAGAGATCGTTATCCGGAGGGAACGACATTGCGAAATCGTCCTATTGGGCTCATCGAGATAGCTACTCCTGTGTTTCTAGAGCACTTGGATGAAGTCATCACGCTCACGGAGCAAGGATATGAAGGTACAGCACAAGAGCAGCCTGATTTTGCACCACAGAGGAACGAGGGCAGCGGCTATGGGGCAAGACGCCCAACAGAGGAAGAGAAGGTTATCCAACCCACGTGGAGTAAAGAGAGAGTGCTTACTTTGGGGCGGGCTCTAGGTGAGGCGGATGGGCTGGAGGAACCGTATTTTTGGTGGAATAGGCGCCGCTATTTGGTAAAAAGGATGGAAGAGTGGGAGTGGCCAGGCAAGCATCCTGGCAAGCCGGGTGATGTGATCAGAGTTGGGTTTGATCTTGTGGTCATGTTTGAAGGGGGTCCAATAAGAATGGCGACGAGGATTAAGTAGCGTTATTTCTTCCATACCAATTCGATTTGTCCAGGACTGACTGCTCGCAAATTCTTTGCGCTTCGTATGTCCTCATGGGGAATGCTGAAGAAAAAGCTATTTCGCAGCCGAGATGTTAAGCAGACAAAGTGTTTATTCTTTCATAAGATGACTGATATTACTCTGCTCATGAAATCAATAATGCGAAACAAACAATAGCTCTCCCAGTTCTCAAATGAAAGTGGGATGCATATCGCATCTTCCAGACTTATATCTACCAAGGGGTACTTTGCATTTTTGGCTCAGCCACAGCGAGAAAACTTACCGTGTCGCCGAAACTCCCGTAGCATTCAAGCAAAATTTATGCAAAGAGCAAGTCATATCTTGCAAATTGTGGTACGAGCAATGACTTCATGTACGCAAAGTTGACCAATCGGGAAATGAAGATCTTCCGGCGAACCGGATTTGTCAGATCAACCTACGGAGCTGCTCCCTCCTTCATCATGACCAGGTCTACGATAAGTCTTTGAACATCGTTATGTTTGTTACTTCGCTAACTCATAGGCCCACGGTGTCTCCTAAGTGACCCGCGATGTTCTGTATAAGGAAACGTAAACAGTGCTGATACGACGTACCGAGATGAGCAATCATTCTGAATCTGGGTGGAATCACGATCAAGCTTCAACGGCTCGATTGATCACAAAGGCGATCGTCGAAAGCTTAGAAGCTCACCTGGAGAGTATCATCAAGCGACAAATATACGCTGGCACACTAGAGTTGCACATTGATAATCCTGAGATCTACGTTGATGCTAGTCTCGTTGGCAGACGTTATGGAAAGCCTTTTGCTGAAAAAATCCACGTCGCACCGTTGAAACTGCCGGCTTTGAGTGCTTCATCTACGCCTAGTTTGGTGCGTTCTGACACCGAGTCGTATTTGTCTCAAAACTTTACAATACACCATGATGTGACGCCAGGTAGTCATATTGCATGTCCTACCCTACCTCTGCCGACAGGAAACCCAGAAAATGAGCTTGGAAGACCTTTTGGTGGGTTACGGTCTCGTGGTGGGACAGCTGAGTCACCCGAGGATAATCAAAGTCGCCAATTGCAACGCGATGTTCGCAATACCCCGAAAAGACATAAGATCAACGAGGACAGAAGTGTGATGAAACCTTCTACACTAGACAAGCTGGTCGCAAGCATATGGGAGCAAATACACAGTAGTTTGCAGCTTGACCCTCAGGCCGTCTCAGAACAATGGACTGAGCCACGATTAATTACTGCCGACTCATCTACGGTTCTCGACCCTGGTAGTTCTAAATTCAGCAAAGCGAACACGCTTTGCAGAAAAGTAACTCAAGCATCTCGATGCTGTAGGAGTCTAGAGGTGATTGTACAAGCCCACTGGATTTCTTGCTACGATGAACGAGTTCGATCATTGGCAGAAAAAGAACCGCATATAAGTTTGACAAAGCACAAGGTGGCTGTTTTGAAAGAAGCTTGCGAAGATTTTGGGTGGACAGAGAAAGACCTACGGAACAAGATGGCCGTGTGGCGAGGCTATCATGAAATCGAGCAAGCTGGAGGCTGGGTTCCACTTGTCTTCGCTGGGATGGGCCTATACCGATATTGCAAATATCGTGTGGACTTTAGTCCGGAAGCATTATTCAAGCTGGCTATGCTGAGGCCGGCCTTTGAAGTCGCAGCTGATACTCTTCATCCTCAATGGCGTGAGCTTCTCTCAATTGTGGGACAGCCAACGGTGAGACGATACACAGGCCATCCTCACGACTGGGTCATTCAAGAAGGTGGAGCTGTACCTCTTAAAGAAACATACCTGCAGTGGGACCCCCATTTTTCGTTTGAGCACCTTTCCGAGTCTGCGTTGGACAAAGATAAATGGGGAGAGTATGATCCAAGGTCGTTTCCCCATCGTACAGATGACCTCGTAAAGCGGCAACACATATGCGACAATTGCGGGTCACTTCAATCAGAAATTCCTCAAGAGAATTCTTGTGTATGCTTCCCTAATTTGTACGGAGCGAGGAGAGGTCCAGTGCCCGTACAGGTCTTTAGAACTTCAGACGGCAAAAACAATGGCCTGATGGCACTTTGCGGTTTTCCTCGAGGCACAGCCATCGGCGAGTTCGTTGGCGTTGTTACTTCAGCGATCAAAAATCTCGATTGCATGCAGTCCTCCGTTGATGACGGTCCAACTTACCAGATATACCAAGGTCGCAAGGGCAATTTCACCCGCTTCATCAACCATTCCTGCTTGCCCAATGCACAATACGAACGGTTCACTTGGTTAGGTTTGCAACGAATTGTGCTAGTCTCCAAAGGCATTGACGCCGGACAGGAGATCACCGTTGACTATGGTGACGGATACTGGCAAAATCTTGACAAGATTTGCCAGTGCGGCGAAAGCTGTTGTCGGTACAGGAATCGTAGGGTGTCGACTGTGGACGAGTGAATTTATGAACGCATGGAAAAATCAATTTCCAACCACACGTCGAATTTTATTATAGAACGAAAGAATCCCTTCAAAAGCCAATAAGATTTACAATGCTTCAACTCTACACCGCTTACGTTTTGCGATAGCTCTACTGGAGCAAGGTAGAGGCAATGGCACATCGACAATTGAGGTCAAATCTGTTGGAATTGCGTTCACAACTTTACTTTGGCCTAACTATCTCATGAAACGTATCCACAAATCTTTGTATCTCGTCCTCAGTGTTGTAATGTACCTGCCACGCATTAGCGGTTGCTGAACATGTGACGAAAACACGGCGAACTCACCATGCTCACTCTTACGACCCCCTCTTCCCCAGACTGCAGTATCTCATCGCATAGCCGCTTGCTGTAGAAATGACCCCATCGAAATCCGAAATCGGACTGCTTCTCCATGGTTTCGACCACTTCCCTCGAACGCCAGCCCATGACATTGAAACTAATCGTTGGCACTCTCAGATCCGGATCCGAGCTGGTTTCTCCGTATACAGTGACATCCTCCCGTCCCCTTAGGTAGCTCAGCAAGACCTCTGCCAATCGTGCCTCGTGCGTGGCTGTTTCCGCTTGGTCGTGCGACGCAAGATACTCCACGACCTTTGGAAGCGCCTGGGTGAGCTCGTAGTTCGCAGCGGCGAGCCCCAGCTTGTTCTCCAGCGTCGTCGTCGGGTTGAACCAGTGTCCCAGGCTAGCGAGCTGCTCCTGCGCCTTTTCGCTTCCGTACAGTACGGCAATGTGTGGTCCGTACACCTTGTACCAGCTGAAGCTGTAGAAATCCACGCCGAGCGCCTTCACGTCGATGCGCCGGTGCGGAGCGTACGCCACCCCGTCGACACAGAGCATCGCGGCTGGAATCCGATGCACGGCGTCGGCGATGGCTCTGATGTCGACAATGGTGCCTAGGATGTTGGACGTGTGCGTGCAAGTCACGAGCCGCGTCTTCGGGGTGAGGAGCTTTTCCAGGTCGCGCGGATCCAGCTTTGGATTTGTGCTTGGTTCTGGACTCCACCATTTCACGGTCAGGTTGAGCCGGGAGGCGATGTCCACCCACGATGCTATGTTGGCTTCGTGGTCGACTTTGGAAAGAACGAGCTCGTCACCTGGACGCCATTTGATCGCCATTGACAAGTTGCGGAACAATTGAGTCGTGGACGGCCCGATGACTGATGGACGACAAAACCACGAAGTTAGGAAGCATTCAATGCATAGCAGCAGGCGCACAGTGCCGTACCAATCTCTTCTGGAGCAGCATTCATGTAATCCGCTGCTGCTTTGCATCCATCGGTGTATGCCTTTGTGGATTGGCGACCTACAGGGTATGTCGCTCCGAGTTGAACGTTTGTGTTTGATAGATAATCTGCGATTCTGAATGACGCACGCGTTATCACGGGACCTTCAAATCGTGTCTGGCTTGACATACGACGTTATCACCGTCCCTAGAGTCTGCGATCCTCCGGCGTTGTCGAAAAAGACCTGTTTTTGCCGCAGCGCGGGGAACTGCTTGCGTGCCTGCTCGACGTCAAATGTTGATGGCATCCTGGGCTACGCGATATTCGATCAAAGCCTACAACTAACAAAGATGATCTTAAAAGCATGTAGAAGCTTGACAAATGAAAGGCACAACTGCATGTATCCTTTGGTTTCGCAAGAGGCCAACATCCGAACAACACAATCCCCGCTAGAAAGTACCAAAGTAACTAGCTCAATGGGGTAAATGGGCTGTAGGGTAACCAGTCCAGATTTACACTTGACGACCTGATGGTAAACTCCACAGAAATCCACAGAAGGGCTGGGACCAAAAACTTTCCTTTTTTCGCGCTCTTCCCAAAGGCTTCCTATAGCATCTAGGCGTTTGCGATCTCCGAAGCACGTTTTTTTGGCCCAGATTTTCTGAGAAGTGGTTTGGCCCGTCTAGGAACAAAAGCTTGCAAAGTCTCAGAAGAATTTGACCCAAACCCATATTTTTTTCTACATGCGTATGATACATACAAAGCCTCTAGCTGGCCTCGGAGATCGAATCAATCAACGCCAGTAAAAAATGCTGTCCGCCAACTTCCTTTCATTCCACCCGAGAGCCAATGCGCCTCGCTTTGGTTATACAGCAACACGCTAGACCCGTCAAGACAATCCTATCACCAGTTTTTGTGTGGAGTGGAGACCAAATTACAAGCATATGTTGGCAGAATACATACATGTAGAAAATTGGATCCCTAGGTCATTGTACAGCTCAAGGGAGTCGACTGATTAAAATTTTTTATTTCTTGCCGCTGGCCCCGGGTCCGTCCAGTATCCGAGTGATCAGACCTGTAGCTACGGTTCGACCACCCTCTCGCACGTTGAAACGTTGGCCGGCCTCGATGGCCAGAGGATGGTGCAGTTCGCACACCATCTCGACATTGTCACCTGGCATAACCATTTTGTTCTCCGCGGCCTCGGGGCTGCCCTCCGGCCACGTGAAGGTAGAGGATTCGTCTAAATTCTGCTGTTAGTGCCATGGAACACCCAATCAAGAAGTTCAAATAAAAAGGTTGCAGAGGGAGACTTACCAGCTGTACGGATGTAAAGCTGAGGCTTATAGTTACTGTGGAAGCCCGTGTGACGACCACCTTCCTCCTTGGTGAGCACGTACAGCGACGCAAGGAACTTCTTGGCCTGCTTGATCGCTCCTGGTATAGAGACGACCATACCACGCTTCACATCCTCGCGCTTGACACCACGCAGAAGCAAGCCGGAATTGTCACCAGCACGAGACTCCTCGCAGGACTTCTTGAAGGTTTCAATATCCGTAACCTTAGTCTTGATGGGCACCTCGTTCTTGCCAATCAACTCAACATCCTGGTCACGTCTCAGGACGCCACGCTCGACACGGCCGGAAGCGACGGTGCCACGGCCAGGAATGGAGAACACGTCTTCGACAGACATCAGGAATGGCTTGTCGGTGTCACGCTCAGGTGTTGGGATCCACTCGTCCACCTTTTGAAGCAGCTCATCAATTTTGCTTTCGCCAATTTCCGGCTGCCGACCCTCGAGCGCGCACAGAGCAGAACCCATGACGATGGGAGTATCGTCGCCCTCGAAGCCGTATGAGGACAGAAGCTCGCGCATCTCCATCTCAACTAGCTCCAACATCTCTTTATCCTCAATGGTATCGACCTTGTTGACGAACACGACGATCTTCTGGACACCGACCTGGCGAGCCAGCAGCAGATGTTCACGAGTCTGAGGCATCTGGCCGTCTGAGGCGGCGACGACGATGATGGCACCATCCATGTTGGCCGCACCAGTAATCATGTTCTTGATGTAGTCGGCATGACCGGGACAGTCGACGTGCGAGTAGTGGCGTGCTTCGGTCTGGTACTCGATATGGGCGGTAGATATGGTGATACCACGCTTGCGCTCTTCGGGAGCCTTGTCGATGGAGGCGTAGTCCAGAAAGTTGGCGAAGCCCTTCTCAGATTGGCGTTTCGTGATGGCGGCGGTCAATGTGGTCTGTTTGCAGCATTATTAGCGATACAAAGACTCCAGAGTGTTGGAGGTGTGGAAGCTATGCACGTACTTTGCCATGGTCGACGTGACCGATTGTGCCTGAATTGCCATGTCAACCAGAATCCCATTGGCATCTAATGGCTAGCAATTAGAAGAAAGAAACACACCAATATTCACGTGCGGCTTAGTTCTCTCAAAAACAGTAGCATAATTTCTGCATGCCTGGGCATATCTGGCAGCGCCCTTCACGCCCAGAGCTTGCTGCACGGGGTTGACGGAGCTGCGGGCAAAGGCGACTCTGCCCGCCGTCCTTAGGAAAGCTTGCGCAAAAATGGCCATTGCGAGGACAGGAACGAGATGGCACAGATGACGAAACGAAAAGAATTGACAGAAAGAAGATAGCGATCGCGACGGCGAGAAGATGGGAATTAATCAAGAGCCACTTGGTTGGTCGGCCGATATTTTTCTGGACAGACTCCTCGAAAGGGGCTAGCGCAGGCCCCAGTCACGTGATATGGACCGTCTCCTCCGAAACGAGCTCCGCAGCTGTTGACGGCGTCGGCGTCGGTCGTGGAGGAAAATCAAATCCGTCGCCAACCGCTGCACATTATTATCGCCTCAGCCGTCATCTGTCTGACCGTCTGGTCTCCTTTTCTTCGCGACGCTTCCGCAAGCAATTGGCATTTGGTTCCATGTTCTTTTGTCGTCCAGACGATCGTCGGTTCTAGCTTGTCCTCCCGTCTTCCCGAGGTCCTTGCAACGCCGTTGCTCCTCGAGCTTCCCTGCCCGACATCACACTGTCCATAATCACCGCCATTGATGTCGCTGCTCCGCCCAGTAGTCAGCACAGCGAGGCCTCTGGGCTCTTGCGCACAACACCGCTTATCGAGGATGCCACTCAAGGCGAGAATACAGAATGCCGCCGTCGCAGGCACGAGACATGTAATATTCCCTTCCGCCCGCTACAATCCTAGCTCCAATGGCCTTGTTTTTGCTCAAGAAGGGAGATGAGGCGAACTTGGCTGACAGCTGTATCAGTACATACAAACCACCAAGATTGAAGAGTTGGTAAAAGAACAGCCGGGTGACGAGCCTGACGACGTAGTCTTCAACTCGCTGTACGGGCTGCGTACCATCGAGCTCAACCGGCCTAAGAAGCTCAACTCGCTAAACGGATCCATGGCGAGAAAGATCATTGGGCGTCTAAAGGAGTGGGAATCGTCCGACCTTGCGAACACAATCGTCATCCAGGGCCGGGGACGTGCTTTCTGTGCTGGTGGTGATGTTGCGGCATTGGCCAACTGGAACAAGGAAGGCAAAGACGGCCAGAAAAAGAGCAACGAGTACTTTGCTCTCGAGTATAAGCTCGATCACATGATCGCTCGCTATAAAAAGCCTTACATTGCGTACATGGATGGCATAACCATGGGCGGCGGAGTAGGCCTGTCGCTGCATGCACCCTTCAGGATCGCTACCGAAAACACAGTGTTTGCCATGCCAGAGACGACGATTGGTTTCTTCCCCGACGTGGGAGGATCATTCTTCCTTCCAAGGATGGACGGTGAGATGGGCACGTACTTGGCGTTGACAAGTGAGCAACTCAAGGGTGTTGACGTCTTGTAGGTTTCTCTTTCACACCCCTCAAACAACCAGAATTCGATGAATGAGGCTTGCGTGCGTACTAACGTGTTGATTTATGTGCATACAGCTACCATGGTATTGCGACCCACTACCTCCACTCCAGTTCACTCCCCGAACTTTCCGAACGCCTCGCACAGCTCCAATTCAAGGACTACGCCCCCATGGCCGAGCGCCTCGAGCTGATCGATTCTACAATTTCCGAGTTTACTACGGCCTTGCCTGCCCCACGGCCTAGCATCACGGGCGCACAACGCAAAGCTATCGACGAAGCTTTCCGGGTTCCGCCCACGGGCACAGTCAGCATCGCCGAAGCGCCGCTCCAGATCCTCAAGGCGCTCCAGGATGTAGCCGGCGGCCACGCGGACGAGAGTGTTCGCAGCTGGGCGGAAAAGACGATCAAGACAATCCGGGAGCGGAGCCCCATTGCAGTCGCCGTGACGTTGCAGCAAATGCGCCTGGGCTCTGGGTGGAGCATCATCCAGACATTCCAGGCGGAGCACGACATCGCTGCCGCGTTCATGGCGCATCCCGATTTCGTCGAGGGCGTCACAGCGAGGCTGATAGAGCGTAAGAAGGAGCGACCAAACTGGCAACCCAACCAGCTCGAGGATGTGACGGAAGATATGGTACGTGGATTCTTCCGAAAGGGCCTCGGCGGCGGCCTGAAGCTGTTGGACAACCTACCCGGGGCGGACTACAAGGAGTACCCGTGGAAGAAGCTGGCACTGCCAACCGAGGACGAGATTCTCGAGGTCGCAGGCCGGGGCAAGCAGACGATGATGACGGAGGAGGTCGTGCAGCATTTCTTGAAGGAGAGGAAAGGCAAGGTCGGCGTGAGGGAGAAGGTTGAGGAGGTTCTGGAGAGGCACTCATAGGAAGACGTGGCCAGCGGAGGATCAGACAAGAAAATCCGCCTTGGCGTACTGTATCATAACGAGAAGAAGGGAAGAAAAAAAACTTAGAAAATAAAAACCACCCCCGGAGAGGCTGATTGGTGATTTGTCAAATCGCGATGCGCTTTCGAGACCGCAGTCCTCCGTGAACGGTTTGGAGACAAATGTAGATTCCGTGTTGACGTTCGAGAGCATGAGAAAGTAACAAGGCGGGTACAGTATAGAGAGCATCATGCGGTAAGAACACTTTGCTAAGACGCTGACTTTGTCCCTGAAAACATACCAAAAGAAGATGAAAAAAAAAATCATGTTTGTCATTCCATCGTCTGTGCCGAGTTTCGCACCAGTCGTACCCAATCTATAGAAACTACGTTGTTTTTACACAAAAATATTTTTTTGGGATGTCGTAAATACATGTGTGCACGCACAATATTGACAATGATCAATTTTAAACCACCCAGATTGAGCACAGCAGCAGACCCTTTCATGCCCCGCTTGATATCTTCTTTCGCTCCCTAGCCATGCGACCACCACAGACTCACTTCTCTTCTGAAGGTTGACATTACGTTTAGACCGCCTGTAGCCTCGAGAAAGCACTCCCGATCATGGTGTATTACAATGGCCACTTTCGGAACTCTATTCCACGATTCAATTGACTTTTCCGCCACTGCAGCAACCAAAGGTCCTGTCGTGGGAGAGCCGCATTGTCAACAATGGAACTGGACCATCGAGAGGTATGACAAACGAGCTCTCCGGCGAAAAAAGCGATTCCGTCCGGGAATGGCAATAATTCAAGGATCTGTGACCGGGGCATTGGAAGGAAGTATATAGAGGGTGTGTTAGAGACGTGGGCATTATCATTCACCTCTGGAGAAGTATTCCTTTGACAATTTTCCATTATGGACATTATCATGTCTTGAGTGACATAGAGAGCTTCCGAGGGACATTTTCCGAAAGTGTGAGAAGAGTCTGGAACTGTACTAGCCCAAGTAGTCGTCTAGGTGGTAATATTACGCGTTGAAGCTGACGCTTCGACGCTTTCTGCTTGTTTTGTCAGAAACTGGTAATCGTGGACAAGATTTTGGATTGGTTTGACCGAGAGTCGAAGGCAACGAAGAGAGGGAAGTTGGTGCAGTCAAAGCATTACTTGCCGGGCCTGTTGAGACAGCCCATTTGTTTGTGAGGGTAGAGTGAAATGAAGAGGTTGCTACTGACGATGATGCTGGACATGTGAGGTCGTATAGTGGAGTTGTTGTCAAACTGTCTCCGACGACACCAAAGTTTGGATCTTCGAGCGTGAACCACCACGTGTTGATCTTTCCGAAAAGAACGCCGCACCCAACCTCATCCCAATATGTCTTCGCATTTTCAGTGCTGGGAACTGCTTGAGCAAGGGTCTCGCCAGTGGTTGGCCAGCCGGTCTCGGTAACCCAGACTGGCTTTCCCTGACTGACGGCATTGACTTGGCTAAGAGCAGAGTTGAATAGGTTCAGTGCGTTTGAGATGTCGTTACCGTTCGTCGTCTCGTAATACGGATAAGCATCTGTGCCTAGAAAGTCGGAGGCTTCCAGAGCCGCACTGTTTGACGAGTTCACCCATGCAGTCCACGTATCCACATGGCCGACTGGCTTGCCGTTCAGGGCCGTGTTGGCGATGGCGGCACGGACTTGAGAGATGTAGCTAGCAATGACATCCGGACCTACGCCTGGACCAGACAGGTTGTCGATACCCGTTGGCGAGATGCGGTACAAATCTTCGCTGCCAACGGAAATGCCGACAACGAGATCTGTGAAAGCGGTTCCATACTGATTCACAGCCGCCTGGAGTGCGGCGATTTCATTGTTCATGGCGTCCGCACCAGCCGAAGCCCATAGGCCGAGCAGAAGTGTGGTCCCGGTAGAAATCGCGGCAGGAATAGCCTCGATGGGGGTGTTTGTGGTGCCTGATTGGATCATGGTGTATAGACGCGCGCTGGTGAAGCCGGAGGTCCCAACAACAGCCTTTGCGGTATTGAAAGCATCAGCCCACTGTGACTGCACACGCGGAGAGCCGTCTGGATTGGTGGAGCCATAGTTGTAGCCCTTTATCTGGGCATAGGCAGAAGTAAAGAGAGCCGCTGGGGCAACGAATGTGCTGAAGCGCATGATGGTAACGAAGGACTGACAGCGAGATGAAAGGTATGATACAGGAAGAAGCAGTGGATGGATGAGGGAGTAAATTGGATGAAGGGGCAATAATGGGAAATTCTAGAAGAAATTCACTGGACTGGGGCGTAGAATAAAAAGTCCAGAGGATTTTTTCTTTGGGAGTCTACAGGGTCATGCAGTATCTGTTGGTCCCAGGGAATGCAGTTGACGTCGCCTTTTGAAAGCCCATTCGTCGTGCAGATGGACTAGCCACGAAAACTCTGGAGCACGATGCAGGTACGAAGTATTGGGATCCATTTTTAGTCACCCACCATGTTCTCATGCACTGTTCTCCTCACCCTCCGGATGCCGATGGATCGCAGTGTGTGGACGGCGATGATCGCTCCCTGCGCACAACCGTCCTGGAGTACGTGCCGTTTGGTGGTTTTGTCGTCTTCGATCCTGGCACATGCAATAAATTTTTGGTCCGGGATGGGCCATGCGAACGTGAGCATGAGCGCGTCCTTTACCTCATAGGCACACCAGCAGCCGTCCAGCACGGCCATTGCATTGGTCGCTGGACCTGATGGCCTTTACCCCCGCAGGAGGAAAAGCTGCAGGCGGGAGGCAAACAAAGAAGGCGCAGCAAATGGCCGTCGCTGCAAGTGACGTGTGGGTGGAGAGAACTGACGTGGATGGACAAGAGCCGATCGCGGATCCAGCGCGGGTTTTCTCGTGCGATCGAGACTGTCAGCTGAAGCGTCCGAGTCTCGTTCTGTTTGATGACGATGTTCCGTTTGATGCAGGCCACAGATCGCATCTTGAACTCATTGCGAGGGCTGATCGACATTCGACTGCCAGGCTTGGATGTTTGCTGGAACGAACTTGTTGGATCTTGACCTGGACACGCTCGTTCGCACGTGATCGCGCGTTCGTGCTGGACCACGGTTTGAGTCCTTCGACGTTTTCGACGACCTCCAAGCTGACGCCGCCTGTCGTTCTCACCGTCACAATGGGTCTTTCGGTCATTGCAGTCGAACCTGGATGTGGCAGCCCATGGAGCTTCATCGGATCTCGAATGACGAAGCACGTGTTCATGATCCTACCATGTCTGTCCTTGCGGCTAATGTTGACGTCGTGAGACGTGTATGGCCACCAAAGCGAGCGAGGGCTAGGCCGAAAATCACATCAGACCTAGCAGTTGGACGCTCACCTTTTGTTTCTGAAAGTTATGCCTCTGAAATCCTGCGTGACGACTGCTTCTGGGCTTTGAATCTGAGCGCAGACCCGGACGAGACTTGCCCTGGCTTTGTACCTGTGCTCGGTCATCGCGGTGAAAGCGAGAAACAAATGTGGACACGACCGGCTCATCCCAGGCATCTCGTGCGGAAACGGAAACGGGACGCTGTTCGAAACACGATCTTTATCTCCAAGCCTTGAACCCGCTTCCCGCTGTTGCACAGTCGTGAATGGAGAGACACTTGACTGCCGCCAGACGTGACGAACCAGGCCGTCTTTTGTACGACAAAGGGCTGAGCCAGCACCACCAGCAGGGACCAAGCTCACGCCTTCACGGTTACACAGTCGAGATTGCGGGCTGGTTGCGGCAAGCAAATAACGAACGGACTGTGATCAGCGTTTGTGATTGTGCGCATTTTGTATTGACTTCAACGTTAGATGCTCTCGCCTGTACTGGTTGGATCTATCCCATTGACGCTTCCTCCATCCTTAGCCGCTATTTCTCGCTCGGATTCACGCATTGCTACGGCAACAACGACGACCACAGAGACAGAGACAAACTTCTTGACAAATTCGCGTCCCTCTCTTTCACTTCATACTTCGATCTTCCTCCTCAAACACACTATCATTCTGTCAGCCTAGGGCGTGTAAACCTTGCTGCTCCTACATACCACCCTCGAACACACCTGAGTGACAAGTAGCTTACGTATAGGTTTAAATCACAAGAGACCACGTTTACGACAATCACGATGCGTCGCCTCATCTCCATCACCTCGTGCCTTAACCTAGTTCTGCTTGGGCCTTCCAATGCATGGGCGACCGATGCCCCCGTAGTTGAAAACAACCCCCAGAACGTACAATACGTCGCTGAGTTTAGCAAGAACGGCCTGATCGGCCGTATCGTCGCCAACACACCCTCGGCCGCGCCAGGTGTCGCTTTCGACATCAGCATCACTGGCAACGCCACCTTCGACTCTTCTGACTATCGTATGGCATACCTGACACCCCTGACGATTTCAGTTCAATGGATGCCTGGCTGACACCTTGCTATTGACAGTTTACCACATCCATGAGCAGCCCGTGCCTGCGGATGGCAATTGCAGTGCAACGCTCGCTCACCTTGATCCGTACGGACGCGGCGAAACACCCCCATGTAACGCCAACGACCCGGCTTCGTGCCAGGTCGGTGACCTCAGCGGCAAACACGGCACCATCCCTCACTTGCCCGGCTTCAGCGCCAGCTACGTAGACAACTACATCTCCTTGACGCCAGGCACGCCCGCCTTCATGGGAAACCGCAGCTTCGTGCTGCATTTCTCCAACAAGACGCGCATCACGTGCGCAAATTTCAAGCTCGTCGACCTGCCGGCAGCGAGCAACGTCACTGACACCGCAAGCTGCAGCCCGACAGGGTGCGGCTCTTCCACCGCGGCTTCTCAGACGCTCGCGTCCACTGTCACGGGTGTTTTCACAACCGTCTCGTCGACTGTGCACAGCGCCACGACGGCCAGTTCGACGGGCGGCGGTTTAATGGCGTCCAGCGACGCGCAGAAGATGAATCCACGCATACCTGGAGCGATAGCCCTGGGGCCGCTTGTGTTCTGCGTTGCAGCTGCGGTGTGGTAGAAATTTTCGTCCATCCGCTCCCTCCCACCGCCCTGCGCTCCTCTTTTTTCCCCCAGTGTTTCTTTCTCCCCAGCGCCACGCCTTCGTTGCACACCCTGCGTTTTTGCTACCTGGTTTCTGACAATTTTGCTCCGTACAAGCAGGCAAGCATCTTGATGGCGTTCTGGTTCTACTGCGTCGGCATCGAGCCGTGAAAGGGGTAACTACGAGCGAGGGAGGAGAGGGATGGAGGTGAGATGGAAGGAAGGAGCGGGAAAGAAGAGCGAAAACTACGAGGCTCTCGAAAACCTGGCGAGCAGCCATCAATAGTACTGAAAGACATCTTCCATGCAGCATTTGCCTGACAGTCAAGTTGCACAGTCTGCACAATTCATTCGTTCAACAGAAGCAACGAATCACCTCCACATTCGCTCGATGAAGAGGTGGTTTTTTTTAAAACCCCTTGCTCTTGCCATGCTTTCGTTTCGTGATACCGCCTTTTCCTTTCTTGTGGCCGCTCAAGCCCAGGATCTACGTCAGATGATTTCGCGTCGAGATGCCAAACAGGCAACGTCTGGCGTGCCAGCTTCTCCACCTCGAACCTGCGACAGAAGTTAAACAGTGAAGGTTGAATTGTCACTCAGGTCAAAATAGGCGGGCTTGAGGGCGAGCTGAGGCAAACGAGTGACTTCCGGGCCAAGGCACGGATACCGTATAGATACACGCTGAGAAGGGAACGAACATCTGCTCGCACTTCGTAGCGGCGACGTTTGACCGTTATCACCTAACGATAAACGAAGCGTACAGGAACGTTGGTTGGACGATAGTGCCTCAACGTTCCGAACAGGACGAAGGTCGTGTGGTTTGAAGCGACGTCTGCTCAAAGCACAAGCAAGGTAAGATACGGCTGACGATGCCGGCTGGATCAATAACGACAATATTCTCCGTACTACCACCTCAAGAAAAGCTGTTCAATAAACCGTCATGGTGCTCAATATAATATTGTCAGTGCTACCGAGCATACTTAGGTAGCACGCGAGCAAAAAGGTGGGGAGTCTACATCTCCAGCAAGGAAATCAGGTGACTGCCTGCGTCATGCCCACCGTTATCCTTCACTTCCACTGCTTGAACGTGATTCCATTATACGCCCCGTACTTTGGATCGTTTAGTTCTGCGCGTATCAGTCAGCAATTTCCCGCTTCAGGCGCGGTGTCCGTTCAAGATACGTACCAAACCATGTGAAGTCGAATGGCGCGGCGCCCGGCGTTGGCAGCAATACGATCTGTACCTTCTCGCTGGAGCATTGCACAGGCTCCAGAGCCACAAACGCTGTGCCGTTCTCTACCGTGACGCTACCTATCTTGATATCCACGTACGGCGGGTGTCTGTTGTACGTGTCGGACGCGTCTACGAAGCCTCCGTACACTGCGTAGATGTCGAAGAGCGCAACGTCGCCGACCAGTGTGTATGGTCCCGTCTGAGCGAGCTCGAACGAGATCGTGCAGTAGCTGGCTCCGGTATTGGTGGGTACGTTGTCGAATACGATCTCGGTGCCGATGATTTCGTTGCGGCCGCTAGAGCCGGGCATAACGGCCTGAACGCGTGGTCGTTAGGTTTTCTTATTCTTGACCTGGTCGAGCAACGAGAGCACGCCTGGACATACAACATGTCCCCATTTCTGGTTGCCTACTGCTGTGTTGGGCTGCGTGCTGCTGATTGGGATAATCCAATTCGGCCAATTCTCTGCCAGCAACTGAGCAGATACCGTAATGACCGAAAGTAGGAGAGATAAAACGGATGAGAGCATCGCGAGGTTTTGATCTCGTCTAGGGGAGGATTTGGAATTGGAGTGGATAGACTTCACGGGACAGTAGGCGCGTATCTTCTACGAATTTCCCCAACCGAGGAAGCTATGATAGAGTCTATATAGCAATGTCATAAGGAAAGAGCGGCGGTGCCGCCGCCTTGCTGCGCGCAGTTGCTGAGAAGGAAGTAACGAACGGCTCCCACGTTGCAGCCGCGATTGCGTTCCCGACAGAACATCATGTTTGTCAGGTCGTGGTAGCGAGCGCATGGTGATGTGCTCTCATTGTTCGCATGGCCAGCAGTTACACTATCTGGGCACAGCAGGAAAATCCAATTGCAACAGCCGCCGCTCCAAACGGGTGGAATATTGCCAAGGTCACGTCTTATGTGTATTTTGACTGGTTGTTCTGCTGGCCCCCGTAATGATTCAGCGGCCGTTCCGTGACGGCTCAGGTTACTGATCCGCAGCGGTACATGAACACTCCTGGCGTCGAGACTAGAGGCTGAAGATTTGAAATGCATTACGGTCCATCAATCTCACTGATTTCGAGAGCTTTGAGGCTGTCTCATGAATTGCGTGTCTAATCAGAGAGAGCGTGTCGACGAGAAGGGCGAGTTCCAATGACGTGGTTCGCAAATGCTACATAGGCCAGCTTCGGCCTCGAAGCGATTGAGCGATCAGATTTTTCATAGCCCACAGGCCTGTCAAGATGTACGCTCTGCTACCGTGATGGACTCCGTGTCCGTTTGCTACGAGCCCGATGTTGGCTTCGGAGCTGATGCTCCGACGCACGTGACCGGTCCAGACACCAGCATGTTATGTAAGGACCAAGGAAGAGATCGAAGAGATGTGGCGAAATAACTAATCTCTCAAAGCCTAGGCGTACGCAACATAAGCGGATCGAGATGGGCGCAAGTGGGACGCAAGTGGTCGACGGGGACTGACTGTGCGGTGTCGATGGCATGGACACGGCGGCCTCCGAAGTCCGGACTCTGTAGGGGAGCAGCTGCTTGGCAGGCGATCGCGCCGAACGTTCCTGGGTTTCCTTCTCCTAATTGACGTGCGGTTTTTTTTGGGGGGGGGGGGGATAATTGCCATGACAATGTGTAGATGTCGTTTTGTTTGTATATGCAAGCACAAGCGAGCTCTCACGCAGACATTCCCCTTCTGGACGCGTGCGGAAAGCTCCCGCCGGCTTCACAAGCAGCACAAAGTCGCATTCGGAAAATTTGCCCTGCCCGCACATAAGACATGCCTCGTCTACCCGAAACAAGACGTGCATTGCGCGATTCAGGGATGCAATGACACGAATCTGACACGGGCACGTCTCGGCACCATGGAGGGGGAAGGGATGAAGGGCAAGGACGAGACGGGCAAGCTTGAGCACAGCCAGGCCAGCGGACAGCCAGTGTACACCAGCACATATCTCAGCCGATCGACGCGATTGGTCGAAGGGGGCGTAGTGGGCAGAGGCGTGGATGGGGGTGTTTGCACCGCTTTGAGGAAAAGTTGACGGGGATCAGAGTGTTGGGTGATGCGGTCAATGGCCAAATGGGGTCAAGAGCAGAGAGCAAAAGCGACGTAGAGCAGCACCAGCGCCGACACCAGCACCAGCGTCCCAGCACCAGCGTCCCAGCAGAGCAGCCAAGGTCGAGTGACATTTTGGAGACTTGCACGTCTGACGTAACTGGCATGGCAACCCGGCACAATGCCCCACTGGCTGGCGGCCGCAACAATCGACGGCTCAGATGCCCGCCAGCCACGAGCTGGTTCCCTGCACACGTTTGGGCCGTTCTTGGTACTTGTGTGTGGGGCCGAGGTGCAATTCGAGAAGAGCCGGCTAAGTAAGCAGATCGGTGCTGGGAATGTGGCCTTGATTGTACGGACGCAGCGCACAGAAGAGGCGAAAAAAAGGGTGGAGAGGGGGAGGCGATCAAGGACGCCGCCGACAGTCAGCACAGCGCGTTCCGGAACGGCCAGCGACGTCCAACTGCCGGGTACAGCTCGAGTGCTGGGACGCAGCTCCGGACAGGACGGCCATGATTGGTGGTGGTCTGCTGGCGGCCAGGATCGAGGGCCTGTCGGGACAACACCAGACGCGAGCGTCGGCTGGGCTCTGCAGCGCCTTTCTGGCGGACGCGGGCGTGTGATTGATCCGCGGTCGTCGTGGTCGTGGTCGTGGTTCTCGTGGGCGTGGGCGTGGGCGGGCGAGGATGTGAACGGGTGGTGCTGGTGGTCTGAGCAGGTCGCGCGTCCGTCCAGACGCTCCACCTTCGCTGTGGGTCGACCCCGCGTTCAAGCGCTGCCCGCCTGGCTCGGCCTGTATAATAGCGGCAACGGTCGTGGTCATCTCTTGTTCGAGAACAACTTTCTTTTGTAATCCAACCTATGAGCTTGCGTCAATTTCACACCCTCTGCTCCAGCTATTTCTTTGCCACCCGCTCAGTTTTTCTGCGTCGCTGCTCCAAACCTTCTTCACTCCCAGCACCCCTCATCCAAACACGCACCATGGCCGAATGCCCCGCTCACGAGAGAGCCAAACGCGCCAACATTGGCGGCGGCGGTACTCGCAACCGCGACTGGTGGCCCGATGAGCTCAGGCTCAACATCCTCCGTCAGCAGTCTCCTCTCACCAACCCGTACGGCAAGGACTTCAACTATGCCGAGGAGTTCAAGAAGCTGGACTATGCTGCCCTCAAGAAGGACCTCACCGCCCTCATGACCGACTCTCAGGACTGGTGGCCTGCTGACTTCGGTCACTACGGTGGCCTCTTCATTCGAATGGCATGGCATAGTGCCGGCACCTACCGTGTCTTCGACGGCCGAGGCGGCGGTGGCGAAGGCCAACAGCGCTTCGCCCCGCTCAACTCGTGGCCCGACAACGTCTCACTCGACAAGGCTCGTCGCCTGCTGTGGCCCATCAAGCAGAAGTACGGCAACAAGATTTCGTGGGCCGACTTGATCCTGCTCACAGGCAACGTTGCCCTCGAGTCCATGGGCTTCAAGACCGTGGGCTTTGCCGGCGGTCGCCCGGACGTCTTCGAGGCCGACGAGTCTGTGTACTGGGGTGGCGAGACCACTTGGCTCGGCAACGAGGTCCGCTACTCGGACGGCAAGGCCGGCCTCTCTGCGTCCGGCACTGTAGGTGGCGACCAGAGCAAGAAGGAGCACACCGACATCCATTCGCGCGAGCTCGAGAAGCCACTCGCAGCCGCCCACATGGGTCTCATCTACGTCAACCCAGAGGGTCCGGACGGCATTCCCGACCCAGTCGCTGCCGCACGCGACATCCGCACAACCTTCGGCCGCATGGGTATGAATGACGAGGAGACCGTCGCTCTTATTGCCGGCGGCCACTCGTTCGGCAAGACCCACGGCGCTGCACCATCAGAAAACGTCGGTCCCGAGCCAGCCGCTGCGGACCTGCACGAGCAGGGCTTGGGCTGGAGCAACAAGTACAAGTCTGGCAAGGGCCCAGACGCCATCACGTCCGGTCTCGAGGTCACCTGGACTGCGACACCAACCCAGTGGAGCATGAAATACCTCGAGTACCTCTTCAAGTTCGACTGGGAGCTTGAGAAGTCGCCTGCGGGTGCCAACCAGTGGGTTGCGAAGACCAACGAGGAGATCATCCCCGATGCGTTTGACCCCAACAAGAAGCGCAAGCCAACCATGCTGACCACCGACCTGTCTCTGCGCTTCGACCCAACGTATGAGAAGATCTCTCGCCACTTCCTTGCCAACCCAGACCAGTTTGCCAGTGCCTTTGCCAAGGCCTGGTTCAAGCTCCTGCACCGTGACATGGGCCCTCGCAGCCGCTGGCTTGGTCCAGAGATTCCGCAGGAGGTCTACATCTGGGAGGATCCCGTCCCACCGCAGGAGGGTCCAGTCATCGACGAGAAGGACATTGCAGAACTCAAGAAGCAGATCCTTGCCACAGGCATCGATCCCACCAAGCTGATCTTGACAGCCTGGGCTGCAGCTTCCACCTTCCGCGGCGGTGATAAGCGCGGCGGTGCCAACGGCGGTCGTATCCGTCTCGCCCCTCAGAACAAGTGGCCGGTCAACAACCCACCACAGCTCGCAGAGGTCTTAGGCGCACTCGAGGCTATCCAAGGCAAGTTTGGCAAGAAGGTTTCAATCGCCGACCTTGTCGTCCTTGGCGGCGTTGCCGGCCTCGAGAAGGCTTCGGGTCTCCCTGTGCCGTTCACACCAGGGCGCACCGATGCTTCAGCAGAGCAAACCGATGTCGAGTCTTTTGGCTACCTCGAGCCGACTGCTGATGCCTTCCGCAACTACGGCAAGAGCACTCCACGAGTCCGCACTGAGCAATTCTTCGTGGACAAGGCCCAGCAGCTTACCTTGTCCGCCCCTGAGGCCACCGTCCTGCTTGGCGGTCTCCGGGCCCTCAATGCCAACTACGACGGATCGTCTCACGGCGTTTTCACAAAAACGCCAGGCAAGCTCACCAACGACTTCTTTGTCAACCTTCTTGACATGGGCACGGCATGGAAGGCCACTGACAGCTCGAACGAGCTGTATGAAGGTGTCGACCGCAAGACTGGCGCAAAGAAATGGACCGCAACGCGCTTCGATCTCGTCATTGGCAGCCATGCCGAGCTGCGCGCCATTGCCGAAGTTTACGCGCAGTCGGATAACCAGGAGAAGTTTAAGCACGACTTCGTGGCCGTTTGGGACAAGGTCATGAACCTGGATCGGTTCGACACCAAGGCGGGCTCCAGCGCTGGAAAGGCAAGACTATGACTATCGCCAAGGCTTTGAGTTTGTTGTTGACGTTTCGCAAGGCCGTGCACAGTTTGAGTGATTCAAGGAAACGCACATTTTCCAAAGTATAAAGAGAGAGAAAAAAAATTAAGAGAATAGCTGGGTGAAACTAGGGGCTGGGAAGAGATGTAGAATGGAATGAAATCGAGACAGGTGACGTGGATGATTTCGACACGGACAAGGTGGCTGAACTGGCATGATGAATGCGAAACGCTCGGATATGTCCTTTGTTTACAGACGAACAAGGCGGCCGGTGATGTTGTATGCTCAGACGCAAAGTTGGTGTTTTCTATGTAGCGCGCCTCTGCAGCAGGTTTGATTTTTCTATTCTCTACGTCGGGAAGACAAAAACAAAACCATCACTTAAAATACGAAGAATTCAACGAGAAATGGAGTCCGTAAGCAGTCTTGGCTCGCTTTCTATCGTGATTATGCTTCAAATGAATAATTGACAAAGAGAGATATGAGCACTAAATTGGATGGATGGAACGAGGTTGAGTTAGTACGTCCTTCAATCGCTCTAGACTGTACAATCAAGACTCAGACTAGCTTCCACAGAGACTAGACACTGGGGAAAAGAAAGCAACAATAAAAAGCTTGTGCCGCAGTAACCATCCATCAACTGTCAAGAATGCCTTCGCCAATACGCGCCCGAAAAAGACGCTGCCTCCTCAGATTGCTGCGGTCGTGAATCTCCTCGATCAAGTCCTGGGGCGACCGGCCGTCCAGAGGGCCGATGCCCGCAACGTCGTCTTCGTCGAGGACGAACGTCCAGCCTATGATGCCCTTCTTCAAAGGCCCGATCACGATTCTGTCGCGTTCGCCGACGGTCTTGCAGTGGAGCGCGAAGAGGGCCTCGACGACGTCCTCGCCGTCGAACGACGACTTTCCCTTCTCGAGCAGGGGCGCGACCAGCGTGGCCAAGTTTCTCCGCAGCACGCGCAGCTCGTGGTCGACGGGGCGGTACAGCGCCGAGACGACGAGCTCGCGGCTGGCGTCGGCGACGCGGATCAGAAACAGCGGCCGGTCGGACGTCAGCTGCGTGGCGGCGTCGAGGCGGCCGCGCAGCCGCGCCGGGGCCGCGTACGAGGCGCGGCAGGCGACGTGCAGGCGCCGGATGCGCCGGATGCCCTCGTCCGGCAGGTCCAGACACCACGTCTGGAACCGGTTGACGGTGTCGAGGTCGACGAGCAGCTTGCGCTCGACGTAGCACTCGTGCGCCTCCCGCGCCGCCCGCGACCCGGCCACGGCCAGCAGCGCCGGCGTCGTGTACTCCCTCGCCACCCACCCGGTCCCGTGCACCCAGTAGTACTCCTCGACGTCGCCCGGCCGGAGCTCCGCGTGGTACACGGGCTGGTAGTAGCCGCGGTAGACGACGGCGCCGCGCTCGGCGCTCCACACGTCCTGGAGCGCGGCCACGGACGGCTCCGCGCTCCCGTCGACGACCTCGCGCAGCCGACTCAGCGGCCGCGACGCCTCGTACACGGACTCGAGGTGGAATTCGTACACGCGGTTGCGCAGCTCGCGCGGCAGCCTCATGAGCGGGAACGAGGCTTCGTCTCCGCCGCCGCCGCCGCCGTCGTCGTCGCCCTCGTCTTTCGCCCGCTTGTTCTTCTGCTTCTTAGACCGGTTGTCTTGTCCGTGTTCCGCCGCTCTCTGTTGCTTGGACTGGCCCATCACTGCGCTGACAACGGAAAAGGGGTCTCGATCCTTCGCTTCACCGAACCAAGCTTGATCCTCTTGTTTTTGTTTCCTTCTTACTTTGCGTGGAGGAAGGGGCTGTAGCTGGCATCGAAATGCTTCGGGTACCACGCGCTGGTATTATATCTCTAGCCATAGGCTGAGATGCTTGTAGCCTTGCGGTAGGCACTAGTGCCTCCCGGAGGTGGAGCAGCTTTTTATTACAGCCAGATCGGGAACGGTCTGGACACTCTCATTTTCAGGGGCTCTCCGCGCATTTCTCACCCTTTTTTATCTATTAGGATATTTCAAATAAACCACTTTTATTTATCTAAAAAAAAATTGTAAAGAAAAGGAAAGATTCTTATTTAATCTATTTTAATATTAGTTTTAACCTATATAAATAAGTATTTACAAAGGTAAAGCTAGTTATAGAATTTCAGAATTTCTACCTGAAAATTCAGGTGACAATACAAATTTTAGCCTAAAGTAACTACTTATACTTTTCCTTAATTATCCATATTCTACAAAATAATTAGATATATTAGATATTATATATATAACTAAATATATAACAGTGGTTAAGAAATAATATCTGCAGTTATGATAGCCTCAGTAAGAGGAAGGCATTTAGGAAGATATCCAGACCGTTTACGACCTCGCTGTAGGCATCCACTCTACTACTCCATGTTTCGCCTGCGCGTCCATGTCTTTGGTTTTTTATTCTTAAGCCCAATTGTTGCACCCTTTGTCGAATTTTTTTTTTAAAAAACTGATTCGGGATGTTCCAAGAGACCGTCCAATGTTTTGTGCCCCAGCCGTCGATCCGCATTCCCGATAGCCCAAGTTAACAGGTAACGCTCTAGACGAGTATTTGCTCGACGTCCATTTTCGTTCCAAGATGGTCTTCGATTTCCTTTTTTTTCCTTTTGTATCTTTTATTACTGACTTTTTCATCAACTGTTTCACTTGTTCGGCTGATTTGAGCCCCCCCATTCATAGCGACAATGAGGTTTCTGGGTCGCGCGACTACAGAATACACTACGGTACGATGGAGTTGTCCGAAGAGATCTTTAAGCGACAATTAAATGTTGCCGATGCACACACCTCATCTTCTGGAGCGGAATGTTCAGGAACCAAACTTGGGAAGATTTCGGAGCAAATATCTTCTTATTGATTATCTCTCGTATCCGAGATGACCATCATAGCGTGACTCTCTTCCACCTATTGGTCGGCCTTGTCGAAGCAGCTGCAGAGCTCAGGCCCTGGTCACGCAAGGAGGCGATGATACATCGTACGATTTTTGTATTTTTTTTTCTTCCTATATCGATGTTTTTATTGATATTTTTTGTTTAGAGGGGGCAAGTCAACATACTATCATTCCTACGTCCAAATTCAAAACTTAAGCATGATTTGATCCTCGTACTAATTGCGGAGGGTTTGGACGAAGAGACGATCTGGTCCGAGGAGCTTTGCCTTTGCGATTAATGCTACTGATCCTCTTCTGCCTCCTGACGCGGCTTCATGAGTCTGATTCTTTGAGATGGCAAACCCAAACCCGGTCGAGAAGAATGAAAAATCGTCCCAGCCCAGCGGCACACACAAATCAACAGCAACGCCAAGCCGACCATTTGTAAAGCGAATATGGGACAGTCTGGGTATAACACCGTTGGTGGTTATGTTTATGGTAAAGGGAACGGTTGCGTCTACTATTGCTCTCTCAATATATCAAAGTCAAGCGGTAGCTGCCAACTACCTCAACTTCGGCTTTGTCATGATCATCATCTCTATCACAACGGTTCCTGTTCTCCCACGTGGCCAATTCATCATGAATCTCTTCATATGTGTGGTGTGTACATCAGGTTAGAACTGAAGCGACTGCTCACATCGGATAGCTCTTGACTTGTCTTGCCGCGGCCATGGTTTTGTTAGGCCAGTACGCCGCCGTAAAGGCGAGAGAATCGACAAAGGCAGATGGAGCGCCCCCAGACGCGTACGGGACGTACAATTCGTCTGCTTCCGTGATTAACGCGATCTTCCTCGTTATAAATACCTTCTTCACCAACGTGCTGAAGGCTGCCAGGCCAGCCCTCTACATTCCGTCCATCCAATTCACCATCTTCACTGCGATTGGATTCACCTTCGGACCAAGTCAGCCAACGATGGAATACTCGTACAGTTTCGTCAAAGAACTCCTCTACACCTTCTTGACGGGCCAAGCAATCGCGACTGGGGTGGCGATTTTCGTCATCCCTGTTTCGTCGAGAAAGGTGTTCTTTGCGGAAGCAACACAGCTGCTGCGCGGATTTCAGGCGCTTCTGAAGAGTCAATCGGAGTTCCTGGCAATCATGAGACAATACGGGTCTTGCGCAGACGCTCATTCGCAGGACGTCAAATCGCTGCGACAACGACGAGCGGAGAGCCTGAAGATGTCACTACAGAGAGTCATTTCTCTTTCTGCAAAACTTCAGGCAGATGTTGTATATGCACAACGAGAGGCTGCGTACGGCCACTTAAAAGGCACTGACATCAGAGATTTCTATCGGCTTCTTCGGGGTGTTCTTGTTCCAATATCAAGCTTGTCGACGATGACAGATATCTCTGAGCGACTATATCGTAACAGAGAATCAAATAATGTTGTCGCCCAATCAGGCGAAATACATGAAAAAGCATCCGGAGACGGGGATATTCTCGAGGACGATAAAGAAGACGTAGATCTAGATTGGCAAGAATTAGTGGGCTCACTTCACGAGTCATTTGAAACTGTAGTACAAATTCTCGACGATGCAATCACGCATGTGTTGGTACTCTTAAAACTCGCTCCAGTACCAATATCAAGCAGTTTCTTGATACGGAGAGGTAAATCCAACTCGGAAGATTCAACAGGAAATGTAGACGTCGAGAAAGGACCTCGAGTTCCAAAGCCAGGAGATTTGAAATTTGGACATTATTTGGAGAAGGAGATCAACGACCTCCGGCCATATCGAACAGCGCAACTGCAAAAATGGGCGGGAAGCAAAGGGGTCAAGTCGTTGATGCACAAGTCTGCAGCCTGGGCCCAGAAAGATGCCGTGAATGGCTTGGGGGATCAAGTGCTCGTCCGCGAGACAAGGTTAAGACGCCAACTTAGCCTCGTATTATACATGGAGTATCTGGGTTACTCTATTGCAACCACCATTCTGGCGCTGGTTCAATTCGCGGAAGCAAAAGTCAGAGACGGAACCTTGTCAAAAAGGAGACTCATCACTCCGACTTATCAAACAATTAAAATCTGGATTAAAGGCATGCTCTTTGGTCACGAATCCAAGATGAGTGCGGAAGACACCGGTCACGAATCTGAGCCAGGTGGAGCCATCAGGCTTGGAGACGCGTTGAAAAGTCCTCGCGACCCGGAACATCTGCCTCCTAAGAACTCCTGGCAGGCTTTTGGTGACCGCGTGCGGTCGGCCTCTCATATTCTAGGTTCCGACGCGGCGCAGTTTGGTGTTCGAGTGACGATTGCGACAATGAGCGTCGGAATCATGGCATACTTGGAAAAGACTCATACCTTTTTCATCAAACAACGGGTGGTGTGGGCAGTGATCATGATCATCATTGGAATGAAACCTACCAACGGCAGCGCAAATTTCAACCTCGCCTGCAACATCGTATTCAGCGTGGGTGGAATGGCATCTGCGTACATCAACGTAAGTTCTTCGGGCTCCGCCTTGTTGCGAGTTCACGGCTGATTTCGAATTATTTTTTTCTTTTGGAAAGTGGTACGTTGCAGATGGTCACACAACAGGTGTCATTGTTGTATTCGCGTTCTCCATGGCCTTCTGGTTCTACTGGGCAGCGAGATGTCCCAGGTTCCTCATTGGCATTGTGGTCGGAGCTCTAACCCAGGTGCTGATTATTGGTAATCAACATCTCTTTATTTGATTTTTTTATTCGTCAGCATGAGTTAACGCCGTCGCAGGATATGAACTACAAGTAAGAGTTCTCGGCATAGCCAAAGCCACATCAACTGGGCAGCTCTACTATCCAATCTACGAGCTCGCACCATATCGTCTACTCCTCGTCTTGGCAGGATCAGTCGTAGCATACATATGGACAATATTTCCTGTGCCGATAACAGAAGCTTCCGTTCTTCGTCAGAACGTCGGACGCTCGCTCTTCGTCCTTGCAAAGTATCTCAGTTGCGTCACTACAACCGTTGACCAAAGAATTCACGACGAAGAAGGTGATGTGAGCATCAAGACCAGCCCCGGACGCAGACTACAAGACATGCGTGGAGAATTGCTGGACGAGCTGATCCTCCTGATCAACGCCATGCAGCAGAACCTGGTCGACATAGATTGGGAGCCACCCTTTGGTGGCGAGTTTCCCAAGCAGGCATATTCTGCACTTGTTGACGAAATTCAGAAGTAAGCAACTCGAAAAGTGCGTCTCCACGCTGAAATGTAGCTGGCTAAACCTCGCTTTCAGCACCGTTCAATACCTCACGGTTATTGCTTATTGTAGCGAGGCCTTCTCTAAAGCCCACGCAAGCTCGTCTACCTGGCTGTCCACGTTTGCCGCCTCCAGAGACCGTTCGCGCCATAAATCCCACAAAGCCGCCAGCCTGCTCACGCTTTTGGCCGCCTCTGTCGCCGAAAACCAAGCGCTGCCGCCTTATCTGACAGTCCCGAAGGCAGTGCATCTCTCAGCCGCCAGACAAGTCGAAGCAAGGGATGACGGCGCTGCAGACGACATCTTGGACGTCACAAACCTGGACGAGCCGGGATTTCGAGCCCTTGGAGTCATCGAGGTCGCGAGCGCGCGCACTATCGATGGGATGAACGAACTGGCGCAAATCGTAAAAGACTTGGTTGGGGAGGTGGATTTCAGCTTTCAGATTGGCAAAGCCAAGAGTTCTTGACCAAAGTCATGGGGACGTCCTGTCCAGTCGCGTCCTCCGTTGAGAAAGTTCGATTCATGACGAAAACGACTTGCAGGAAGCGCGTATCCGGTCTTCGGGATCACACATGTTGAGTCGTCATGATCGTGCTCCGTCCAGACTTGCTCGAACGCATCAAGTCACCCCTTGCAAAGGGGGTTTACAATTATTATTAGTATCCAATTGTATTAGCATGCCAAACGAGATTCACCGAGCTTTTAAGCCGTGCATAGCGTCCTTCTTTTCTATAGGAGTGCGGCTCGCGTACGCCTCTATAAATTTATGTGTACGCAACCCTTGTGTAGAAAAGCCCCCTTTGCACCTTCCCCTCCGTCCCTTCACCACCCCGAAAACATGCCTGACCTTCGCGATCTAAGCAGACGCCGCGAAGCCTGCCGGATAGGAAGTGCCGGTGTGCTCACCGTTCAAGCTCTTCGCGTCGCCTCCCCGCAGGTACGCCTCATGCTCGCCAATCTGCTTGCCGGCCTTCTCCCATCGAGCCGCGTAGTCCCTTCGCCTCGCGTCGCAAATCTCGTTCAGCGCAGGCCAGTACACCTTGTGGTCGTATTCGAAGTCGACCTTGCCGCCGTAGGCTTTGAGGAGCTGCTCGGCGGGCACGTGCTGGGTGAGCGGCTCGTTGAACTTCATCTTTGACTTGGTGACCGGGTCGATGAAGGGCGAGATGAGCTTGTAGAAGGTGGTCACGTACCAGGGCACTGTGCGTGCGTTTCTCACGCGTTAGCTTCAACGGTTCGGCGGAAGCGAAAAGGGAAGGGGGGGGTAAAAAAAAAGATCAAGCTTACGGTCGGAGATCAGCGCCCTGCCGAGACGCTCGGGGTAGTGCGTCTGCAGGATGCTCAGGACCTGTCTGCTCTGGCTCATGGGCGGGTTCTTGCTGTTGCTCGTGTCCTTGTAGTTGATCAGCAGGGCCACGCTCTCCTGGCCGGGCGGCAGAATGTCAATGACCCTCTGCAGCATGAAGACGAGGTGCTTCGTCTGACGCTCGCCGTGCTCCTTGAAGTCGGTGTTCTGCTTGCCAGGATTGAGATACAGACACGGCCTGCCGTGCACGTCGAAGCCCATGATGACCTGTTTGCCCGTCTCGTTCTCCGGCGAGACGTAGTCCGCGTCGATGGTCGAGCGGACGCCAAATTCGCGCTGCCAGGTCAACGTCGACCTCAGACGGTCGGCGGCTTGGGGCACATTCCACTTGGTTGCGCGAAGGTAGCGAAGGAGACAGTCACGCGTGAGCCACAGCCTATCTGTGTCGTCGAGGGGTTCTGACTTGGCCCCTTTTGCGGACGTGACGGGAATCTCTGTCCACGCCTTTACTATGGCCAGCAGCTCGTCATACTTCTTCTGATGCTCCGCCGTAAGCTCTGCGGCCGGCTCCGGTTTGCAGGTCGGCAACGGGTACGGAATGGGCTTTGCAATTGGTCCTTTGGGCGCAAGCTCGTCCATGGACGGAGCGGACACGGATGCGACGGGTTGCTCTGTCAGCGGCAGAGGATCCTTGATCGAAGACGCCTCGCTGCCTTCAGCGACCGAAACATCTTGTACAGACAATGCTGCCGTCTTCTCCGCAAGCGCAGTGTCTTCCGTCAGCGGCAATGGCTCTGGGATAGTCGCGGCGGCCATGGGCGGAATCTACGCGGAGAACGGGGTTCAACGTGCGGTGACGAGATCAAACAGCGCCAGGCTACGCGCCGAACGATTGATAAGATATCGAAAATCTAGGAACACAAACCCGCCTTGGCTCGGTTGTCAGCGCTGACAGCGTTTTTGGACCCGAAGAGCAATACGTTCACCTCGAGTAAGCAAGTATTTTTTTTTCTCACACAGTCGCAGCTGTGGTTGGACGTTCGCAATCTACAAGGGTCCTAATCCTCTCGATAAGCGGTGTGATCCGCACTAGCCATCGCTGGCGTAGCCCAGCCTCATCAGCTCAACAACCCATCTCCTCTTCGACGCTGAGCCAGCATCTTTAAAATCAGTCCGGCTTTCGTGTCGTCGGGGCTGGACAGTACTGCCGCTGTCGGAGTTCTGAGCAAAAGGGCAATGTCACGACATGCCGCGATGCATGTGAAACGGCCGAAGCTATTGTTTCGCGTTTATTAACCCGCTGTCTGCGGGTGCCGTCGACGGCGTGCCGCTTTCAACGTGGACCCGATCGTTCGGGAACTGGGCCCCCTAGTGATTACAGTAGAGGCGTAGGTCATGCAGTTATCCAGTTTCAAGCCTTCGTTGCTCGACGGCGTCCAAGGAGCAGCCTGGAAAATGGTGAGAGATGACTTTGGAGAGTAATGCGCCTCATCTAGACTTGGTCTCGCGCATGGTCTGTCTTGTCTAGTTTCTCTAGATCTTCCGACCTTTTGTGGTCTCAAGCACCGAGGGAACAATTAAGTTGCGATAGTAGGACGTCAAGCAAGCGAAGCAGCATCTACGAACTGAATAGGAACGTGAGTTGGGCCATTTCCTTGCCCAGAGATGGGACATTTAAGATTTGAAATCAACAATTCTGTTAAAATTAAGGATTTTGTCCTTGGGGTATCATAAGTGGTCGCTCGTCAGAAAAGTTTCATCTCGAACAATGAATTTGGCTGGACCGACATTTTCACCTCTGACCCAGCATCTTTCGCAACTCTTAACCAGCCGTCATAGCCGCTTCCTTACTTTATTTCCTTCTTGTGGGAAGAAAGACACTTTTCCATGGTGATATAGCTGTGCAACTTCATCCCGGACCTCAACATCAGGTTCCATTTGCTTCCTCAGGAACAATGCCTCGCCTTGGCTCAACGCCTGTCTAGAGTACTTTGCATCCATGCTCATTTGGATGCTGCGCCGCAAGAAGTCCGTAAAGTTCTCCGCCGACGGCTTCTTCTTGATGTCCATCGCACTGAAGAAGTCTGGAAAGTTGTTGACGGCCTGGATGCCTCGAATTTGTGCCGCAAGTCGCGCAGCTGTGCCCTCTGGAGGTTGACCGTGGTGAGAAAACAGCTCTTTGTTGATCTGCGCGAGGGACTTGGAGCTGTATGTTTGCAAGACAGTACGACGCATCAGGTCTTGGAACATGAGCAGACGATACGACGTTTTGCTTGCACGGTATGTGGTGACGAGGCGATAGTGCGATACCTTGGATGGTTCCATATACGCGAGCTCCGGTTTGCCTCCACCTTTGCTGCTATGGGATGAGAGCATCCACACCACGTTCCGAACGATCGCCTCCTTGATGATGGCGACTGTAATGGCCTCCTGTTCCTGTGCAGTCTGCTCCTCACCACGGTCTGCATCGCTAAGCAATCGCGCAACCAAGAATTGTCCTAGATTCGGAACAGAAGTTTTGTCGCGTTTGCCTTTGAGAAAGTCGTTCACCTGTTGATGTGCCGAAGCAATAACAGATGGGCTTTCCAATGCCATGCAGACGAGTAGATGGAAAAGAGCAAAGTAACTCTCAACAGCTTTTTCGGAAGCATGTCTTAGGGTGCTCTTGTTCGGGGACTTGCCCAGATATCCCGAGAGAGCATTGCCCGTATCTTCGGACAGCTTCACCACAACATCATTCATGAATGCGTAGAGAACATTGGCCAGTGGACCACTTTTGGCCATCGACTGCTGGATTTGGGTCAAAGACTTCTCGAGAAGTTCACCCTTCACACGAGACCAATGCTTCTCGTTGATGGCGAGGGGTAGCCAGTGAGTAAAACTCAGGCCGTGGACAGACTTTCGAACTTTCAAGTCGAAGAAGGCAACGTCGGAGATGAGATCAAATTCGCAGCTGAGGCCTGAGTGCTGAATTTGGACGCCAACACCCAAGTTGACTTCCTTGGTTCCCCTCTTGAGCGTGAAGCACTGCGTATTTCGCAGCGGGACGAGGTGATGAAGCGCGATGCTGAACCTGGGCCATGCCTTCGCGGCAATGGCCAAGTCGTCCGTATCGAGCTCATCGCATATTAGCAGCAGAATCTCGAAAGGGAGCTTGGCAATTGAGCAAACATGAGAACGCTTTTGTAATCGGCTTTCAGTTGGACCCGCGATTATGGGAATCTCGGCGGACCAAATCTCCCTTTCGCCAAAGCCACATTCGGCACAAAGATAACCAGCTCCTGTAGTCAGTTCGGAATCGCGATAGTTCCGACGGTAGGCAATGCCGCCGTATGTTTGCTCGATCCTTTCGTCCGAGAAGAAGCTCAGCAGCTGGATGCATAGGGCTTTCAGCGTATACGCACTGGTGTAAGCCCTCGCATCGTTGAGGATAGTCGCGCAGATGTAGTCGCCAAACACATTGGGATGGTTGATTTGACTCTGGATCGTTACTTTGGGAGGCTCGAGAGGATATCGATCCGTGAATTCGACCCGAAGGTGAAGAGGGTCTTCGCCTTCAGGTGTAAGGATAAGACAGGCCCTCTTCAGACTGTCATCAAAGATATGTAGGCGAATTCCCGGGTATGGCTTATTGACTAGCTCGTAAATGTCACGTAGCCTCCGCGAGGCGAGCTCATTAGACTTCGTTTGACTGAGTTGCGCTTGCGATTGTACCATATTTACGGGTACAAGTATCTGAGAGAATTGGATATAACTTGATGAAAATTGCGAAATCGGGAGCGTTGGAAACAGCGCAAGCTTTTCAAAATACGAAGATCACATATGTAAAGTACGAGCAATCATTTATGTTTGCAGCCTCTATTGCTGTAGCCTCGTCAAGCTACCGGTGAGACCGATCAGGCTGCTTAGGTGACCGCTTCGAGACGACGTCAAACTACGAGATCGGAAGAATCCGTGCTACATTACCTCGAATAGATCTTTTGCAAGCAGAAAACTTGGAACTCTGAACACGAGATTGGCCAGTGAATGCTCACTTCGTGGAGGCTGTTAGTCAACTGCCGCACCGTCCTAGAATGTCTACGTCGATGTGTGGTCGCATCCATGGGCTGAGGCAAACGCACAAAAAAGTCCAAAGCAGCAACGGCCGGACCTTTCAATGCAGAAAGGCATTGGCAACATCATGAGCGATGATGAATCAAGTTGGAGCTGGGCAAGCTAGAATGGAGCCCAACAGATGGAAGGGTGAGCGTTGAGAGCACTGAGAGTGACAAGAGTGTCTGTGATGAATTGAAACGGTCTGACCAAGCGCCGCACACCAAACCTTGTTTACTCGTTCGATAGAATAAAACGGAATCCAAGGACAGATGTCAGGGAGCAATTTGTGGGTGCAGCAGTAAGAACGAGGTGCATCCGCTCATCTGCGGTAGCGATATTGACTCTTGCAACAAGAGTGCAAGACCTACACGTGCCAAAAGACTCTCTCGTCAGCAAAAGTTTGTTTGTCCCAAATGATATGAGACGACATTGACGATGACAGAAACCATCATCTCAATCTTATGAGCCTCTACAGCTGTCATCTCGGTTGCAGGCGTGGCGCCAGTTTTTTTTGAGAGGGCCAGGCTGTTCCCGCAGGTCCCTTCGTGTCTATTATTTCCCGAGTCGTATCGGTTGGCCTCGAGATTTCTACTCGACGCATCGAGAAAAATGTGCTCAACAAGTTTGTGTCAGTTCACAAAATAGGCCCGAAAAGAGTCCAACTATGACCGTGAAGCGGTGAAAATCGAGGACGCCGAAACATGGGCACGAAAAAGAACGGCAGAAAGAGAAGAGCACGGGGTTGGTGTCACGCATCCTGTCGTCTGACCAGAACACCGGGAGGGACAAACTTTTTTCTCCTCGCGGCGAATTTTGACTTTTGATACCTTGTCCAGCTCGCAGCAAAGAATGCCACGGCGATCAAGGAACCAGCTTGATGAGCAGATGTATTTTGGCTCTTCGAGTTGTCGGCGGAGATTCCAAAGAGCAAGTGGCCCATGGTCTGCCCTGTTCATTAAACCAAACTCTCGAACAGCGCAGGTGGAACGACGTGTCCCATCTTGTCTCGTCATAGAGTGAACACAGTGATGCTTTCATCTGGCACTGTGGGATGCAGTCCTTACCATCATTTCGGCGACGCGACCAGTGCCTGGCCCTTCAATCTGCGCATTTGGTCAAAAAAGCCACCACCAAGACCTGGATTTTCCGAGCGGCTCCAGTCCACAGTCGATCGAGTCGAGTATACTCAGCGCTCGACGCAGCGATCAGAGCCAGGAGCCAAAAGAGTTCCCCCTCGCAAACAACGGGCGAATTGCGCTTCGATTGGCTCGGAAACATCAGGCAGGCCGATGATGAAGACTCTCAGCCCATCTGAAACTGTAGCCCCAGACGGCTTGGCGGGTGACGAAGCGGTTCGAGACGCGTCTCAACTTGCCCCTGGAACGGGTTTTTTTTGTTACGCTTCCTGTGTTTCCCGTATTCAATGGCCCCATTCGATCGGCTTTCTCACTCGAATCCCTTGTCCCCACTGCATGGATTCCGCTTCTGGCATCTTTCTTTCAACAGTGTGCCTGGTTCCTGAGTAAAATACACGTCAGGAGTCGGGGCATCGCATGTTTCCCCACTGCGCCGCAGCATCATCTGCCGTCCATGCGAGCGAATCCACCCACTCGGTTCTGCTCTCGACTGTAAACTGTCGACTCTGCTCAGCCAGCGTTCCGTTCCTATGCTCTGCGATGCATCTTGTGTTTGCTTGAGACCTGGTTCTCTGCATCCTTTCTTTCACTTGTCTTCCATTGCTCCTGGTTGAGATTTGCGTAGCCTTCTGGCAGCCGGACTGCTATCTTCTCTGTTGTTCGTTCTTTTTATTATTTCCCTTCATCTATACTTCACTTTGCTCGTCTTCGCTCCCGCCTCGGTACTGCAAGAGGTCGCCAATTGGCTATTTCTACGAAGAATCGTGATATTCGCCGAGCGTCCACGCGCGGTAGTTCTGCTCCATGAGTCGCTGTACTGCACAACCTCGCTTGGCGAAGCTGTAGCCGGCCTCTCACAAGTACAAATTCAATAATGCGGCCGCGAGCGAGGATCGCATCCGCTATAAAGCCAGCATCTAAGAAGTTAGAGTTGGGGCAGGAGTTGGTGCGTTGGTTGGTCGCGCGAGATGACGACGATGACGACGCTTCATCCTCATCTTTGGCACGACAACAAGCTGTGGTTAGTAGACAAAGCATACATGGCCACGCAAACAATGCCAGTAACAACCAGTAGACCACCACCACGGCAGTCACGACGGTCATGTCACAGACGACCATGGTCGTTTTCCAGACACTATCTGTACGCGATTACGGCTAGTTCGTGATAAGTTGAATACTAATAGAACCCACCAGGCTGCACCAACACCTCTACCGCAAGCTAGTCAAGTGTCCGCACTGCCAGACAAAGGTGACACATCAATGTCGAGCGTGGCATCGCCAACGATCGGCAGCTACATCGGAACAAAGCGGCCCTTATCTGAGACGACCCAACACATCTTGATAATTGCGGGATCTGTTGCTGTGACAATGGCCATGATGCTCCTCGGGTTTTACATCTGGAGACGGCGGACAAACAGGAGGAAACTTTCTCGATCCGTCTCAAGCAAGTCGTTCGAAAAGGAGCCATACGTGACTGCGCCGCTGGGAAGCAACTGGGGCACTTACAAGTGGGACCCCAAGTCCACGTTTGCACCCGCGGCATCGTATAAAGAGATCCTCGTGCCATCACCGGAGCCAACGTATGTTCGGCCAGGAACAAGCCAGTCGAACCGAGCCGTGCCAACCAGAGCGCCATTTGCGCCACCGAACAAGAGGGCCACGCCAAACCTTACGCCTGTGTATGTCGTGCCTACGCCGGCACCCAGAACACCGCCGCAACGACAGATAGCAGTTGAGTCTCGGGCGCCGTCGCCTGAGCTACCGTTGCAGCGCCCGGAAACGCGGCCGTCCTCGCCATCACGGACGTCCAGCCTTCCACAGTATCTTGCCCAGATGCGGGACGCTCCAGAAGCGACGAACGCAACGCCACCGCCGCCCAAGACGTCGCGCTTCTCGTGGACCAATTCCCAGGCACCCAAGACGCCAAACGACCCGAACGATCGATACAGCGTCGTCAGCGAGGCGGAAAGCGTGCCGCGCTACCGCACGGTGGAGAGCTGGGTCGGCAACCAGGCCGGGCGGTACGAGGAGCGGCGGATCCAGGAGCGGATCCAGTTCCAGCTCGACGAGGCCATAGGGGAGCTGAGCAAGGACAGATCGGCGGGCGTGCCTCCTCTCCCGACGGACGGGCGCCAGCCGCAGCCCGTCGGCCGCGCTCCGCTGAAGACGATCCCGCTGCAGGACTCGTCGAGCGTCTTTGTCGACGGCGTCGACGACGAAGAGGCGGACCAGGTCACGGACCTGAGCTTGATCCCCGAGGCGGCGCGCAAGACGCCCGTCAGCCGCGCAGGGTCACGCAAGGCAAGGCGCAAGACAAACGAGAGCGACATGACCATCTTCAGGGCTCACCCGGGCACCAAGGTCGACATTCCGGACAGCAGGTTCATCCCCAGCGAGATCCTGGACGACCACCTTGGGTCTAGAGCGTACCCACCTGCGAGGGACAGCTACGCCTAGATCGTAGATTTTTTTTTTTTTAAAAAAAAAAATACAGTGGAGGCGCATTAGGATGATGGGAGCGGTGATGCAAGCTTCCACATACTACAACTACGACTACGACTACTACTACTACTGTTACTACTACCACCACCGCTGCCACCGACGATGACGATGTTAATGTACCAAGGGCCTTGATGGCACGCAGGAAGGAAATGAAATCTTTTTTTTTTCAGCGGAAGGGGGGAAAATTAAAAAGTCAGGCCAGCGGACTCTCAGCATTCTCACTTATACCCAATCAGTCGCCTCCCCTCGGGACGGGAAGGGCATGCCATTCACTGCGAGGACCAGCTCAAGAGAGAGAGAGAGCTGGGACAAGTTCTGTAAAGAGAATTTTTTAAGAAAAAAAAAACACAAAATCAATGACGTTGATCAATTTGAAGGTTGGAGAAAGTAAAGTGACGACGTGAACTACGGGTTTCCCCGCCTCTTGGATGGCAAGTGTGACGTTGTGTTCTAAATGGTTGTGCACTTGTGCATGTATACATATACACATGTGTGTCTGTGTGTGAGTGTGTGTGTGTGTCTTCATGTTCTCCCTTCTTGCTCCAAACGATTTGGTTCTACGCGGTTGGAGTGTCTTCTTGAGCATCTGAGGGCTTCTTAGGATCCCGGATCATGCAGTACAGCGTGATCGCCTGTCCTTCGTCGTCACACAACATGTCTCTCACAAGCCTAAAACCGAACCTCTCGTAGATGGGCACGTTTGGCTCGCGCCGCGAGCTCTCGAGGTAGCATTTCATGCCCTCGGCGTCTGCCCTGCGCAGCACCTCCATGAGTGCTCTGCCGACGCCTTTGCCCTGACACTCAGGCAGCACAGTCACGATGTTGCAGAAGTAGTATCCGCGCGGGTCGTCCCAAAGCTCGGCTTGTGCGGCGGCCTGAGCCTCCTTCCACAGCCAGTAGCGCTTCACGTTCAGCCCGCCGCGGCCGTACACGAGGTTCATGCGGACCTGGTTGAGCCAAAGCCACCACGATGACAGGTACAGCGACCATGACTCTGGCACGCCCGCGGGCCGCGGAGCGAGCCACATGGCGGTGCCTAGCACCTTATCCGGTGTAGAGGACGAAGGATCCTTACATACGTGGAAGAGGCCGTGCTTGATGCCCCAGCGACAGCGAAGGGTGAGAGAGACGCGGTTACGCGCGGGGGAAAACTGGGAGCCGTAAAGCGTGCTGTCAGCATTTGGCAAAGTCGTGGAGGAGAGTGAGCTTTCAGAGGGACATGGTGTGTTTTGGGGGGGGGGGAGTCACTTTTGAGCGGTCGTACACCCAGAGGGCATACGGGTCTTCTGCGAAAGCTTGTTGTATGGTGTCAATGGCTCCGTCTATGTCCTCCTCCTTCATAGGAGACACCTGGAGGGGCATGTCGGACGCGTACTGGGTGTATGCGTGGAGAACGACTAGGATCCGGACGCGGCTAGAAAATTGCTCTTCTTCACGTGTCTAGGGTTCCCCGCAGGATTGCCGCTGGCGCTGCCGTGGGACTGTAATCGAGCGAACTTGGCGCGAGGAGAGAACAGAAGCAAATGCGAGGACACAGTTCGACGCTGAGCGGGTGGTGCTGGGGAGAAAAGCCATTTCAATCCAGGTCCGCAGGCAAAGAAGGGAAACGAAGAAATAAAAGAAGCCTTTTCCCCATCCAGAGTCAAGGCACTTATCGCGAACCAATGCAAAACAGCTGGACGAGCTGACGAACGGCGGATTGAACTTATCGTGATTCGGGTGGTCAAACGTCAATGCGGGACTGTGCGGAGTCTGCGCTTCCTCGATTTGGCAGGTCCAAGACGCGGGGCGTTGGCGATTGGATGGTGGCGGCGGAAACGCTTTGGCTCTCTTGCACATTCTTTGATGCCGTGGAGAGCTGCAAGTCATGGCGAGAAATCGACCAGGCTGAGGCTGCGCCGCTGGCCATCGCGATGGGCAGCAGCTCGTACGTGTGTTTGTGGTCTGAGGACCGGCTTGTCCAGACGACCGGCTGAGGAAGAACCATCAACCGTCGGGTGTACACCAGAATCACGGTCAACGCCTTTCGACGGTGTTCGGGCGAAGGTTTCAGCCTTGGAGAGCATTGCCCGGCACGGAACTGACACCAGCATGAAGGAAAAGTAATGGCTGCCGTGGGCATTTCTTACGAGGACGACAGCACCAGCTCACGCCGCTTGAGGGAGGATGGGCATTCCCTAGCCTCGTTCGTCTTTTCCAGCGTCTTGCTATGATACATAGCCTGCATCTGTCGTCGTGCTGTAGACCGGCCGCGTTCGTGGTGCCATCGTTGTTGATCTTCTTGCCTCGTTGATGTTCCTGTCCAGTTCCACTCACAAACGGTTCCTTTGTCCGTGCACCGGAAGATGCACAGGCTCTTCGGTACGACTTCGAAACGAACCGTGTGGTGGCCCACATCTGGCATCGGCTACGATCGAGGGCCGGGGCGAAAGCCCAGGTCGTAGGTTGACCTCCGACACGGACGCTGTGATCCCCATATGGTAGTATCCTGATTGAGTCTGAGCCGAAGACGTTCCAGAGCCTCACACGACTCCCTTGCTGCTGATTATTCTATGCTTCAACACCGTGTCACCTCACGCCATTATTGGTTTCGAGAGCAGCTGACTTCAGCCACCACCCGGCGGCCGAGTCTTCTGTTGGCACTCAGCTAGTCGCGAGACATGATTGTCAAAAACAATGGTACAACTGGACTGGCGCGGCGAAGAACTGAGCTGCCTAACGGCCGTCGTCACCTGTACTCGACGCAAAGGCAGGCTACCTCAGGCCTCTCGATACATCCGTGAGTCACATGTGGCCGTGTGCGACAGTAGAGACTGGGCTTACCCGCCAAATAATCGGATCTTCCATATTGCAATGCTCTGCCGTCCTAATGTTGGGGTCTGCGAGCTGCTTATCACAGCCGACGGCGCTCTTGCTCGCGTCTGCATCGGTTTGTTCGCATGGCGCCTTGCTCAGAAGCTGGGCTGCATCGTACGTGCGCGGCTATTGTCGTTGTTGTTGTAGAAGCTCTCGTAGCAGAACGGCGTCTCCAGTCAAGCGTCTCCTCGCTGCTCGTGAATGGTAGAAACAGGTCAATTGGCCGTCTCCCACAACACCAGCACCACTGGCCCGCAGGCCGAAGAGGTTACCCAGCGCAATAAGGCTGATTGGTTCCGCAATTTGCTATTACCAAGCCGCTGCCCGTTGGCTGGAGACTAAGACGCGTTGACGAATGAGGCCGCTCGTGACCCGCATTCACCGCTCTAGGCCTGCCGCTAGTTCTTAGGCCTGCTAACTTACTCTTCATAAACGCCAGCGCCCGTACCTGCTCGATTACCCCAAGCATTATTGACCTTCTGCCGCTGCCCTCTCTCGTCTGACCACCCTCGTGCGCAGCATCCCTCAGTCAGGACAGCCAGCATTCCGCCGCGAAGCCCAGAGGGAGCCTGTCCAATTCACGGCGGCGACCACCCACCCGCCGGACCGGCAATCCGCCGCCCGCCGTCCCGCCCTTCGTTCTTGGTTGTATCCTCTCATGGATAACACAAACATGCACGCATACCAGGACCCATATTCCCCGATGAACGCCGCTCACAGCCCAGCGTCCCCGGCTGCCAGTAATGCGTCCTCTCCACCCAAGAAATCGCACCTGCGAACTTATCAGGCATGGTAGGCGTGCCCGCTTCTCCCCCCGCGCTCCGACACGACTAACTCTGGCGCCAGTATCGCATGTCGCAAGCGCAAGGTCAAGTGTGATATGGGCGATGTGTAAGTGACTTGGTCGCCTCCTATTATTCCGTGTGTCCAGCCGGGCGGCGGACCGCAATGATGCGAGATTGCCCCAAGGAATGTCGCTGACTTCCTCCATCGCAGCGAGAATCCACACGACCCACCTTGTGCCCGCTGCAAGCGCGAACGCAAACCGTGCGAGTTTGACGACCAGAGACGGAAGACAAACAATAAGCGATCCCGCTCGGAGACCAATGGCTTCGACGATGAGCACACGTTGGCTGCCGCAACAAGGGCATCGAAGCGACAGACCTTGGGCCGCCAGGACTCTCAGCTTCTGTATGGCAACGGCAAGCACGAATCGCCCCTCACTCCCGGCGCCTACAACGTGGCCTCGCCCCGCAGGAACTCGTACACGCAAAGCCCAATGCCCGACCCTGAGACGATCCAGAGGACGACGGATGCGATGAAGAAGGAGACGTTCGACACACAGGGCGGCCTTGCCTCGTTGCTGGAGGCCGCCGATCATCTCACCAAACAGCCCAGCAGACATCCGCAGAACATGTCGGGCGGACTGGCCAGCCAGTCGCACACTTCGCAAGAGCAGACGTACCCAGAGGAGGTCGTGCGCGAGGCCGCCACCAAGCACTGGTCGCGGTTCAAGTTCGTGCGCAGCGGTCTGCTCAAGGCGTCAGAGGCCATGGCCTACGTTGAATACTTCTACGCCAACTGCATGCCCTTCACGCCGATCTGCATTCCGGACTATCGGAATCCCGCACTGCATGAGACCTTGCTTGAGAGAGAGCCCTTTCTGGTGATGACCATTCTCACGATAGCAAGCCGCTTCATGACCGTGGGTGGAGATTCTGGTTGGGGTAAGCAATCGCGCCCGCAAAAGATACATCACACGTTCTGGGACTACACTCAAAAGATGTTTGCCACAATTGTTTACGCGCAGGAACAATTTGGCGGTGGGATGACTGGAGGCGGCAAGGCAAAGGCGCGACGCTGCGACCCGCTTTTTCGCTACGGCTTGCGCTCCATCACCACCGTCGAGAGCCTGATGCTGCTGTGCGAGTGGGCCCCCCGGGACCTACACTTTCCCCCCGACGACTTCGACGGTGAAATCATGGTCCCGCTGAACCCGCTCGAGGAGGAAGCGCTTGACGAAAGCTTCCGCATGCTGAACAGCGAGGCTGCTCAGCGACGTGATACCTGGCTTGAGCCCGCCTGGCGATGCGACACCATGATCTGGATGCTGTTGCACAACGCGAAGGCGCTTGCGCTCGAGATTGGCCTGTTCGACGACAGATCGGAAGAGGACCTGCTCCGAACCGTGAGTGGCGTCACTCAGGCTGAAATTGCTGAATACCACGCGCGCAGGACAAAGACAAGGGATATATTCTGGGCCTTCTACGTACAGACGTGCGGCCGGTTGGAATTAATTGGCAAGCTGCCCCCCGGCTACCTGGAGTCGCTCCATCACAGCGAGGCGGACGTGCGCATCCAGCACACGGTTAAATCGCGCGCCGCAGCCTACGACCACAAGGTCGACGCGCAGTACACACCAATGCCCCAAGCGTCGCCACATCTGGAGAACGTGCAGGAAGCTGTTTGGTTTTTCTGGCAAGAGCTGACGGCAATCATGAAGTCGGCTAACATGAACATGTTCATGCGCAAAGAGGAGACGCGCAAGATCACCCGCACCGGAGAATACCGCAAGTGGATTCACGTGTACGCTCCTATGCTGGACGAGTGGCGTACTGAGTTCGAAAAGTGCGATATGAGTATGTGTCAATCTCGAGTACAAGTCCTCTCTGTCGCTGACCAGCTCTCAGTTCCCGAGCCCATGCGTACCATTTTGCTTATTGAGTACGATTACATCCGAATATACATTCATTCCCTTCCTCTACAAGCGTTCGTCGAACGTGCTATTGCAAGCACGCCGTCGAAGCAAAACATCGATGCCTTCACTTCCAATGGAATCGCCCTTGAAGATGTTCGAAAATGGATGCAGGAAGACTCGCCGTACATCCAAACGCTTGTGGAATCGTGTCAGCATGTTCTCTCGCTCATCGGCGAGTCCACAATGCCCGTCGAGAAGATCAAGCACTTCACCGTCAGAGTGTACTTTCGCATCATGGCCTCCGCCGTGCACTTGCTCAAGGTACGTGTTGAATTTTCTGTGTCTCCTATGTACTACTCTCTCCTCACGTAATGTCTGTATTAGGATCATGCCACAGCCTGGAAGGATCATGTAGTCCCTGCGATGATGCTAACAACAACTAACCCGGCGGCACAGAGCTTCGTAGTGGGTGCATATGCCGACAATATCCGACGATCCTTCGAGCTGCTCAAGAAGGCCTCGCATGCCCTGACGACACACATCGTGGATGACGTGCACATTGGGTCCGTCTTCTCCGAGATGATCTCTACCGTCGCCATCCAGATTGAACCGCGCCTGAAGCTCTTCACACCCGGCTCACGCCCTGGCCGAAGCCGCGCCGTCTCCATGACCCCCGTTGTCGCTCGATCCCCCGCACTTCATCCCATGAACGGCCTGCCGACGAATCACCCACAATCAAACGGTGTCAACTCCTGGGGCGCAAGCGCCAACGGGTACAGCACCCCGAACATGCTGGCCGACCAGTTGATCAACTGGCAGAATGACACGTCTTCCATCCTACAGAATCTCGACATATACGATCCCAGCACGGCGTCTAACATGACCCTCATGCCACCACCAGGCTTCTTCAACAGTCCCGTCGAGACCGCTGACGACGGGGGCCTAGGCAACGGTTTGAACGGCAACGGCGCCGCGGATCAGCAACAGGCCATCATCAACGACTGGGTGTCGATGGATGTTCATCCCCTTATGAATCTAGCCTTGAATGGCGGTCAGAACGAGGTATCGGCCACGCATTACGGCATCGTGATCAACGGTAGCGATATGCTCGATCAGTTCATGAGGCCGGATGGTATATCCTCCTTTAACTATGAGAACGGCACTCCTAATACGGGCACGCCCATGCCGTACATAGGTGGAGCGTCGGGTGCACAACGCAGTGGGCGGGCGTGGTAGCAAGACGTCGATGTGTGTGCCTTGCCCTTCCCTGGATCCAAATGTACAAGACGCAAGAAAAAGGAGACCTGCACCTGCTGGCTGAATCTGCCCATTCGAGTTCGATCAGTCCATAGGGAAACGCCTATTTTTTGTAAAGATGTCATGCAAACCTTTTACGCAGGGACACATGTGTCTTTCATGCACACTATAGTTCCGGCTAGAAGACGCAAAACAGGTTGACCCAGCGCTATGAAGCCAGCTTGCCTTTCTGCGATCTAGCGGTAGAAGGTCATGCTGCCATCAGCACTTCTGAGGATTTTGGACAAAGATTCAATTGGAAAAATGGAACCGAAGTTGGTCCTCGTTCAACGGCACCCCCTTTTTTTTAACGTACCTAGGCATAGGTGGAAAAAATGACGAAGAGAAGAGACACAGAGGAACGATAGGGAAAATATGCACAAGCGAAGAGCTGCTTGGTTGAGATTTAGCGAGCGGCTTTTGGTTCTGAGATTTTCTGCTGGGGACATGGCGTGACTTGGGGACGGAAAATGAACGACGTACGGGCTTTTGAAGACCCCAAAAAAAGCTTTCCTAACAAAGAGATACCCCCTTCCTTTTGTGAGCGGGTGGGCTGGTGTGAACCTTTTGTGGTCAACTGCCTTTAAGCGCTCTCATGTCTTTGGGAGTTTGCATTATCATGACGAGGATTTCTGCGTCTTGAGTGCGCACAAAAGTAGTGTGCGCGAAGAAGTCACGAATGAAGAAAAGGGTTTTTTTTCTCTCCTTTTCCTTCTTGTTCTTCTCCTTTCTTTATACCTTCTTGAGTTTATACTTCCAAAAGCAAGACGCGAGCTGTGTAAGTACGTGCCGTGCAGAAAAGCCCAAACCGCGATAAGACGAGCGACGGCACCTGAAACAACGGACTGCAAACCGCCCCCCTTTTTGTGATCAAAGAACATACCATGTGTGTGCTTTGTGCCTGTGCGAACAGGCGCACGCAACTGTACATGACTAGATGGCGTATCGTCTTGTCAAACCCGAACCCACCCGCCCCGTTCCTGATCCCTTTCTGGCATGCCAACTTGGCTCATCAGTTTGCAAAACTCCACACTCCTCCTTCTTCTCCTCCTTCTTTCTTTCTTTCTTTCTTTCTTTCTTTCTTTCTTTCTTTCTTTCTTTCTTCCCCCCCGTCTTTGTCCTTGCCGTCCCTGGTGAGACGCCGCACGTCGACGCAAGAGTATGCGCGCGGTGGCACAAGCAGCGGGCATGCGCCACCGAGGCTGGTGTGAGCGACCGCTGGGGCGCGCGGGATATCTCTTTTGCAATTCCCCCGCTCGGGCAATGGCTCATGAATCAGACCGCAATTGACCTTTTTTGGGTTTCGGGAGGGGGAATTTTGTTTTGAAATTTTTTTTTTATGTTTGTTTGTTCTCGCTTTATTTTTAGTTCTCTCCGCATCGTCTGTGGAGAGACGGCGTGCGCCCGTCGCGAGGTCTGGATCTACCGTCTGGCCGTGTGCAAGCTTTCGTTCCTCTCTCGAAACAGTTGGTCTGACTCTTGCTCTTCTTGTTTTTTTTTTGTTGGACCCACCCGTTTTGGGCCTTCCTCTGCGCCGTTGAAGCTGGGCCTTCGTCTGTGTCAACTGCTGCCTTTGTGTACTGTTCGCCCGCTACACGCCCGTCTGTCCGACCCGCGGTGTTGGTTGTCGACCGCACAGGGGCAAAAGGAGGTGCAGATAAAGTCTCGCAAGCACATTGTCGTAGCGCCTCTCTTGCTGTCTCTGCGAAGCGGCTGGCTGTGATGAAGCCTTTGGACGGTTGTCGAAGCTCCAGGCCAAGCAGCGTGGCAGGTCTGGACCGGCCAATTGACCCACGTCTGTCGAAGCCTCGTCCCTTTCGCAGCCTGTCCGTCTTTGACTCTAGACTGCTTTGCTCTTGGTGGACATTGTGAAATGTGCTTGTCGTCATCTCCACTATTCATCGCCACGGCGCCGCATTGTGCACTCGATCTGGCATTATCCTCTTTCCGATGATCCCTTACTCGTTGACTCCAGTCAGCCGCGAGATCTGGCACGCCACGTTTCGGAGGTTTTTTTGGGGTGCATCTTCAGCCTCTTCCACCGGCAGACCTGAACATCAAACTCGCCGCTTCCGCACGGCGGCGCTGGTTGGAAGTTGAGCAGGCAAGCAATTATCGCCAAGAGAAAATGCCATCATCTCCCTTCCACCACCGTTCGGAAAAGTGCAGCCTCAGGGATCGTTGGCGCGTCTCCTGCGCATCTGGTCCTCTTTCTCACGCGCTGTTCGGCGTGTCAGTCCCCGGCTGAGCTTCGCACACCGTTGTCATAGCTGGCGATAGCTGAACATATTGCAAATCCTGAAGCAGCTACTGGCTGGTTCGAGGTCTTGGTATTGCGTCGAGGAGTCCGCCCAAGCCATGGGCGAGGACTGCTGGAGATGAGATGGCAGCTCCATTCGATGCGACGGCGGTACAGTGGCGAGAATGCTGTCAAGTATAAGAGCTTCAGACCAGACCGGCTCATGCTGGGACACACGTTTGCCATCTTCTCTTCCTTTCCTTTCCTACCCTCGTTGTCTTTCAGGCTCCAATTCGTTTCTCGCGTCTCTCTTGCAGACGCTGACGCTCGCTTTTTCTGTATACCTCATATTGCCTAGTCGATTCTCCTAATCGAAGACAGAAGTCCACCTGTTCATTATATTAATCTTCTACACTCGGTTTTTGTTCAATTGCGTCGTCCAGTCATGCGTGCAATCAATCTTCTGGCCGCAGTCGCTATCTTCTCCGACGCTCTCGCCTTTCCAGGCAACGTTTGGAAGGAGAAACTTGCCGAGATTGAATTGAAAGCGCGCGCGGCTCGACCCGTCGACGGGCCTGATGATTCCTCCGAGTTGCTGGGTGACTTGGTCACATCCGGTCCCACCTCCGCGGTTGGCAAACTGATTGCTGACCTGCTCGTTGGAAAGCAAGATGCCCAGTCCGGAGAGGTCGACCGGTGGCCGGCCGGCCCTCTAGGCAGCGCAGCATGCCAAAAAGACACGTGCTGCGTATGGACCTACATCGCTCAGGAGATGCAGCAAAAATTCAAAACGCCGTCCGGCCGCTGCAACAAGTACGCCCGTGGTGCCGTGCGGTTGGCGTTCCACGACGCGGGACCATGGAAGAAGGGACTGACGTATGGCGGTGCTGATGGCAGCATTCTGCTGTCAGACGAGATGCAGAGACCGGTAAACAAAGGGCTCGAGGAGATTGCGGATGTGACGAACCAATGGTAAGGGGCAGCACGACAAAGCCCGCTTCCGCTGCAGCATCCAGGCTCACCGAACTGGCACAGGTACAACAAGTACAGGAAATATGGCGTCTCCATGGCCGACATCATTCAGATGGGCGGCACCGTCGCCACAGTCACCTGCCCGCTTGGTCCACGAATCCGCTCCTTCGTCGGTCGCAAAGACAGTCCTACACCGGCCATGGATGGGCTTATGCCCGAAGCCACCCACGACGCCGACTATCTGATCTCGCTGTTTGAGGACAAGACCATCAAGCCGCACGGCCTCGCTGCGCTCGTCGGTGCCCACACAACGAGCCAGCAGCGCTTCTTCAATCCCCAGCGCGCGCTCGATCCCCAGGACGGAACGCCGGGCGTCTGGGACGTTCTTTTCTACTCCCAGACGCTGGATCCAAACGCACCAAAGCGCGTGCTCAAGTTCCCGTCCGACGTCTCGCTGTCCCAGCACGCTCGCGTGGCGGACGAGTGGAACAAGTTCGCCGGCCCGGGCGGACAGGACCATTGGAACGACGACTTCGCCAAGGAGATGATCCGCATGGGTCTACTGGGCGTCTTCAACATCAACAACCTGACCGAGTGCACAAAGGTGCTCCCTCCGCAGACAGGCAAGGCCTTCCGTGCCTTCGATCAAAACATCGTCGATCTCTGGGCCAACGGCGGTTTCCAATCCAAGGGTCAACAGTTCGGGCAGATGCTCGAGGACGGTGCCAACGTGGACAACGCCTCTTTGTCTGCGTCTGGCATCGACCCCAAGACCTGGTCCCAGGGACTGGGCACCACGCCCCCGGATGGTGTTGGCCGGTCGCCAATATCGCCGGCGAAGATTGTGAACACGATTATCAAGTCCTTGTTAGGTAGGAGGGCACCCAGGGGGGAGCTTGGTAGCGCTTGAAAGACACGCTATAGTTAATGTAAATGTAATAACTCTGCTTAACATCGTATGGTTAATCACATGGTTCTTCTTTTGTTTTTAGAGGCGGACGATTTTTTTTGTTGGCAATGGGAATATCTTAAACGTGATCTACTAACAGCGGAAAAGAAATTTTCTTGGGAAAAAAAAAGGATAAAAATCTGGGTCAGGAACGCGGTGCCTATCTAATCGTCAACTTTGCCATATTCAATGTATTTTCGCGAATGAAATCCAAGTTATTTTTCCCTCTTCTGGTCGTGCTGTGGTTTCCAAGGCGGACAATGGTGCAGAGATGTTTCAAATGGTCAGGATTTCGTTCTATTCAGTGGAAGAGCGCCGTATAGTACACTTTTCACATGGCCCACTGTCCCCAGCGCACGCATTCATTTCTCTATGCCCCGGCTCGAAAGTCGTCGCGCGAGCCACACTTTCACGGTCGCAAGACTCTCAACCCGTCTCTTGATTGCTGGGCGGCCGTCTTGAACGACTGTCGTTATGCAGTTAGCCTCTGCCATCGATGCATGATGCTCGCACGACGCGGCGAGGGTTCCGTCTTTCACGTACGTTGTCGCACTCTTCCACGGCACGTCCGGCGCCAAAACCAAGACCGACGTACGCCGGCCACGCTCGACGCTTGAACAGCAGAACGGAGAATATGACGCCGAAGCCGAGGCCGAGGCCAGAGCGGATGAGCAACGAGGATATGCAGTGGTCCCACTAGATGCGGCGATGGTTTGGTTAGCATGAGGTTCGACGCCCGTCTCTCCGTTGGCAAGCTTGCCGTTTCCACCAAAGGCGTGCGTGCACCCTGCAACAGGCGCTGCATCCGGCCTTGCATCGAGTGCGAGACGTTCGACGTACCTTGTCGTTCAGCAACGACTCGCTCAACGGTCGTGTGGTGCGCGCAATGGGAGCTTTCGGCGCTGAAGGCGTCGGTTCGTCGGCCATGGCGGCGGCGCAGGACGGTCAATTGCTACGGACAAGATGTATATGGAGCGCTCAGGAGGTCGGAAAGCGTCCCGGACGTGAACCGCAATGGTTTGGAGGGGGCGGCGGCAGTGATGAACGGATGAGATGTTGTTCAGTTCCGTTTGGTGTTGGACGTCCCTCGGGGCCAGCCAAGCTTCCGTCACGTCTTTGCGCAGCTTTCTCGTTTTTGCCCGCCTTGTTCGAGCGGACCCACTAAAAAGTTTCTCATGCATCGATCGCCCGTTAGCCATTCAATGTCATCCCCAGGGCCATGTCTCTTGATATATCCGATCGCAAATTGTGAGCCATGCCAATTCGACTTGAACGGTGGATATGCTGATTATGTACAAGAGGTCTTGATGGAGCCATCTCTGCCCAGACTTCTGTCTTTGGACAAGCGCCACAACGCTTTCGACGAGAGCGTCAAGGAAGCGGCCGCTATTGCGGGCATCTCTTTGACCGGCCGAGATGAAAACGTGGAGTGCAAAAGTCCTGAAGCAAGGCCGTCACGAACCCGTGCAGAATTTGCCCTTCGATGGGTGCTGGATAAGCTCAAGACGAGCGAGGGCCGCCTGGCTTGTCAGCAGTCTCAGCTGGTATGGCCTTTTCTTCGCCAGCTCCTCCATGTGGTACCTGCTGCAGTACTCGCAAGAAACGCACACTCGTGTGCCTTTGTAAAGAATCTGAGGGCGTTTCTTTCCGAGAGCGAGAAAAAATTGGCCGCAGCAGAACCTGCAAGCCCCCATGCCGCGGTTGCGGGCCAGAAGATGCAGAAGAAACGTAAGAGGGGTGAGAAGGAAACGATCCAACCTTCTCAATCAGCCTCAACGCCAGAAAGTACTTTGCAGAGCCTGCAAGATGCTATTCTAGGTGTAATCTCTGTCTTGCGCTGCATGCTTAGACTTGCAACCGGGGAAGACGGAACCACTGATCGTGCTAGTCGAGAGCAGCTATCGTCGGCATTGAGAGCAAATCCGGAGGATGCAGCGTATATTCTTGATGCTTGGCTGCGCTGTCTCAAACAAATGCTGCCACGAACCGCGACGAATGAGGACGTTCTCACTGCACATCATGCCATCCTTTGCCTGTGGTCTTCTCGATCGCTGGAACAAAACGACGAGACTGGCGAATCGCCAGAGACGTTCTCGAATTCATGTTTGGTGTCATCTGTTCGACTTCTGCGTACGATTCACGATTGGACGGACCCTACTCCGATTATCGTGAGCATCGGGGTTTCGTTGGAACAGCTTCTGGCCAAACATGTCTTCGTTCCTGCCCGCACCTTGTTTGACTCTGCACAGTCAGCTAAACATCCGGATATCCAGCGATCTCGCGCTCCGCTGAACAGGTTTCTGGAACCAGTCCGATCGGCGATTGTCGACGATCTCACCCGCACTCCGTCGGCGAACGAGCTGCTGGTCGCGCTCCCAAAACTTTTGGATTTGGCCATTCGTCTCTCTCCCCATTCAATCCCATCTCAGAGGAATGCTCAGATACTCTGGTTCGAGAGCGTTTTCGCAGCACTATCAGCCTGTGCCATGGAGCCGATTCCTCACAGCACTGAGGTGGCGAATTCCACACATCCCAACTCTTCGCCTCTGACTCCGATGCTACGAATTCTTAAAGATCGAAATGTGCAGCTCAGCAACGATTTTCTAGAAAGCATACTGGTTGGATATAGTGGCTTGAGCGGCCTTCGCAAAGGCTCCCATCCCTTGCGTCTCGATGTCACTGCTGCTCTTTTAGACCTCAACGGCGCCATCTTTCTCATTGAAAACGCAGCTGTAAAAGACATGAGTCTACCTGTTGTACACGCTGGTCAGCCGCCCTATGTAGAAGCCCTGGTTGGTAGCTTGTCTCAAATCTCATGGTCCGGAAACGATGCTACTCCAATCGAAAGTCATGCTGGACCAAGTACTGAATTTGGGGTCTGTAGCATACTCATTCCCCTTCTTCGAGCATACGCATCTGCGCGAAAACTGGCATCTTTTGTCGCCTTGTGGTTCTGGGAGGTGCGACGGCAGTGGAAGACTATCCTAAATCCCAAGCTTGAACCTCAGTCCCCGTGGATTTCGCGCCAACTTCTCCAAAGGTTCCGAGATCATCTAGAGCAAAGCTTGTCCAGCGTGCGTGTTGGAGAGCTGCTTGTCGAGTTTATCCTTCCGGTCAGGCAGCTTGTCGATGAAGCTTCAAGTAAATCATCAAAAGCTCTCGACTGGCAATCTCTTCCAACCGCTGCCCCAGCTTGTGCAGCCCTCGTAATGCTAGACATGCTGCTGCATAGTGTTGAACGTGAGGAAACCTTGAGAAATAACCCCGCAGCATGGAATGCATTAAAAGATCTACCGGATAGACTGGCAATTCTAGATATGGAAGGACTTCCTGTAAAGGAGACAGTCTGGTCAGTTTTGACCAGGGTGTATAAGTTTTGGCTCTGGGTCGATGGGAAAATTGCATTTCTAGAGCGACAGAGATTTCTCCTCGACGGCTCTGATGTGTTTAAAAGGGCTCTTGACCAGGCCGGTTCAAACTTGGACGCGCTAGCTGCGAATGAGCTTGTTGTTACTGTTTGTGGGTTTGAGCTCGATATGTCACTACAGGGCAAAGCTGCGGAAGCCTTGAAAATGTCGAACGAGGGTCTCCTTCAGGCAATTGACGGATCCGTCGACGAATCCGACGTGGCAGTGCGTTTGTCCCAGACTATTGCGCTATGCGTTCAGTATCCTGCTCTCTTTTCGTAAGTATCTCTCACCAAGCTGCAGGGGTGCCAGACTGCTAATGTACCAGCATAGACTCATGGAAAAATATCGGGTTCGGCTCTTTGACGCTTTCATCCGGGCAGTCGCTCAATCTAAGCAAGGTGCAACAAAGCAGCTTCTTGATGCGCTCGTCAGTAGTCTAGTTGATGATGAATCGGCAAGTCTTCGTATGTGCTATCGTTCTCAATTCTCTTGTCCCATTGCTAATCTAGCTCAAGGAGATTTTATCTCAGTTCTTACCGATCTGTCCACATCTGGAAATGATTCAGTGCTTGTGACGCTGGCCATTGATTGTTTGCTTGCAATTCCACCTTCGCTCATTCCTCGACCTCGAAGAGAGCATCTTCTTGACGAAGTTGCATGTCTTCAGCAAACCAGTTCCGCTGACGAGCAGTCAAAGGATAGTAAGGCATTCCTTTCACAACGGATTGCGTTGCTTGTGAGGCTATTGTCTTGTCCAAACCCTACGGCAAGGCTTTGTATCGAGCCCCTCAAGGCATACCAGATTGCGGATACACTTGAAAGCTCATTATGCGAATTAGAAGGGGCCCAATGCACTCGACTTCTGCAGTCGATTGATGACCTCTTTACTCTCGTCACAACTCATGCGCTCCAAAATGCAACTGAAGAGAGACAGAGAGCATACTTTGATGCGTTCATAGGCATGGCTAAAGATCGCTTAAACCGTGCTCTCAAAAAATCCACATCTAAACCATCAAGTTTCAGTCTCGCCGCTGTTACTTTGCTTACCAAAAGCTTTCTAATATCTGCTGCTGGCATTGGTCGATTTGGAGACCAATGCACTGAATTGCGCGAGCAAATATTCTCACTATTGGAGAGAAAGAAAACCCAAGTCGCACATGATGACGCGTGGACATGGCTTGCACGCCGAACAGTACTTGGCCTCGCAAGAATTTCTAGCAGCGACTTTAACACGAAAGCGCAACATTTGCTCGAAAAATGTCGCAGAAAAGGGGATATCTCTGCCGCAATGGAGATTGAAAGTGTTTTCAACTCGAATTTCACAGTCAAACCTCATCTTACCGCATTTAGCGCCAATCTACGAGCTCAAGAATACTGCAGAATCTTGAACATATTTGACCGTCAGGCTTCACAAGCTCGAATCCAACAGAAGTTAGAAATGATAGAGGACCTGCTAGACAGCGACAGCGTTGATCGACTACAGTTACTGCACATTGTGATAAAACATCTGTCCCCGGACGAAGTCAGCGATCTCGACGCTCGAAAACAAATATTGGTCCAGGTGTGTCGGATCCTCGCACAAACGAATGACATTAAGCAATTTGGATCTGCGATAGGATGCATCAGCACTATTTTACGATTGAAGACGTTCCTGGTTACCCAGCAAGGTATCGATACCCTGCTCCAAACGCTCACAACGATCTCCTCGTCACAATCTCCACATTTGCCTGTCGATTGTGCCGGAGTCATCTACAGTCGTCTCTGTCAAGTTGCTACTTCCATTATCCTTTTACATAGACGGCGACTTGGCGGTCGTATGCATCTCATTGTGGGACTGTTACAGAATCTTTTAAGCTGTCTGTATACCCCCCATCGATATGAGGTTCTCGCCGCAACGACACGTCCAGCTTGGCTGCAGGGGGCGAAGGTTCTTGGTGTTGACGCCGCAAACTCATTTACTCGCGTCGTGACAACACTATGCTCGCCCACTGTCTCATCCACTGTTTCACATCGAGGCTTCAAAATGACCGACATAGGACTGGTTGACGAGACAAAGAAAGCGAAAGAGTATGCAGGTCAATACGTTTCCTATATTCTGTTACATTACTGCACGCTACAACTGCAAGGAAGTACACCTTCGGAGGTAGCAGAAAAATTAAAGATTGGTCTATGGGCGATAATGGAGGTGGTCAACATTGAGACTATGCGCGGCATGAATGCAGGTATGGGGCGAGAGGAGCGAATTGTATGGGGTGCTTTGTTTGCAGAGTGGAACAGACTAGGAAGATTCAAGTTGAGCTGATAGCATAACGCATGGTCTAGTCAAGCTTAGGTTTGACCTAGCCGTGTTCTAGATGTCAACACTATGATGCAGAGGATAGTCTTTCAGAAGCCCCTGATGTCTTCCAAGAACTCCGGGCTGCGAGAACAGCAAAATTTAATGCGAAGCATATGAGAGAGCACAATCTGGTGAATAGATAGGGATGGAGAGACTCTGACGCAGTCGTTTCAACATGCCTATGTGTTTCGCGAGACTGGTTACGAACATGGGACGAGTCAAAATGCATTCGATGATCAATACATTTTCCAGCGCTCAACTTTTCTACTGACTCGTTTGACACTCACTGTCGAGAGGCGTTCCTTGATTTTAAACTGCCGCTCAATAGTGGGGAACCGTCCCGTCAAAATTCCGGGAAGGTCAAGTTACCTTGTCAAGGAAGAAGCGTATCCTTGAAGTTAGTAAGCAAAATGAAAACTGTCAATGCAATGGCCAATTCCAAGAAAGAGGAAAATAAAGAGGAAGTATTGAATGCTTGCTTCCACCGGGATTTCGGCTCGGATGCGCAATCTCCAGTCGGGTAACCAGAATGGCCGCACACCTTCTTTGGCGTGCGGTGAAATTCCGACAAACAGCCGCAAATGGTCCGACCGTCTTCTTACCAGCCTTTTCCACAAAGGGGAATTGCCGTGAGCTGCTATCTGCTGTTGAAGAGCACTTGCCCGTACGTAATGCTTGGATTCCAAAGGAACAGTCCTCATGATTGGCTATGGAAGAGAACCCGTTATCACGCAGATCCTACCCGGAATGGTAAATCGAGCCACTTGCCACAGACAAACACACACGCGAGGTAGCCGCAAAAGGCTGCAGACTTCTCGTGGCTCTGTTGCGCTTGATATACGACCGGCAAGCAATTCGTTTCTACGGCACGGCTAGCACTATCCCGAGTCGCGTCTGGTGTCCAGTCGAACTTGCGCATATTCTCGCGGAATCTCAGGACATGTGTGAAGATCGCATTCTCGCCATCGCACCGTACAAGATGCCCAGCAATTTGTGGAATGTTGTAGCTATACCCTTGTTAGCGAAGATAATGTGCATCTCGTCAGTGATGGCATATCACGCTCATGCTGCATTGTCGAGCCAGAGCTAAGGCGCAGGGGCAGAGATAAGCTTCGACGGTCGTGGACTTTGGAGCTATATATGAGGCTCGTCCAAGTCTCGTCCAAAATTGCTCTTTGAGCTCATCATTTTCCGAGACGGCGTCTAGACGTATCGGAGCAGTCGGAAAATGGCGAGCGGTATCCAGGTCTTGCCTCCCGGGGCGGGCTACGGTATTGTAGGGACATGAACGTAACGAGGCTACAAATCGGTTGAATTTGCTAACCCAGCACCAGGTGATTGGGATCGGAGGCGTATTCGCAATTTTAATGTTGTTCTTCACGTGGTTGCAAAATCGTTACACAAGAGTATCAACCCGGTCCCTAGCTGATATGATCGCTTCGATCTAACCGCTGTCTTCAGTTTTCGACCCACCAAGCCGAAGAGTTCAACACAGCATCTCGATCTGTCAAACCGGGTCTGATAGCGGCGGGGATTGTTTCGTCGTGGACGTGGTCGGCCACGCTCTTGACCTCTTCGACGTTCGCGTACAGCTACGGGGTTTGTGGCGGCATGTGGTATGGCGCTATGGGATCTCTCCAAATCCTGCTTTTCGCCCTTATTGCTATCAAGATCAAGGCAAGTGCACCAGGAGCTCACACTTTTCCGGAGATTATCCTGTCTAGGCACGGCAAGATTGCTCATTTGACATATCTGTTCATGGGTTTCGCCACCAACATGCTTGTTGGAGCTTGCCTAGTTCTCGGTGGCAGCCAGGTAGTGGCAGCTTTGAGCGGTATGAATGTGTACGCGGCTTGTTTCCTCATTCCGCTCGTGGTAGCAGCGTACGTTATTGCAGGAGGCCTGAGAAGTACCTTCATTGCGGTACGTACCCATTAAGATGCCGAAAAAGCTTGATTTGTTAACGTAATGGCATCACTAGGATTACATCCACACAGTCATTCTATTCGTGGCCATCTTTGTATTCGGTTTCTCCGTGTACGCAACAAGTCCGGAGATTGGGAGCCTCGACAAATTTTATGATCTTATGCAGACAGCGTCTGCGAAAATGCCAATCGCTCGCAATTACGAAGGATCCTATCTCACCTTCAAGTCAGTGGATGGGCTGATTTTTGCTATTGATCTGTTCGTTGCTGGGTTCAGTACTGTTTGGCTCGACCAGGCGTATTGGCAACGAGCTATTGCATCGAGACCCGAAACTTCCGTCAGAGCCTATCTGCTGGGCGGAATAGCATGGTACGGCATACCTTTTGGATTCTCCACGGCCATGGGTCTAGGATGCGCAGCATTAACGTTCTCTTCAACCTTTCCCACTTACCCAGAACCACTCAGCGCCGCTCAGAACGGTGCAGGCCTATCCTCTCCAGCCGCTGCAATCGCTCTTCTCGGCAAAGGGGGTGCGGTGCTGATGCTCATTTTGCTCTTCATGGCCGTGACATCGAGCACATCTGCCGAATTGATCGCTGTATCATCGCTACTGACGTTTGACGTATACAAGACGTATATCAGGCCAGACAGCTCTTCACACCGGCTGGTGCAGATTTCTCATTATGGCATCGTCCTATACGGCCTCATACTTGCAGCGTTCTGCTGCATCCTGAACGCAGTTGGACTGAATCTGACCTGGCTACTCACCGTCCTCGGAATCATAGTTGGTGGTGCCTCAGTCCCTGTCGGCTTGATCTTATTGTGGGGTCGAATGTCCACTGCCGCGGCGATTGCAGCACCCTGGATAGGGCTTGGTGCTGGTTTGATCGCTTGGTTTGTGACGACGTGGAAAAGATCCGGCGCAATAAACGTCGACACGACAGGAGACACGACCAATGCCGTGGCTGGAAATATCACGTCCTGGGGTACAGGCTTTCTTGTCGCCGTCCTCTTCAGTCTCCTCTTTCCGGCAAAGTACACTGCCACGAGTCCTGAAGACATTAGGAGATACGATAAAATCCACGGCACGCAAAAACTGCTTGGGATCACTGTCGCTGACTCTCCGCCAAAGTCTGACCACACGCTGACCGCTGAAAAATCCAGCCCCACTGACGTGAACAAAGAGGCATTAATGGAACCTGGTAACGAAACGCATGAAGGCCAAGTGCAGTCTGCGCCCGCAAATATTGTACCAACTGGCAATGCGATGGTGGATTACCTCGAAAGCACATTCAGTCAGCCTATGGATCCAGTCGCTGTGAAAAAGGGAGAGCGTCTTGCGATCGTTGCAAACATTGTCTTCATCTTGATCGCTATTATTCTCGTTCCCTTCACTTTGTTCGGAACGGAATATATTTGTGAGCTTCCCCACCACCAAGGTACAAACGGTGACTAACAGCGAAATAGTTAATAAGGCGTTCTTTAGTGGCTACGTCGTGGTATCTTTCATCTGGGTCTGGGTGAGCATGTGCATTTGCGTGATATATCCTGTGGTCGAGTCGAATGCTGCACTCAGAGAGCTCAGTCGGGGACTTTATCAAGACTTCATGGCGGTTCTCGGAAAGTCAAAAGCTAAGCATCAAAACGCAGAGGTCTCTAGCCCGGCATAATAGTGTACTGACGAGACCCTGCAATAACACATTGGAGGTCTAGTTTCAATGGCTATCTAAAGTGCGTTTGCTCAAACTCCATGGATTGAAAAAATTACAGTATTTGAATGGAGGAAAATTCATCTTCGTCAAGTAAGAGGGCAGAAATCAAAATGTCTAAAATTATGTCAATGCATTTGTGATGTTACTTACGATATGTGTGGGTATCTCGAGATGTTTGCATCCTGTCGTTAGAAACTTCGTCAATAAGTCGATTATGCTCTGTTGGATGATCATGGGTTACATAGAAGTCACTCCACATGGATTTTCAACAATAGACAATACGAAAGCAATGTGTATAAATTCATGCTCAACGCGCCAGCAACGCCATGCAAGCAACAGCATATGTGGTATATATCAGACCCCACGAAAAAAACAGTTAATCCCGAGCAAGCAGCCGTCCCAAGCCTGCTTTCGCTTGTCTCGCATAGGCTTATATACAAGTTCCGTCTGTCTCGATCACCAATCATCTCCGTTCCCACTTTGTCACGGCCATAGTTCAGGATGCCTTGCTCACGAACTAGCTAGCGGCATGCCCTCAACTTCTTCTGCTAAAGCTCGCCAATTGTCGGCCTGCAACTCTGCATACTTGACACGCTCTTGCGCCCAGTCTTGATGAAGCCGTGAAATGGCATACTGGCTGCCCTGGAAATAGCGCAGTTCGTCACGGATGCATTGCTTGACAAAGATATGTCTCGCATGCTGAGCAACAATGGATTGTTTGTCCTGTTGGATGATCAGTGATGTTTACTCGGATTATTTAAAGGGTAAAACAAAATGGAAAGTAGGATTACCTTCAGTATTGCATCCTCGACCTTCTCGATATCGCCCGGCTTTCCTACACCCTCTGGCCTGTTTCTTAATACGATTAATTTATCCTCATTATTCTTTATGCGCTTCTCAAGCTGCGGAATGTTATCACGATCATATCTATCACGCCTGTCAAACACGTCTCGCATGCACACGAGGCAATCTCTTTGCTTCTTGAGATCCTCTAGAACGCCCTCGTCCCATGCCCTAGCTTCATCCTCGAGCAACGATTGCGACGCGCTGAGATGCTTAGCAGTGGACTTTAGACCCTCATTCAGAAGAGGAACATCGTTCGTATCGAGGCCGTACGTGTATTTGCTCGCGTCCGTAAGTGCGTTGAGGCCAGCGCTGATACGTGCGTATTCGGCTGCAATGCCTTCATTGCGTTTAATCAACCGCTCCATTTGGTTACACAGATTGATGTAGATCTCTGCGCTCCTTCTAACACCGCTGCGCACATTCTGGAATAGCTCCTCTAGATTTGCAGGAAGACTATCCTCGAGCCCGGGCGGCAGCTCCTTCCCCGCAAACTCTTCGGTGACACTGATTGTAGCCTGCTTCCGCCACACAGCCAGCTCTGTCGGTACAGTCAGGAACATGGTCACTAGCTGCTCCTGACTAAGCACCGGGTGACGCACAAGTGCGTTGGCAAACCGTGCCAGCCCTCTTCTTCTCCTCTCAACAAAGGATGCATCCGTCGCGAGATAATTCCCATTGATGGCGACTCGTTTCGGGGGAAGGAGAGGCAGTTGCCTAAAAGGATACCTCTTGTGAAGACAGTCAAGAAGCCAGACGAAGTCACTATAGCGGCGGATGACTTTACTCGCGCGACGCGCAGACGCCACCTCGTAATTGCGGTGCTGAAACATGAACATGCCCTCCTTCTCCGGGAGAGCAGTAACGGTTATCACCTCCTCGACACCGTTACCAGCGCGGGGGATGGGAAGTGGCTGACCAAGACCTGTGGGATCATTCCTGTTTGGACCGCTGTTTCCGTCTCCGCCCGCGGACGCGCCAAACCCGCCACCCATGCTTGAGTTTGCAAATGAGTCCGAAGCCGAACCTGTGTAACCTCCCCAGCCGCTGTCACCTGCCGTGCTAGCTGGAGTTGCTGGTATGCCCCCCGCTGTTGACTCTTGGGCACTTGAGGTGGTGGTGAACGCGCTCGTCGTTCGGTGGGGTACGCTGCCGTTGATATGCGAAGGCACGCCGTTCGTCGCGGCGTGGTTGTGACCTCTGTGCAGATCGGGACTGCCCCAGGGATCAGACTCGTAGCCAAATGAGGGTTGACGTGCCTTCTTCCTGGACGGCGTTGTCTCTGGTGACCCGGCGACTGACTGCGACTTTGCAGGAGTCTTTTTCGACGTCACGTCATCGGAGGGAGCAGGGTCGAGTTCCGACTTGGACGAGAACATGGTCAATTTGAGGGTTGGGATTGGCAGGTCTGTAAGGGGCACGAATCAGTATGAGCGACAGCGTGCAGAGCAGAGTCAAGCGTAACACATACTTCTCCTCCGGTAATCCACGGCGTCGAGACCGATGTCGTCGCCCTCCTGGGCCAAGGCGATGAGGGCGAGCAAGACGTTGAACTCGGACCGTCCTATTCCGTTCTCGCTCGCACTTGCTTCGCCAGCCGGCAAGACCACGGCCATGATTCTTTCCGCGGCGTTGTTGTCCAGCGCACCTGCCGCAAGCACCTTCCTCACGCCTTCCAAGCTAACGCCAGCTCCCTTCCCGTGGCCTTCTGCCAACACGTGATCGAAGATGTCGACGTAGCCGTCTGGGATGTTTGCGTCCGCCAACAGACTCTTCACCACCTGCGCCCGACCCCCCCTCTTGGGCGCCGGCATGCCCCAGGGCGAATCCTCTTCCGCGAACAGGCTCGTGCTGTTTCGGTTGCCTCCTGGCCGCTCATCGTCAAACAGCGACGACTTGCTGGCGTTGGCTCTGTGTGTAGACGGCGGGTCGTCTGCAAAATCGCCGAAGAGGGACATGTTTCGAGCACCAGACGTGTCCAACGCTCACGGAGTGGTCGGAGGCAGCCACTGATTAGAGCAATTGCGCTCGCTGGCTTGGTGGTTGAGGCTTGCGGGATCTCAAGGCGATGGGCTTCAAATTTGACGGTCGAACGGAGTATACGCGATTAGTTCAATTCGACGGCCTCGTCCACTGTCGGCTTGTGAACAGCTCTGGTGGATGGCTTGCCTCAAACTACGCCATCGAGACGTCGCGGCAGCATCCAGGACGCGGTGTGGTCCAAGCTTTCTATCTTCGTCTCCGACAGTCCGACTCTCTACTAGCTCGCGACTAAGGTTATCCTCCACGGGCCACATCTTGCAGCGGCCTTGCCTCAACCCCTCCTCACCCTCGCCTCCTCTGATTAAAAACACTCATTCATTCAATCGAATCCGTGCCATAGAATCCAGCGAGTCACGCATGAATGTCGTTTCGTTCAAATACTGGATGAGAAGATTGATGAGAGCTGTTGATGAGAGCTGTTGCCGCCATCATCCAGGCCATCAGGCATGATTTGCTCCTTTTCCTGCTTAAGCACAGCAGCATCTTTGGATCTGAGCTTTTCCATGTTTCGGAATTGCTCACTTATGGCGGACAGAACGTGGCCTTTTCAACGTGTGAATCTGCCAAGTCTTGCCGGCATTGTAATAAGTGTTCATCTCGAATCTTTCCAAAACTCCGGACAGTTCAAAATGGCGGCATGATCAGCCTACCAAAATTGGCAGCTCGGCCATGAGCCTGCAACTTATCAGGTTCCCATTTCCTTTTCAGCCACGAAACTCGATGTTATACTGGTGTGGCAACCTTAGCCAATCTTATGCACATGTCTATAATTGCATGCAGCAAGCCTATTTCTTGGTAGACAAAAGAAGCCTTTGCCAAAGCACGGGCTTAGTGAACTGTTTAATGTCTTTCTTCAAGCGCTAGATGGTCTATAGAAAATCTTGAAATGTAGACCAGTGAAGCCGAGTACGGTGAATAGACACAACATGAGGTCATACCATTTACTAGGTTATGATAGCTCTAGTTGTTGATTACAGTACTCTGTCAACCAATGTACCCGTAGCCGCGGAAATAGATGCATCTGTTCGCCAGGCATTTACAACAGCAGATATTGGTTGTTCAATCGACATCAGAGCCCGCTACATGCATAATTCAATTACTGTAGAGAATGCACGGTATTCTTCTGCATCTGTACCACTGTATGATGCCGCGATTATTGCGGAGGAATGGCAGCTTCCTCGCTGTCGACTGAACGCCATTGCTGCTCCTGAACAAGGCTGTGGAGCATTCCACGCTCGTAAAAAGTACTTCTCTCTCTTGGAGCCAAGGATGGCAAAGATACGAGATGGTCGTGGGCCTTGCAGATCTTCCAACTGAGGGCAATCATACGACTTCCACAATGTGCCCAGAATCAAGAGCTCCTTCGCGAATGGCAATAGCAACGTCGCGGAGATCGGCAATACGTGTCCATTGGCTGCCATAACAAAGATGCAGCTCATCCTCTTTGCCTCGTTGAAAGGCGATCTCCGCAAGAGCCCATGCATGCTGCAGTCTTCCTGCTAGATGCTCACTCGACGGGTTCGAATTTTCTCCTCCAAAAGCCGGACTAGTCATGGTGCTCAAGCAATTCCACAGCAGTTCCAGCGCCACGAGTTCGACGTGTGATCTCAGCAACCATCCCCACTTCTTGTGCGTTCTTCGCATCCCAGCCGCCGCTTCGAGAACGAGAATGCAGTTTTGCAAAACTTCGGCTGGCTGCCTGTTTTTCTGAACCACCAGAAAATGACGGCTTAAAATCAACTTTGCAGCGTTGCGCTCGAAGAAACTGAATGCGTCGTTGCGATTACAGAACTGCAGATAACGTCGGTCCATATCCTTTACCAGTCGTTCCACGGACTTTACACGTTCTTCCACTGTACAAAGCGCATCATATCCGTTTACCGTACAGAAGTCCTGACTGAATGAAAATCGACGCGCAGCATAGTTGATGTCCATGCGCATGAGCGTGAATGATAAGTCTGTCCTACGATCGTGGCTCCCTCTTTGATCGGTAGCTGTGTCAGAATTTTGAGTTAAATATACGTCCGCATCGAAGGTTTCGCCGGCGCGTGGTGGAATGGGAAGACTACTCGTCATGTCCAATTCAGCATCATCCAGGTTGCTCGGCATTTTGACGTTCCACATGCCTTCCCAAATAATCGGGTCTTTATCCGTTTCTTCCGCAATTCGTACGTCCAAGGTCATAATGTGCCACCATAACCGGCGTCGCATTTCGGTACGTGTCCTCTGTCCAAGAGTGGCGAACTGGGGACCGCTTGACGGATGATCCGGCTGTTCAATATGAAAATTCATTGTTCTGGCCATCTGGATAGACAGGGCCAGGAGCGATTCCTTTGGCGAAGGGAATGGAGCATGGAGCGAGGTCGCTAAATAGAGAACCAATGCCTGCAAAACCGGTAAGGAAGGCTTCATGAGAAAATTTGATCGAATGAGGCATTGTTCTAGGCCAAAGCGGTACCTATAATTTGCGTTTAGTAACAGACTAAGTGCTGCCATCCTGAAATATTTTGAATATTTTCTCCAAAGTATACCAAACCGCACGTAGCTCTGCGACACCAACCCCATATTTAATAAAGATATGCGGGATAGATTTACCTTTCTAGCAGAGTCACCCTTGATTCTTTGAACATCGAAAGGCAGTCTTCCGTAGGTATGCTGATCATCGCTGAGAAGTAAATGGAGAAGAGCAATATCTCGACTTCAGCTTCCAAGGAATCCATGTTTTGAACCGCTTGAAGAAGTTGCTTCTGGAAAGACGGAGCATGTACAACTTTCAGCAACGGATCTACGTTGTCAAGGTAAAGGTTGAAAATCGCCCAGATCTGCGCAACCGGTGGATGCAGTTCCTTGGTGTTTCTTTCCACCGCATTGTAGCCCAGAAGCATTGAAGGATACGTGCCTGGTGTCGGCTGGTCTCGCTCTGATTGACGAGTATCTGCCCGGTGTGGGCTGTCTGAGCGTGCACAGGCTTGAGCGGGCTCGCTTCCATTCCGTGTCAGATTCTCTGAACCGCGATATGAGCACGTAAGTTCAGTTCGCTGGCATGACCCGCAAGGCGCGCCTCTGTCGCATTTCATCCGTCGACGTTGGCAATGAATACAGGCTCGGGCTCTGCTCATTTGATACCGGGAATCAGAAGCAGGATAAACGCATTTGTAACCTCTTTTGGAACAAGCAGTGCAGGATGAATCAAGTCGGTCGCATGAGATCTTCTTCTTGCGGCAAAGTATACACGCGTGCACTCTTTGCCGTTGCTCGGAAGCCATGTTCTGCAAGGCCTTCTCACGGCTAAGAGCGCTCTTCAGCATTCATTAATCGAACGGAAAGGGCTATGCAGTGTCTCCTTTCATGCAAGGCGTCGTCAACTCCGAAGTTCGGTCTCAATCGCTGGTGGTAGCGGCCTCAAGTCCGTAGCGCGCACTGAACTCCTGGAGACGGCCTCAACTCCTGCCTGGGTGGACTGGAATCGTTCCCGTCGCGGACATTGATGTCAACATAGTGGTATATGCCGCTTGGTCTTGAATTTGTAAAAATTACAATCGAGTTAGGAGACATTTCTATCCCCGAGAAAACTACTTTCATATATAAAAGGACGCAGATGAACACTGAATTCCAATTCATCGGCTACAAGAGTCTCCTGCAAAGTTGATATTCACTGAAAGTGTCAGAATCCAACCCTATTTTCGACTGCAAACATGTCCGCAGCCTACCGCAAAATTGTAATTATTGGAGTAAGTCTCAAATGGCTTTTTTATGTTCTCTTCTTTAAATACGAGACACCTGACAGCTACTAGGGAGGCGGCAACATGGGGCAGATAGTCCTTCGCGGCTTGCTCAGTGCACCACAGTTCACAGTAACGGCTCTCAAGCGGCCTAACAGTACTTCGAAGTTTCCAGAAGCACCCAACCTGAAGGTTTTAGAGTGCGATTTTAGCCCCGAATCTTTGGCTGCGGTGTTTGCTGGGCAAGACGCGGTCATCAGTATTCTTGGTGGCACGGGTTTTGGAGATCAAAAGGCTTACGTCGACGCCGCCGTGAAAGCAGGAATCAAGCGTTTTTTCCCCAGCGAATTTGGTGTCAATGGACAGAGCAAAGTCGTCCAGGAAATAACACCATTCTTTGCGGTCAAACAAGAGGTTCTAGATTATCTTGTCGAGAAAGAAAAGACAGGAATGACGTGGACTGCTCTCATCATCGGAGCGCTAACTGACTGGGTGAGCAAAGACGTCCGTTTTGAACAACGAGGGGCGAAGCTGACACGACCAAGTGCATCGCAAACGGCTTTTTGGGGTTCGATATAGGTTCAAAGAAAGCGCTCATATGGGATGACGGGAACACTCGATTCAGCGGCCTAAATGAAGATGATTTGGGGAAGGCGGTCATTGGCTGCCTTGAACATCCAGAAGAGACTGCGAACAAGGTCGTGTACGCCTCAACCATGGCGACGACTCAGAATGAGATTCTTGCCGCGCTTGAAAAAGCAACGTCCGCAAAGTGGGACGTGGAGCGGAAGACTACAGAGCAGCAGTTGAGAGAAGCTAGGGAATCGCTTGACAAGGGCGATTTTGCGGGAGCGTTTACAATGGTCAAGGCCACTCTACTTGGGAACCTACCTGGCCTTGAGCAGCATTACGAAGTGGATGTGAAGGATAAGCTGGCAAACGATATACTCGGTCTTACTAGGGCAAGTCTCGAGGAGACCGTGAATCGCCTCGTCGCTGGTCATTCTTAGGATCGTCGATGTATGTCATTGCAATTTGAGGATAGATAATTGGCCGGAATCATGAGCGGGTGATTGCAACAGCGCAGTGTCGAATTCAAATTCTCGCCTAGAACGTGCAGCTTGCCTACTTTGCATATTGGCGGGCAGAACGTCCGCTAAACCCTTTTTCCTATGTTATTACCTTTATTATATTGCTTTGTGTTGAGTAACAAGAATACAGACATATCGTTAAGTCTATTGCAGGCTGTAGGAAAGGAGAAAAAGAGGGGCTAAAGTGATTGACACGCAACCAGTAAAGTAGAACAGTCGCTGACGACGGAATGCTTTTCCCGCAAACAGTATGGTTCAAGTACATTGGGCAAGGCATGCGTTAATGTCCAAGATGTATGGACAATAGGACTTCACGTGATTGCACGTCGACGCGCTCGCGCACGCATATAAAGCCTTAAAAAGGTTGGTACGGTATCTCTCCAGATGGATAGACGGGGTTCGACTGCATTTTGTCGACCAACAAGGGCACAATTCCCTTTGAACGGCTACAGCAGGGCTAAGTCGAAAAAGTTAGAGATCAAGAAAGCCGATCAAGCCAGCGGCTTATCTCGTGGACTGAAGACAGCCCGTGATGGAATAGCAGCAGGAAGTAGGTTCATGGCACACTCGAGATGGGGTATTGCAGGCCCACTTTATGCCGTAGCTAACACCTTTCCCGCCTCTATCATCGCGCTTCATTGGTCGTGCTTGCTTGTAACGAAGTTTTGGTGCAGATCAGAAGACCAAACCCAGACAGGTGCAGAAGAAAACAGCATCAGGTTAGTCCATGTTCCAGCGTCGGTATGGACCATTTCTCCAGCTCGTTGGAATGACCCTCATTCTCCCGATTCCAAGCTTCTGGGATAAAAGATCGTGTGCAGAAGAACTTGGCATCTGCAGGTGGAGCCATCCCCCATATCAGAATCGCAACTAACGTAGGAGACGCGGCTCTTCGGATGACAGAACGCTTCTCAGACGCTGCAACGCATGAGCCATGTGGTGACAGTGCAGCAAGGCAGCGGCAGGCTCGCCACTCGAGCGGCCCAAGGGCATGTTCCGGACGTGCAAAAGTCGACGACCTGGATCCGGGCTTGGCCAGCATTGAGGTCATCCTGTCTCTCGCCTGTACGATTTGAAAATTCGGGTGCAAATGAGATTGCACCAGGGCCAATGAAGACCGAGGATGCGATTCGTCCCCCCACGAGGAGCTCGACGGAATGACTAGGAGCCAGACGCTGAAATGCTTGGTATTTTACGTTTTTGATGCCTCGTAGACGACCGATGTTGGCCTGGCGTAACAGGTCCCAGCCTCTCAGTGGCTGGCTTCATGGTGTGAGCGACGAGCTGATCGTCGGGTCTTGGTCCTTATCTGGCTCGCGTTCCTGAGCGAAACCACAGGAGACAAGGTCCCGCGGTCGCTGTAACATCGTATATTGCGCATACACGCCGCGAAGATAACAGAGCCAGCGAGCGCACGATTGTCTTTACCGGATTCTGCTAAAACTTACCTCGACCTCAGATTGAGGCGGCATCCCCGCAATCATGGATCCCCGGGACGCGCCCGAGTCTGCTGCACTGCTCGCTTGGCGACAGGGATGCCGTGCATGTTATCTTGTGTTAGGTTCGTTAGGCTCGTTAGCCTGACGACAGTGGAGTGCTAGCCCGAGAGGTCTGTCGCGTGCGGTTGTTCCACTGCACATCTTCTGTCTACATGGTTTAGACCTGCCCATCTGCTCTGGGTCCAGGCACGGTCCCTTTTATGCACGACTCCCACTGGAGGGAGTGCTGGGCTGACCCAAGAGCGTCGCCTCAAGCCAAGATCCGAGTTTGCCTCAATAGTGGATTCCAGAGTGTATATCTTTACCAGATGGCCCCTCCCGGCGTTTAGGATTTGCCCTTCGGCTCCCGCCTCCATCTTCACTCGGCAGGTTTTTCTCTCAAGTTGTTATGCATCATGTCTGAACACGATCCAAAGACGGTCGGATACGACGAGAAGCCGGCGAATGCTTTCGCGTCTGACCCGAACGACGACTCCGTGGAAGGCGAAGTACACGACAATGTCGACTACCTCCATCGTCGTCTTGGAAACAGGCAGATCCAGCTCATGGCCATCGGAGGCTCCATTGGCACCGTACGTAGTCGACCGCTCTTTGATGAGAAAGGCTCAAGCAGCAGCAACTGATTCATCCGTCGTCTAGGCCCTGTTCGTGAGCATCAACACCGGTCTGTACCAAGGTGGACCAGGCTCCCTTTTCTTAGCATACACAATCTACAGCATCATGCTGGGATTTGTCAACAACTCCATTGCTGAAATGACCGTCTATCAGCCCGTTTCTGGAGGCTTCATTCGACTTGCGGGAAAGTGGGTTGACGAGGCATTTGGCTTCATGGCGGGATGGAACTTCTACTTCTACGAGGCGCTTCTAATTCCGTTCGAAATCACGGCGCTGTGCACTGTCTTGTCCTATTGGCGCGACGACATCCCAGCTGCTGCTGTCATTTCCGTCTGTATTTTCCTCTACGCCTGCTTGAACATCCTGGCCGTGAAGATCTACGGCGAGGCAGAGTTCTGGCTGTCTGGTGGAAAGGCTATTCTAATCCTGATCCTGTTTGCTTTTACCTTCGTCACCATGGTTGGAGGCAATCCAAAGCATGACGCGTACGGCTTTCGATACTGGAAGAACCCCGGCGCCTTCCTCGAGTACCGTACCACTGGCGATCTCGGACGTTTTGAAGGATTTCTTGCGGCTCTCTGGTCTGCGTCGTTCACCGTGGTTGGCCCAGAGTACATTTCCATGGTCGCAGCTGAGGCGAAGCGCCCTCGTATCTACATCAAGAGCGCATTTAAGACTGTCTATTTCAGATTTGGACTCTTCTTCATCGGTGGTGCCCTTGCCGTCGGCATTGTATGCTCTGCCCGGGACCCTACTCTTGTAGCCATAAAAACTGGCAAGGCTGGAGGCGCCGGTACTGCATCTGCCTCTCCCTACGTCATTGCCATGACGAATTTGGGAATCGAGGGCCTTCCTCATCTTGTCAATGCGTTGATGGTAACCAGCATTTTCTCCGCTGGTAACACGTACACGTACTGCTCCACACGAAACCTGTACGGCCTGGCTTTGGAAGGTCGTGCACCGTCCTTCTTCAAAAAGTGCTGGAAGAACGGTGTGCCATTTTACGCCTTCCTTTTCACAATGTGCTTCCCTTGCTTGGCCTTCCTCCAGCTCGGCAACAGCTCCAACACTGTGCTTGGATGGCTGGTAAGTCGCTTTTCTGCTCCTTTGGTGATCTTTTGTAAGCTAAAAACGACACATAGATCAATCTGATCACAGCTGGAGGTGTGATTGACTACATCGTCATGTGCATCACTTACCTCTGCTTCTGGCGTGCTATGAAAGTTCAGGGCTTCGACCGTCGCAAGCTTCCCTACGTGGGTTGGTTCCAGCCCTACTCCGCCTGGATTGGACTGGTTTGGATGGTCTTCATCGTTTTCACGTACGGATATTCATCCTTCAAGCCCTGGTCGCTTGACGATTTCTGGATCTACTACACTATGGTTGTTGCCGCACCTGTGCTTTTCATCTTTTGGAAGGTCGTTAAGCGCACCAAGTTCGTAAAGTCATCTGAGTTGGATCTCGTCTGGCAGGCACCTGCGGTGGATGCATACGAGGCGACATTCTACGAGAAACCTCTAGGGTTCTGGATAGAGATGGCTCAACTAATCGGTCTCAAGAGGAACGTTGGTGGAGATCATCGTCGTGGAAGCGTAGCATAACTTCGTGGTAGAAACGAAAAGTGGCTCGATGTTCCAATGATTGCACGACAGTACGAGGATCATTCTCGTCTGCGAGATACCCTGCTCTGAATCGACGTGCTCACTGTATTTATGTGTTCGTACCACGACCATTCAATAACATGCTAGTTCGATTCAGATTCACTTTCAACATGAGTGCGTAGACTGAATATGCCGGGAGATACTCTAGCGGTCTTTCTGCACGAGCCTGAAAAGCCATCAATTAATAGGCGCCATCTTTAGTGCAACATCGTTAGATTGATCGTACGAATTCTCTCCAGTGTGTGCACCGCCAAATGATCACGCTGGTTCGCGATTGTCGACTAGTCTTCTCCAACCCTCTCGAGCATTCAGTCTGTTGAAGTCGGAGCGTCTTGTGGGGCGCGACATGACGTTACGCGATGCTCACCCCTGCATGTCCCACTGTGTGGATGCCAGCGACTAATCAACAGCGGCCATGTGCGGAGCAATCAAGAAACATCCTCATCACCACTTCACAAGCCTCATGAACGTAGTTGCAAGACCTTTTTGTCGCCGTCCAGGAAGTATCACCACCGTTCAGGCAAGTGGTTCCCGTGCGCTCGCTCCAAAAGCCAAAGCCCCGCAAGCTAAACCGTCGCCGGAACAGCATTTTATTAAATCACGCAGCATGCATATTCAGTCGATTCCGATGTGTATGCTGTCCTCCGGTCGCTAAAATGAATCGCTTCTGTTGCTAATTCACTGCCCAAGGGACTGGTACGGGCAACAATTATGCCTATCTAGTAAGCGACGACAAAACCAAGGAGGCCACGATCATCGATCCAGCCAATCCTCCCGAGTAGGCTTCACCCCGTTACTAGAGTCATAAGCGTTGTGTAAGATTGATACTGATCGAACCGAAATCTGTTAGAGTGTTGCCTGTGCTCAAGGAGCAGACCGATGGAGGCAAGATCAAGCTCATCAGCATCATCAACACGCATCAGTAAGCCCGCTCCATGGAACATGGCGCTGATTTTGGCAAAAATTACAAATCGTGTCTAACGTGTGAGAATCACCCAGCCACCGAGACCATGCTGGTGGGAACGCGGAACTGGTATTTGAACACTTGCCCCTTGATTGAGGCCGACATACCTGCTTGCGTGGAGAGTGCAAGACGAACTGACACGACAAAACTCAATGTAGCTCAAGCACTACAAAGTCCCCGTCGTGGGCGGCAAGAACTGCGACAAAGTCAGCGAAACACCAGCCGACGGCTCGACTTTCAAGATCGGCGAAGGCATCAAGGTGAAGGCGCTGCACACGCCGTGCCACACGCAGGACAGCATTTGTTACTTCTTCGAGGACGGCGACCAGCGCGCCGTGTTCACAGGCGACACGCTATTTATCGGCGGATGTGGACGTTTCTTCGAAGGCAAGCCGGAAGAGATGCACAAGGCGTTGAACGTCACCCTAGCTAGCCTTCCAGACGACACAAGGGTCTACGTGAGTTTGCGCAGCCCTCTATCTATGCATCGGATTGATGCTAAAACTAGATAGCCTGGCCATGAGTACACAAAAGGTAATGTCAAATTTGCGCTAAGCGTTAGCCAAGATGAAGAAACAAAGCGTCTGGAAGCCCTCGCAATGAACAACACCCAGACACAGGGCAAGTCGACCATTGGTGACGAAAAGGTGGGTGCCACAAGGAGAGCCTCATGTGAGCCAGATGCTGACGCTTCGTCGCGACCAGCGGTATAATGTCTTCATGCGCGTCAACGTAAGTTTGCACTTAGCTCGTGAGGCGGAACTTGGTTAAATGATGGAGCAGGATCCAGCGATGCAGAAAGTGACGGGCGAGACAGATCCGGTTAAGGTCATGGGAAAGTTACGTTCTATGAAGGATCACTCCTAGATTTCATGGGAAAAGTGATGAAAATCGTATGATATATAGGCCAATCAAAACCACTGCACCCGAGTTTCGTCGTCACTTTTTGTTGTGAAGCGTTATCTTGTCCTTCGCGTCACCAACTCTGGCCGCACATAAGTTGACACCATATATTACCCGAACAGTCTCGGGAGCAGGCAACAACTTAACCAGATCTGGGACAGCACTTAAAAAGCTTCGACAGCGTTCCAGTGCTTGACATAACTTCAATCGGGCTCTCCTGCTCACATGTTGACAGTCGCGGATGCAAGCATGGACGCGCTTCAAGGCCATGACGATTCCGACTTGCCGTCGTATGACTTCGAGGACTTGAACACGGAGATGATCATGGAGATCCAAGACGGGAGCACGAGCAACGTTAAGCGAACGATGATGTTCGTCCTCGGGTTGGTAGAGAGCAATTTGCAGCCCATGTTTCTCAACATCAAGTGCTGCTTGATCGCAGCGGCGGCTATCAGCAGAGCAGATTGGGAAGCAGCGCAGGCATGATCTCAGACGAAGGTCAAAAAAAAAGGAGAAAATAGGCTAACAAGGTATCACAGAAAGTTCTTTGTATCGCTGAAGCATGTTGGTGCTGGCTGTTTGAGCGGGCGAGAGACCGCGGCGATCGTGAGGCGTACGTGGCACTAGGCGAACAACGTCGGCAGCTGAACCGCTTGGAACAGATGCGCGTCTACGGTGGTGCAAAGTTCATCCACTTCGCATATAGGTTGCCTCGCGGAGTTGGCGGTGTGGAGCATGATGAGGAAGACATGCCTCCAGGATATACGGTCAAAGAGCTGGTTCCTACTACTAGTCCTCCTCCTGCCTCTGAAGCAGATTTCATGCCTGCCGGTTGGACGGGACAAGCAAAGGAGACGTCTACACACAAGCGTAAGGCGAGCACGACTTCGGCAGCTGTGCGAAGGTCGCCCCGACTTCACGGCGGGCAACGATGAGATAGGTAACCGACGACATAAAAGAGAACAAAAAGCCGCTCAGGCGGTTTAGGGTTGATTCACTGCAAGTCGTTCTAGCCCACTCTTGCAACTTACAGAACTCACGGTAGCGTGTTGGACCAGGGCGCGTTGCCCGCAGACGTGTGAACGGCCACGGATGTTCGCGGTGATGGGCAGTCTCGATGCGGGTTGCCAGCTAGCCAGACTCATGCGAAGCTGGAGAAGAACAGAGCAAGGACGTGGAATTAAACTGACGTTACAGGAAGTCCGGTCATGGTGTTTGGTCGGCTGATGCCCGTCCTGAGCGACCCAGATCGCGGATCTCGGACGTAGGCGTGGGGCAGCGAGCTAATCACCGGGCGTGGGAAGGAGCGAATGGTGACTCGGTTGCTGGGGTGCTCTAGACGCGACTGCCGAAGAAGGCTCGCACTTGCCTCGTTTGGATCCTGCTCAGCACGTCTTCAACACTCCCAAACGCAGAACCCCAAGCTCCTTCCCTTGCTCGGAAAACGGGACAAAGAAGGAGCGACCTTTGCAGTACCACGACGGGTCGCACCTGCACAGGCCTCGTCGATGACTTCACCCTCTACGCATCATCGTCGTCGCCATCGCATTCGTCACCTCTCCAAACACGAGCGGATGGAGGATGAAAGCAACATGATTTCTCGATAAATTGCAAGCGTCGCTCGCATGTACCCGCGGCAGGCTCGCTGCCGAAGCGTTGGGCGAATTTCCCAGTTGTGAAGGCCCATGGTGCAGGGTCCTAGCTCCAAGATCCAGCGTTCCCTTTTATTTTTTGTGGCCGCCAGCCCACACAACACCTGGAAGCTTCACGGCTAGTCGGCACGGCACCGTTGCCATCTCCACTCAGCGCACGCAATCGTGGCGACGGCCCTCCGACTCACCACTCACACAACCTCCTCTGTATGGAGAATCTGCTGCTCATGGCGCCGTAAAGTCCGGCAGATTGGCCCTGATGAGTTTTTGTGCTGTGCCCTGTTCCCTCCTTTGCTAGGTACCGCGTTCCCCCCCCGCCCACCTACTGGTAGCCGACTTGGACCTTTTTCGCATTGGGTTGTTGTAGCTGCGTCCCCATGGCCTATTCCTCTCATAACGTTATTGTCCTCGTATAATTCTTGACTTGCGTTCTTGCTTATATGTTCCTTTCACCCCTCACATCCGCCTGCCTCAAGAAACTTTCGCCCGTCCACCGTTTTGAGACTGCTGCACTTGACTGGGCTACGAATCCGTCGAACCCACGTTCAGTGCCTGTTTAGAAACGCATCTTGCGTATGTTTCGCAGACCATGAATCTCCAAAGGGTCCCCACGGAGAAAGAGATAGTAGAGCTAGCTATTGCCGAAGGTCACGATGCCGACATACCAACAAACCTGGGCGCCTTACCCAAACACAACAAGGCTCCAACAACTGACCGACCGACAAGTCATCCTGACGATAAGGAAGCAGGGTTAGAAAAGGATCTCGCTATCTCGTCCGAGGACGCCTCCGATGTTTCGAGTCGGGTAGCATCGCGTATCGATATTGAGGCAGCTCCCGTCGAGGGGGAGCAGAAGACCGAAGGAGGATTGTTTGCGGGTCAACAACAGGACCCTCAAGATGCCAACCTCGTATGGTGGGATGGGCCGGATGACCCACAGAACCCAATGAATTGGTCTGACATGAGAAAGTGGATGAGCATCGCTTTAGTCAGCATGATCACCTTCCTCACTCCCCTTGGATCATCTGCCTTTGCACCAGGCGTGCCTCAGCTGATGGAAGAATTCCACAACGATTCGACGCTATTGTCTGGATTCGTTGTGTCCGTGTACGTTCTCGGTTTCGCCATCGGTCCGCTGGCTATTGCACCGCTCAGTGAGATGTACGGACGCCTTCCGCTATACTACGTTTGCGGTATTCTGTTTGGTGTCTTCAATATCGCATGCGCAGTCGCCGCCTCACTCACCCAGCTGATAATATTCCGACTGCTCGCAGGTTGCTTTGGTGCCGCGCCGTTAGCGCTGGGAGGCGGTACGATCGCCGACCTTGCCAGGCCGCAAACAAGAGCCACGGCCATGGCAATCTGGACTTTAGGGCCCACAGTGGGACCCGTCATCGGTCCTGTGGCTGGTGGTTTTATATGTGAGCGTCTAGGATGGCGGTGGATGTTCTGGATCATTTCGATTGCTACCGGTATCGTCATGGCGCTGGGCATGTTGACCATGCGCGAGACGTACGCACCGGCGTTACTCAAGCGGAAAGCCAAGAAGTTGCGCAAATTGACTGGGAATCCGTTGCTGAAGTCAAAACTGGATACCGGCATGAGCACGAGAGATTTGTTCTTATACTCGATCGTCCGCCCGACTAAGATGCTCTGCCTTAACCTCACATGTCTCACTCAATCGTTGTATGTTGCCATTGTATACGCTTACCTATACCTCATGTTCACAACCGTGACCGAGATTTTTGAGCAGCAGTACCATTTCAGGACGGATCTGGTCGGTCTGGCATACATTGGCATGGGCTTAGGCTCATTCCTCGGCCAGTTCGGCTTTACGTATTTCGAGAACAGAAACTATAGATACCATGAAAAGAAGGGGGACCTGAAACCAGAACACAGACTGATAGCTATGATACCTGGCTCCATGATCTTGCCCATAGCGCTGTTCTGGTACGCTTGGAGCGTTGAGGCGAAAGTACATTGGATGTGTCCTATTGTCGCCATGGCTTTCTTCGGCTTGGGCTTACTTCTCATCTTCGTATGACTCCACAATTTAATTTGGCCTCGTCATGGATGCTAATCAGTCACCACAGATGTCAGCTTCGAACTATCTCGTAGATGTGTTCACCGTGCACGCCGCCTCAGCCATGGCTGCAAACACAGTGCTGCGATCTCTGTTCGCTGCCGTCATACCCCTCGCTGGTCCAACTATGTATAGCCAGCTTGGCTACGGGTGGGGTGCATCGACTCTTGGTTTTATCGCACTAGCGTGCGTTCCTATTCCTTTCTTATTTCTCAAGTACGGCGAGTGGTTGAGAACGGATCCAAGATTCCAAACTAAACTCTAAGCGTCATCATCATTTTTCATTGATCGGGATCTTAGAGAAAAGGTTTTGGGCGTTTCGGCGGCGAGGTTCAGACCAGGAAAAGTTAGGGATATCCAAGCATCTTTAGAGTGGTACACTTGTGATTCAGCATGCAAGGACCGTGTACATCATAGACAGCGACTAGAGCATAATTCATATGTAAAAGATAATACGGTAAAGTCAACTTCTTGAATAAACGTCCGTGTTCAGCTTCACGAAGACTTGTCTCGAATTCCCTGGTTTCTGTGTTCTAATTTTTGGGTGACGGAATATGGGTCAAGGAAGGTTAAGAGCCAGAAGTGGAATAATAGATGGGAAGAAACAAAAGGCGAACAGCTGGAGACCACGCATCAAAATGGTCGATGTAATTGAGCCCAAGTAGCCGTAAGCGACCATAGCAGGCTGGTTACCTTATTTTTTCTCTGGAGAGATTATTGATGACCATATACCGACTTAAACCAATCCAGCCCCAGCGGAACCACCGCATCTGGCTCTTGTGAGCTGTCGTCATGGCGCCTTGCGCCGTTCGCCAATCTGCAATGTTGCTGACGAAGAGCAGAGGCGTCGGCCTGTCACCTACCTTTTTCTCACCGACGACGGCGGACACGAGCGTGGCGGGCGCGTCAAAAATGCCCAGGTACTTGCGGACGAGGGGGACGGTGGCGAGGGTGTACAACGTCACGGGGCAGTCCCACCCGCTGCGGCCGACCATGAGGGACCTCAGAAAGTGGACGCAGCCGTGGTACAGGGACTTGTGGTTCGGGTGGGAAGAGACTCCGTCGGCGTCAAAGGTGATGAGGACGTCGATGTTTGCCTTTGGTCGTTCTTTCGCCGAGAGCTTCGACATCGTCGGAGCGAACGTCGACGTCAGCAGTTTGGTGATGAGCACGGCATCCCACGTCGTGGTCATAGAATCTGGGAAGTTACTACATCGTTTCCCGAGCAGATTAGTTTGCTTTTCCTTCCTCTCGATCTCTTTTTCTTCCTTCCTCGACCAGGTCTGATCGGGTAAAGGAGAGCAAAGCACGCAAGGGCAAGAGAGGCCTACGGATCTTCGATGACCATGATGTCGTCCTCCGAGCGAAGGCCAAGGTGCAGTCCACTCTTGACAAGCTCTTTCTTCCGCGTCTCTCCCAGTCCATCGGCGTCACCTGTCCAGCGCTCGTCAGTTTGGCTTGAGAAACAAGTAGGACCATGCGACGAGGTTGAGGCAAGATTGGAAAAGAAAGGAAGCGAAGCACGTGCCACTACTCAAGCATAGGATCTTGATATGATTTCCTAGTTCCGGCCTTGACAGAGCCAGCAGCGTAGGCGCAAAGAACATGGCCTCGTCGTCGGGATGCGCAATGAGAAGCAGTATCCGCTTCCCCTGCAAGGTCGGGAATCTCTGCGTGACCATCGACGTGTACAGCCAAAACCCGTAGATCAGGACCGGAATTGAGGCCCAGGCGTACCACTGCATCGTGCTCGACCAGCCTTGGACCGTTCGACGGCGAATTGGTTGAACAATGGTTGCGAGGGCAGATACGTGTTTTGCAAGAAGCGATTGCTGGGAGCGTTTCTGCGAGAAAGGAGAAACGTGACCGGGTCGTCCCGCAGAGCCTCACAGACTATCACAGAATCTTTATTTTCGAGCCATTCTTCTCCACTATCACCTCTGCTCATCTCGAGTTTTTTATGTTTCGCGAACACACATTTCAGGCCTTGTTCGACCGGCTCGTTGAATTCTCACGACACAGCTCCGTCGTTCGGAACACACTTTACGTCTGGCCCGTCTGGTGTAAATCCGCCGCTCCCGAAGGCACTCGTGCCAATTACAGTATCCCCTCAAGACCGCGCTAGCTCTATGGACGACACCACCACGCCCCGCAACCGGCGCGAACGTCGAGCAGCTGCCAAAGCAAATGGCTCAAACAAAAGCACAGGCAAAGCCACAGGCACAAGCACGATCGCAAGCGCTAGCACGTCGGCGAACGACTACCTCAACACACCACTTCCCGGAATCGAATACAAGAAGCCCGATTACAACGCGGCCAGGGTCAAGGGGCACAAGACGCTGTACGAGATAGCTGCGGAGCGGCAAGAAGAGCTGAGGAAGCAAGGCGTGTATGACAAGTACGAGGACAAGTATGCGCACGGCGAGAACGCGGGAGACCACCAGTTCTGGTCGTCACCCGGCGACGAGGAGCCCATCGGGCCGCTGGGCGAGGCTTTCGTGTGGGGCGTCTCGCTGTCAATGCTACACTTCACGCTGGACGTGCTCGTCTTCCACCAGTACCGGCAGGAGTTCGAGTGGCGCGAGATATGGACGCGCATGTTCACCATGATGCCTGCCCTCTTCGTCGTCGTCTACATGCTGCACACGAAAACGGCGACGCGGTGGGCGAAGCTGCGGCAGGCTTTCTTCTTCGCGACCAGCGTGGCCGCCGGCTGCTTCCTGATCAAGAGCGGGAACTTGGACGGCTACTTCGCCGTCATGAAGATGGCCCCGCCGCTGGGCACGTTGTGGGTGTGGAGCACCATCGAGATGGAGCTTTGGTGGGCCGTCACCCACGTTGTTCTGGTGTGTTTGTACATGTGGTGGAACGGCTTCACAAACTTTTAGTTTCCTCTCGGGTTCTAAAATACGAAGTGAAGAAAAGACTAATTTCGGTCGACCAAACTGGGTTCAACGTGTCATGACTCCGCTCGCGTGTCTCTCACTCTCTCTCACTCTCTCTCTCTCTCTCTCACACACACACACACACACACTCTCTCTATATATATATATCGTTGTTGAATTGCTGACTGTATCGGGAACGGAATCGGCGAGTGCCGCGACAAGAGTTCAGAAGGTGAAAAGGATCTTGTGAAACTCTCAACCGACCGCGACAGATCTGCATGGCGCCGTCTAGTATCGTGGATAGGCTTGCGGTCTCTTGCTCGGAGCTCTTCCAGACGTCCAAGTAGCGAACATTACATGCGCAAAAGTAGCCCGCTGACCCTGTTCTACATGACGCGAAACCCAATTTCTTGCAATCCCACGACTGTACGCAGTGAGGGGCTGGATCCCTTTCATCTCCGGCGTTGCGTTGTCAATCAGGACGGTCGCCGCGGGACCTTGACGAGCCGTATCCAGTACAAAATTCGACCATGGCCTTACCGAACAGAACACCCACACGCACACGATCCGGGTTGAGACCCCGATTCCGCCGCGTTGCTCTGGACCCGTTTGATCGCCCGCACAAATGGCGTCGTTCCCATGCTCCAAAACGGCTTCGCGGAAGGCGACTTGGTTAGGGATCTCGACTCTGCACAGGATTCAAACCGCCGCTACACACGACCTGACGTTCGCGGCACCCCGCACCAGGCAAGGCTGGATTTGACAAGCAGCCTACTGACCGCTTTTCCCACCCGCCGTAGACAAGTCCAGGCTCAGAGCACATCATCTCCCTGTGAAAAACATCGGTTTCAGGTCGAATATCCGGCCATGACGGATGCGGGCGAATATCTGAAATCGACGATACGATGCCGAGCATGTTCTTGGACGGTCGGCGACCCAAGTTCACGAGAGCGGTTCCGTGTACGCTGAGACGAAGAATGACTTTGGCTGGCTTTCGGATGCCAAACTGCACAGTATGCGTTGCTGAAGGATGCGCAGAAGGGGAACCTCGTTCGTTGAATTATGCAGGTCAAGAGTTTTACACAGACGTTACGGTCGCGATCCACGTTTAAGTCTGCTTTCGCTATCGATCGTGCGTATACGAGATTCTTAGCATGATCGTAGCTGCTGAGAAAGCTCCAAGAAACAACACCGTGGTTCATTGCGTGACGGAAGACGATGTAGCTGACCCAATGGCCAGTCCCTTGCTGTCGTGATGACGCCTCTCGTTGCTCGTGAAACCTTTTATACCACTGGCGGGTGAAGTCTACGATCAAAAGAGAACATCTACGAGGTCAACAAATCTGCATTGCAACGGGTTTGTGGGAGAGCGGCGTGAAGGCGATTCTCTGGGTCGTCCAAGATGTGGATGGAAACTTGGACGCGAAGAGCCGTAGCATCGAGTCAATTTCAACGATAAGAAACACTCATCTCTACAAAGCTCTAATAAAAGGGACGAAGAGAGAATGAACGTAAAACATGTCTTCGTTGCAGATTTAGTCGAGCGTGGACAATGCTTAATATTCAAACGCGGCTTCTCTGTCGCATTATGCAAGCGAACGGAATGAAGGAGTCGTCCCCTAAGAAATGAAAATACGTGAAGAAACGAAGAAATTGGATTCATCGGTTTTGTTGTGCCTTGGCTCGAGAATTTGACAAGATTATGCTTACACATTACAACTCTCCATTGCGTCCCAACGAATTTGCAGCGTGGGAAAGGTGTCTTTACACGTAGACATACTCGTACACGTACTTGACTTGAGGAATGCACGAACCAGTGTCTGGGGAGCTCGATGAGCCGGACATCGAGCCGGAGCTCGAACCAGAGCTGTAGCCAGAGTTGTAGGTCCAGCCAGAATAGCCACCAGACAGGCCTGATGTGACATTGGTGAAAGACTGAGGAACCTCCCAGGTTGGGGCACTGTTGCTGCTCGCAGGTGGAACGAGCTTGGTAAGCACAACGGTGATCTCAAGGCCAGGGACAGAGCTAGCGTCAACGACCTCGCCGTTGACCTTCTTGACGGCCCAGTTGAGCTTCTGGTGGAGGAATGGCTCGACGACGGAGGCGTCAAGGCTCTTGAGCTTTCCGACGGCAATCTGCTCAACGAGCGCTGGCGTCAGAGCCACAGAGCCGGAGCTGAGCCATCCGGAGGTAGCGGTCATCGTTGTCGATGCGAAGAAGCCGTGCGAGCCGACCAGGTTGGAAGCAGAGCCCCAAGTAGAGCTGTCCGCAGGAACGTCGCCGAAGAAGATGTAGACGAAGAAAGAGCAGCCAAGACCCATGCGCTCGGCGACGATGCTGCAGGACCAATCGAAGGTACGACCAGACGGGGTGAGAAGCGAGGGAAGGTTGCTCGGCAGAGGGGTGAGGCTCGTCGAGCCGCTCGAGCTGCCGGATGATGGCTTCGAGGACGCGGCCGCGGAGGCGGGGGTGCTGCTGATGCTGGAGTTGGTGAGCTTGGAGGGAGAGGAAGGCGTCGCGCTTGGAATGGCCGAGCTGGACGAGGACGAAGACGAGGAGCCCGAGTTGACTGGCGGGATGGTCTGTGTACCATAGAGCGAGTTGATGGCCGAAATAACGGAGCTCTTGTCGGTTGAGAGACCGTTCATGACCTCGGGATAGGTGTAGCCGAACGTGGTCCAGTCCTCCACCTCGTTAGGAGTCCAGAAGGTCTGCGAGCTAGCATCCTTGTAGAAAGGAGTAAGAGGGGATGTGCCGTCGACTTGTTCGTTTGCGGGGGTGGTGTAGGTAGCGACACCGCTCAAGCCAGGCGAGAACCATGTCTTGTCCTGAGCGATCTGCCAGAGCGCGAGCAGACGGTCAACGTTGGCGTGATGAAGCCAGAATGCTGGGTCGAAGCCGGCGTGGCCGAGGTCACCCATGTGGCCATTGCCACCAATGTTCATGTGGACCTGGTCGTGAATACTCTCGAGACCGGCCGAGCAGCCTTCGCTGCTCGTGGCGGCGCTGTCGTCAGCCATCTCCTCCCACTGAGCGCAGTTAAGAAGCATCTTGTACGTGAGGGCCTGGATGTTGGTGAATGCAGACTGAATGTTGTTGACCATGGTGTTGAGATCGCTGCCCGAGGTAGAGCTGTCGGGGCAACGAACGGTATCTGGCCAGTTGATCCATGGCGCGCCACCAGTCGAGGCCTGGGTAAGGATTTGGAACTTGTACTGATAGAAGGGGTTGTCGATGGTCTGGCTGCCGCCGCTCGGGGACGGAACGGTGACCTTGGGTTGAATGAGGATAGAAGGAACGGTCTTGCCAGACGCAGCCGCGGCCCAGTCCCAGTAAGCAATGCGAAGACCGCTGGCGGCCTTCTGGAAGATAGCCTGCTGCGTAGGGTTGCTGGCGAAGTCGCTGATGACGCCTTGGACTTGCTCGTAGAAGCCCTGTTCGTACGCGGCAACGTAAGCTCTGTGCCAGGCGGGGAACAGAGTCGACGAGTGCGTGCAGTAGCCGCAACCGCCCTGGCTGATGGCGGCCTGGTTTCCTTGAACTCCAGACCACGGCTGGCAAGGAACGCCGTGAACGCCAGAAACCTGGTAGAAGGAGAGCACGTCGCTAGTGTCGGCATTCATGTAGCGGTTCATGGCCAGGAGGTAGAGGTTGAAGGCGTCGGTGTCCGTGGCCAGCTCGGTGAGTTCGCGACGGACGCCGACCAAGCCGTCCGTCGTCGCACCCGTGACCGAGATGGTGTCGCGGGCGGCGAAGGCCGAGCCCATCAGGGCTGCCGCAGCAGCGAAGAGGGCGGAACGCATAACGAGAGGAAGATTGAAAACGGAGCAATTAAGGAAAGTGTACTATGTGTGTTTGCTGAGCGAGCGCCTGTATCTTACGAAAAGCGATACAGTAGTTGGACCATAAGAAAAGAGTGAACCACGGGGCTTGACCAGAGGTGAAAGACGAAGTGGAAGAATGCAAGAGAGGCCGTAGAACAGCGACGAACGACGGAGGGCGCATTAAAAGGGAGGGCCAAAGCCATGGGCGCCATTCCAGGAGTGAATCTAAATGAGGAATACGACTAGCGCAGATGAAGGCCGGGCCAGTGCTAGCGCTGCTTAGAAGGCACAGGCGGGAAGGGGGATGGGAGGGGCGTGTACAACGCCCCATGCCGGATGTCCGGCGAAAAGCTCGGTCTAGCTTGGAGTAGTCGTCGTCGTCGTCGCAGTAGTAGCGCGGCACTGCGAAGTGTCGCAGCAGCAGCGCTAGCAGGACCGCACGCAGCATGCGCCAGGCACCAGGCACCAGGCACGTCCAGCTATTCTTGTTGCTCCGGGGCCAGGGGAGTCTCTTCTGGTCTAGCCGAAGATCTCTGGGTCCAGAAGGGATTGGCGGGCGTCCTGCCGTGGTTGGCTCGTGTAGGCCCGCTCATCAAACCAGGGCACGCTTCTCGTCAAGCCATCGTCTTTGGCCAGCCGCGACAGCAGCCACTGCTGGCCATGCCAATTGGCAAATCCCCAATTCACGTGTGGGCGAGAGCTCGGGGCAGGTTTCGTGGAATGGTCCAATCGCAGCGGTGGGAGGCGCCGTGTGACAAGAGTTGCGGGACGCCCGTCTGGACAGACACTTGCGGCGAAGAAAGGAGGCCTCGCCGCCGCACGCCTGGCGGGTCGAGCACGAGGCATCCTCATGTCAAACGACGGTGCTGGTGTTGGTAGTGGTGGTGGTGGTGGTGGTGGTGGTGGTAGTGATGATGACGACGCCGCCGACAACAATGCTGAACAGGATCTCTGCCTACGCCATGCTTGCGCAACCTCGTACAGCTTCGTCCACTAGAACGGAGGTACCTGACGATCATCTCCTTAGCGATGGCGGCGGATCGTCGTTTTTCTTTGGGGGAGGGGAAATTGCACCGCAGCAATTGGCCACCAGCCAACGCGGCTGCGTCGACAGCCGCGCGCTTGTTGCCCGCTACGGGGCCGCCACGACAGGGGCGCGCAGCGGCTCGAAGCACCACAATCTCGCGACGTTGCATGACTGTTTACCAAACAGAAACCACGCCACGGCAAGTTCCTGCAGCGCTGCTGCAGGTACGGAGCACCTCGAATCGTTCTGTGCAAAGTATACGGCGTGCTGGATGGGCTGTACGTCGTGCTCGTGAAGTGAAATACTGCTCGTGTCGATACCAGCAGTCCACGGGGCAGGTGCAGCTCGTGCCTTGCTTGCACCTGCCCCCTCCCAGCGGTGGAGGGAAAGAGGGATTGAGGGAAGGACGGAAAGCGCGGAGGGCACCAGCACTCACGTTCCCACCGCCCACGTCATCTGCCCGGTACGAGCGCCGTCAGTTCATGGACTGATCTGTTGTTTTGAACGACGTGCATTCTCGTTCAGTGTACAGGCCACGAGAAACAGGCCGCGAAAACAACAATCTCGTGTGCAGAGTCTTGGGAGCGAAAGGGGGCGCAGCCGTCCGGCATTGTGGGGGAAACACTGTGCGGCGCGGAAATAGCGTGTTTCCGCCGGCGCCGGGCTGGCACCATGCAGGACGCCCTCCCGCATTGTGCATCCAGCAAAAGAACACGAATCTCCGCAGGAACAAACAGCCGTAACAGTCATATGAATCAGGACCACGAAATACGACTGCGTCCCGGCTCTGAGCCCAAGTTGCGGTGCGCGAGGTCACGCTGACCTGGACCGGCGCGGAGCAGCGTCGCTGCCCGACACTGACGGATCTCGGCCGAGATCCCACCACCTGGACGCCTGCGCCTCCCCCTAATCGTCGCCGGTTTTTGCTGCTGCTCGTCGCTGCTGTCGGCGCGGACAACTGTGCTGCTTGTACGGAGCCCGTCTGTGTCCTCTCCTGCACCGTGGGGCCCTTTGCAACGCCACCTGCCTCTCTGCCGTTCCAATCTTCGGGGCCCCTGCTGCTCGTCACGCTTCGATCAGGTCACCAGCGGACGTTCTGCAATTTCACGGCATAAAAATAGGCTGCCATGGCCGTATTCCCCTTGTCCCCCTTTCCTCGATCGCGTGTCATCTCTCCAGCCCTGCTACAACGACACTAAGCACGTCCTCAAGTCCATCAGCAGCGTGCCAGCAGACTTCGTCCTGCATCTGACCTCCCTCACGCTCGGCATGGTCTGCAATGACAACAACCGCCAGAAGAAAGCGAAAGACGGCTCGTTGCGAAGCCACTCGTCAAGCAGATGGATCGACGTGAATCTTGGCATTATCGAGATGTGCAACACGCGAGATCGGCCACGATCAGAGACCGTCTGTGACCCAGTCTGGCCTTGGTCCTTGAAGATCACTTTCCCGCTCAGTGAGCACGCCGCTTTAAAAGTTTGCCAGGAGCAAGCTGGATACACCACGCTCAAAGTTTGTCCGACGTGATGAGGAACATGATTGTAAAGCAAGTATGACAAAACTAACTCGTAGCAAATCTCTTCACCGTGGCAAAAGTCTCCGTGGTATACACGCCTGCGAACGTCTTGTTCCGTGTAAGAAGAAATGCCGCTCGACGTTGGAGGAAAGAAGAAAAGGAAAAGCCCAATAGGATTGCGATCAAAAGCATTTCGAACCTGGATTGGAGATGGCTACGAAGGGTGTCACATCCTCTTCAAAAGCCCAAAGAGCATGCATATAGATGATCCTGAGCAAAATTTTCGGTTGCCGGTCCACGCCATTTAATGCCCGGCATTTCGCAAGTTTGAATTTGGCACATTCTTACCGTCTCTTTTCCTTTTATTTTTATTTTTTTTTATTATTCCGCCCCCTCAATTTTCTTGCTCAGGCTTCAACCCATACCACGGGCACGGGAGGTCATAGTATAGTCCTCTTCCACGCCAAAGAAAAGCCTTTCCCACACCTTTTCGATACCTTTTAAACTTGCTTCGAAGTTCTTCTCTTTGGTCTTGCCCGCGAAACAAGAGAGGCACCCACACCAGCCGTAGATGTGATTTCCCAGTTGCCATTTTACAAACACCAAAATCCAAAAACAAAATCATGGCTTCGAATCTGAAGCCGAAGTCACGACTCACGTCCCTTTTATCTAGCTTTCATTATTGAACAACGGAATCGTCAAAGGCAGAGCTACAAACGGCGTAAACACATCGAGGTTGACGAGGAGGAGCAGATTGTGAAAGATAATAGGCAGTGGTGGGCTGTGATGGTATTCGACCCCCTCTCTTCCTTTCAGTAGATTTGCTGGCTCTGAACGAATGGGTCCTTGGAGACGGGGTGAATGCCTTGAACAGCAAATGACAACATATTTCTATACATCCCTCAAATCTTGGAAAAGCAAGACTTCATGGGTTGTGAACTTTTCTTCATTTATTATAGTTTGGCATAAAGTCTGCAAACATCTCCCATACGCTCTTCGAGAAGCTTTCTCAATATCTACCCTTGTTGCATGGCTTTCTCTGCGATCATGAAAAAACTGTGAGCCTTGTTTTCACCCCCTTTGAAATTGAAGAATCCTCGTGCTGTTAGAACGGTCAGCGCCTTCGTACATTAAGTTCATGCTATATATTGTTTTGAGCACATACCTCGAGCCATCCGGTCGCCGATATTAATAGGGAGTACATGTCCACACATTCGCTAAGTACCGCGCTCAACTCAGTCTCTTCTTTCGCTGCGCTGACATTCCATCCGATTTTAGCGTTTCGCTTGAAGACAGTGACAATGCTACTTCTGTTTTCGTTCAAAAAGTCTCTGACCAAGTTCTTCATTTGTTCATTGCCAACACCGCGCGTAAGGAGTACGGAAGAAATGACCTTGAGCATTGCGAGTACGATGTCGAAAAATATTTTGAGCGCTGCGGGATTGTCAACATCAAGACCGATATCCGGATCGGTGGAAAAGAGTCCCGATTCTCGGATTGCAGGAAAAAACCCAGCGTTTAAAAGCGCTGTAGCACCACTTCGTGTTTGAGAAATTCGGAGCAGAAGAGACAGTTCAGCTGTGTAGTACGCAATTGTCGCTGTAACATCTGGAGAAAATCTTGTTAGACTCTGGACTCATGACTGGTGGGGACAAACAAACCTTCGGTTTCCCTCAAATCCTGGGGCATGCCCTTGATACCGTCAACAAGTACGCCAACAAAATTCAGCCTGCTAAAGCCTTCGAGCACATATTTGCTCTCTTCGACGTTGCAAAGCAGGACCAAATTATTCAAAAACATGAGAGCTGCAATTCTGCTCCGACCTTCGCCAGAATAAGCATCGTCGCATGCGATGTCTAGCAATCGCTCGCCAGCCAAGTTGACGCTGCGCATCATATGCCTGTTTGCAATAGAACCCTTCTTAGCTGAGCGTAGCGTGACCTGTAAGTACTGATAGCATATATTATAGCAGAGCTCTCGCAAGTCCGAGTCCGCGATATCTGCGAAGATCCCTGCCAGAGCAATTCGAAACACGTTGAAGACGCGATCGTTACCGAAGTCTGTTTTGCGGTCCGATTGTGACTCCAAACCCACGTGTTTCATCAGTATTTGCACTTGTTGGAGGAGTGTGCGTGCGGTCCACAGCGCTGTAACGTTATATCGCTCAAGAGCATGCTCCAGCTTTGGAAGGACTAGTTGAAGTGCTTGCAATGCGAAAGAAGTACGCGTTGATGCATCAAAATTGCAGTTCTCAACGGCAACAATAACAAGTTGTGACCAGGAGCGAAGAGTCTCGGCATGGCAAACGAGAAGTTCCTGATGCTGGTTTAGAGCGTTGAGATAAAGAAGGACACTCTCAAACTCTTCATCAAATCTTTTGCTAATTGGATCGTCAATTGAGACAACAGCGCTCGTCATCGCTGACATCACCTCGTTGCGACGCAAGAGCATTATTTCTTGTGCACTGGCGATGTCGTACGGACTGGTGCTACCTTTCCCCTCAAAACGGCACACTTCGAAATCAATATCCGCGAAATTTTCCCAGTGGGGCCGTTGGGGTTGCGCAGGAATATCTAGCTCCATGAAGTCAAACAGATCAAAGACGGTTGAATTTGGAAGCGGCTCTTGCCCGGGAAATTTGGTTTGCCCAAGTAAGGTATCTTGAAGACGTGCTTTGAGCCCGTTCATCTTCTCAGATGCCGCAACACGAAGCTCTCGGGACATGTAGTCATAGAACGCAGAGCGCTGTCGCAAGAAGTTCCGAAGAGCCAGTGCACTTGATCTGTAGAGGAACGGCGAATCTCGAATGCTAAAACCATCCCACAAGGTTGTCTGATTGACAATGCCTTGTCGCATCGCCAAAGCGAAGATGAAGTCAATACTACGCAGCTCCGTCATGACGAGAGCGTTGGACAATGGTGATGTCCACAAAATGCGCAGGATCTCAGTGCATGCCTCTTTAATGTTGCTAAGCCAGGCGAAGTATGACAGCTCGCCAGTATTCGGATGCATCTAAAAATATAGATAAGCATTAATTTGAATGGAAACAAGTCGCACAACTCACAAGCTCTGGCCCATCATCATGAGGTGTATTAGCAAGTACAGGGCCAACCTCAGGGTAGTCTACCGCTAGTGTAACAATAGCATGCATCAGACTTGTGCCCTGCGCGATGAGACCATCAGAAGCAATTTCTAACTCCTGTACACGGCAGATGAAGCCAAGCAATAAATGTGCTAATGTTGGTCGATCTGGAAGAGCTGAGAGGCAGTTTTTGAGGAAGCTCAGTATGCTAGTTTTGATAATATATCCTGGAGCTGATTCACGACCTTCAAGTTCGCGATTGTCAATGCGAAGCTCAGCGATCAAGCTTCGAGAGACTCGCTCAGCGTCGTCGTTCTGCTCATACACCCCAATTAGCTTGCTACGGTCTGAAAACTTGCCGAAGCCCGAGCTGGGGCTTACAACGAGCTTCCTGCTTGATGACAACTTTTCCAAGAGAGCCAAAGATGCGAGGGTAAGTTCCTGATGGCCTGTACCACAATAGAGGCCGAGATCAACAACAACCTGAAGGTTGTTTAGCAACGCATCTTCGAAACTGGAAATTGCGGAGTGTGCAATTGTCGGGCGACGGGCGGTGGACTTGCGTTTGACGACAGGTCGCACGATGTCCAGGTACGTTGGCTGCAGCCTCATGACCAAGTTCATGACCTCGACTGCGCGCACCAGGCCGAGTATGTATGGTGAGTCGGCGGCTGCTGCATTGACTTCGTTAATATCTTGGTGGGCGGTTGCGAAAAGAGCAGTAAGGACCTTGTCGTTGAACATCCATTCCATCACGCGAGCGAAAGGGTGCAGACGCACATATGCCTCGAGAGATGAAGTGTGCATAGCCTTGTCAACCGGGAAGGAGGAGCGATTGGCAACCACCACGAGATCTTCGTTGAATGTTGACAGACATGCAGCAATGAAATCCAACGCGCTCAACCTAAGAAGCCGAAGCTGAACTTGATCTGTGAGCAGAGCAGTTCGGTCACCGAAAGCTTTGCCAACGGCGAAGTCCACGTATGAATCGATCCCGGACATACGATATGTGCTGCCTAGGTTTTCGGGATATGGCAACGCATCATTCAGGCCAAGTTCGTCCTGGCTCGGGGCAATAAGCTGATTAAGCAGACCTAAAAATGAATTTGCTTCTTCGAAGCTCGACGCAATCGTTTCAAAAATGACTTGTTCCGACCACGACTGAGATGGTCGTGCAGGCACACGAGCTGCTTGAGCGCCTGTATGCGAAACACCGCCAGCAATCCATTGGTCCAGTTTAGTCCACATGGTATCTGATTCTTCTCGTTGCTTATTCGTTAGTAGAGCCTGTAGAGTTTTGAAGGCGCAAGCACGCAACCGACTATCGATTTGGCTCGACGCTAGTTGAAACAAGATATCCCTTAGAGTTAAGTTCTCGTGTTGCCATTCAAGAACGAATGCGCGCGCCTGTCCACTATGTCGACATAGCTGCGTGACGAGTCGTAGATAGCACTCAAGCATCATTGCAGATTCCGGTTCAACAACTTCTTGTGCAGATCCAGGAGGTACACCATACTCATTCAACGTAGTAGGCAGCGCAGGCCTGTCGCGAATAGTCTTTGCGTAGAAGAAGATCTCGGCATAGATCTGATTCCAGCTCAGACTCCCAGTTCGTCGCAACTTACCAGCGACAGGCGAGCCCTCTTCAAGCAGGAATCGATGCGCCGCATCGGCATTCTCCTCGTTCTCGGCTAATGACCCGAGCATCTCGCAGAATGCAGCAACCCGAGGAGTGGTTTGTCTCTTTGCAGCCCATTGCAGAAAGCCGTATAAATTTCCGTCTGGCTCGTCCCAAAACATTAGTGCTCCCTCTGGACTGTCTTCATACGCAAGAGCAAGAATAACAAGAAAGCGTTCGAGGTGGTATTGGTATTCCGTGGTGTTCTTCTGAAACCTCGCTAGAAGTTCCAGTCGCTGTTTATCCTCTTCATTCTTGAGGTTTCTCAGCGTATTGGGCATGTTTGAAATGAAAGCGTCAACGAAGAGCTGCACCTGATCCATAAAAAGGCGTTGGAAGTGTGCTGCAGGCTTTGGGGTCTCTGGCGCCAGTTTCACCGCGTCGGCAAGCAGGAAAGATATTAAACCAGCTTTTGCAGGATCGTACCAGTCCGGCTTCCGTGTGTCCCACGCAACGGAGAGCATGAAATGAAATGCACCATCCTGCAAGGCCTTGTTGAAGCGAGTCGATTCTTCGTATTCCATCCTCTCGGACTCATTGCTGTCAAGTTTATATTTGGAGAAATATTCGGCGCACCACCAAACGTACGCTGCAGAATGGAAATTCCGAAGTGCCCAATGTTCCGCCTCTTTCTCAGCTAAAAACAGCTTGTTAATCTCGACAGCTTGCTCGGGCAAGCAGTGAGCGCTGTCAGCGTCGCCGAAGCGCGCGATGGAAGCCAGTATGATAGGCAAATAGTGGACCAAGATGAGATCGTGTTTATCAATCGTTCGAATACGTTGAAGAAGGGTTTTGAAGTTCGAGATATCAACGTAGTTATCGCTGTCCTTGATGATCATGGTGCATACCGTGGCAAGTGATTCATGCTGTTGAACAAGTGAGACGCTCTCAAAATCGAGTAACTCGAGCGCCTCATCAGAAAGCGAGTGCCCTATTATGGAGACGCGTTGCTGTCTATCAGCGAGCTTAAGAAGCCATGCTTCAACGTCTTGGAGCGCCTGGAAGCACTTTTGCCAATATTTTGGGCCATTACCCACACTGCTGTCTCGAACACTGATAATCTTGCGCTTGATTTCGTGTATTGCGAGCATACCCATATGATCACCCTCATTCTCTTGCGCGACGCTTATGAGCAGGCGTAGACATTCTAATAGGAACTGGCGTCGCTTGTGAAAGCGTATAATGGCACTGGCGGTTGGCGAGCGGTCCAGCTCAGCGGCTTCATCTTGCGACTGAATGAGCAATTTTGCTGCTTCAAGCTCATCAAGGTCTAGCTCGTCGGAGACCTCAATTACTTGTTGCTTGAATTCGTCATTGAGAGTGTACACAACATCCTCAATCTCAACTTTGCCTAAATTTGATGTTAGCTTTGACAGAACACTTCGTAATAGCTGCCTGGCGCAAGATGATGCGAAAGGACAGCTTCTTCACGCCGTTGAAGGGAAATTTAGCAAGCGAGGTGAAGAGGAGACTTTACCTTCTTGAAGTTTCCGCCTGCTTGCATCGGCCTTGCCCTTCTTATCTAGCAAAGACCTGAACTCTTCGATGCGCCCGTCAAGCTCGTTCACAAGGCGTTCAATATCGTTCAAGCAATTCTCACTGAAAGCGAGTAGATCGCTATGTAGGCCTTGCAGGGCAAGCAGGCCATCCTCCTCGGCCATTTCAATCTACTGGTTTCGCATCTGAGTAACTGCAGGTTCGATGGAAACTCAGGACTCAACAGGCAAGTTAGCACTGTGAAATGGGGGATGCAGTGGTGGAAGAGTTGGTTGTGTTTACCGAAGTCCCCAAAGGTTACTGTCTGCACAACTTTTTGCGGTGATCCAATGAGAAACGCGTGCACATCGCGTTTCCCAAAGCATCGGAGCCTAAAACCCGAACTGATCATCACTACGAACAGAGTCATCTTTTCTAAAATCTCGCCGCTATAGAAACGAGCTTCGATAGTGCTCTAACATTCGAAAATCTCAAAAGGCGTGTCTAACCACTATTATTTGCTGATTTTGCTTCCTCTTGTACCTATCCTGTCGTATTGACGGCGCGACAGCTGGCCATGGCTCGTACAGATCACGTAGATACATGCATATTCTAGTCGAAAATCAAGCAGGATGAGCGGGAAATATGTGGACTTGGACACGACATTAAGTGCGTCCCCTTTGCTTGGTAGAAAATTAGAGTCAGCGGGATGGAAGCTGTGAGATATACATCAGCCCCCGGCTACTCTGCTACGGCGACATCTGTCGCTGCCTAAAACCTCCTTGATATGATAATCTAACAAACGCTATAGCTAAAATCGCCTCGTCTTCATCTACGGTCCGAAAAGATGGGCTCGCCGATCTCGAGCATTTGTTTCGATACAACAAAGACAATCACGTGATAGATGACTTCAAGGACAAGACCTGGCATAGCATATATGAGGCCTTATTCACCTGCACCGCAGTTGAACGATCGTCTTTTCTGAGGACGAGTCAGAGCCAGAGAAATAGGGCCGCTGCACGTCTTGCAGCTTGTGGCAAGGCCTTGCGTATTACGGTTACTGCTGGTGTGAAGCGTATCCGTGCTAAGACGGTCAAAGCCGTCGTTGATCACGTCTTGCAAACGTTGCCAACTAAAGAGGGACCGTACTGTCCTGGACTTGCACTGGACTACGTGAAAACTCTACGTGTAATTCTCGAGTACCAACCTCACGTTGAGCATTTCCGTGACCTCTGGCAGCAAATTCTAGACTTTTGCCTCGAGGGCCTCTCGCCATTACGCGAAGAAGACGACGAAGAAAAGGGAGATGTTCTGGAAACAGCTGGGGCGTCGATGCGGATGCATTCAATTACCCTGAGTCGTCGCTCTCGTGCCACTACACCACAGCTACTTCGGCCGCGACAGACATCTGCGTTTCGTGCTGAGATTGACGATCTTGTTGCATGCATGTACCAGCTAGTTCGAGCAACAAATGCGCAAGTTGTTGGAAACGAGCTTCGTATATTTCATGCATTGCAGACGTTTCTTAAATCGTCCGACTCGGTTCGACTTTCTTACACCGACGCTTTTGCTGCCATCAATGCCATTCTCGCCAGAATTGTCACTGGCTCAACTGGCCTTACCAGATCTATTGCAATCCATTTAGTTCCTCTTGTGAAGGAATTGTGGACGTCTAAGTCGTCAACATTGAGAGACGAGATGCTTACAAGTCTCGTGCTTACGAAAGATCATGTCCTTGCTCTGACAGAGGATCCTGCCGAAATACTCTTCAGATCCGATCTTGAGAATTTGGTTGAGACTCTTCAGCTAGACTACAGCAAGCGGAGGGAGTCGGACCAGCTCCAGCTTAGTGACCTAGTACTTGATCTTTCTCTTTCGCCAATGGGCATGTCGAATCTGCGATTGCCTGCATTTGGGCTACGTCGTGGCCACTTGCGTGCTGAAAGCACTTGGACTATCCTTCATCTGATTGCTGCATACACTTCAGCTTTGGATAATAGGCAAATAGCTGTAAACATTGATCCAGCTCCGGATGACGACATTTACGAAGGTGCGAAGCGACCTAGGATAACGCTGCTCTTCGATGACATGCTTCGATCCGCATCATCATCAGTCACTGGGAATCAGATCTCGAACCTGCAATACATGTGCTTCAGAGCTCAGATCTCACAATTGACGAAAAATCAAATCGTAGAGACGCTCAGCGCTCTATGTGGTCTTATGAATCATTCCAGCCCTCATGTTACACAGTGGGCTATCCTTTCTCACGTATGGTGAGTAATATTTCTATTGCTGAATTAATTCTGTAAGGTTGGCTCCTTTTGCTAAGTATTTTCAGTGTTGCTTTTCAGTTATCGGCTCAGGACATCTCCATTCGGGAACAATGGTACAACGTTTTTCTACTTGCTGCAAGACTCCTGACAGTGGATTGGTGCTCCCGACCGGCCTCATACCTTTTATTTGTATTGCTGCGACTGCATCTTCTCAGGTACGGAGATATTGCCTCCATTGCGGATTCGATCCTTGAATCTGTCGATCTCCAAGGGCCGACTTCTGCGTGCGATGCAACCTTAGCTCTACTGGGGTTGTTGATGGATGAGCGTGCTGCTGAAAATCCAAGCACGGCTTTATCCACTGCCCAACGTCTAGTTCAATGGCTCATACAAAAGTGGTCACCTGGAAATTTTGACAATAAAGAAGTATCGGCCAGATACGCGAATACTTGTAGACCATATGATCTGGTAATATTTCTAACGAGATGTCTGGGATCCGAGGTCTTCTTCAAAAGGTCAATATTTCCTCTGTGCGGACCAACTGCTCAAGCCTGGCGCAAACTAGAGGAAACCGCCGAGTTGAGAGGCTTCCTACTGCTGCTGAACTCTGCGAAGTTCTTGTATCAACCAGAGGATCCAATCATCAATGGAAGCGTGCCCGGCGCTCATCTTCCATCGGCCCTTGTCGCTCAAATCATTGATGCTTTAGATGGGGAAACTGCTCGCGTGCTTGGCAATTGGATAGAAATTGCAGCAGATAAGCCTTTGAGCTTTCTACCTGATATGTTCATTGTCGTTGCTGGGGTCATTACTGTTAATGCGAGTATTATCCAGTGTGTTGATCGTCGCTCATTTAAACGCATCGAAGCGCTTCGGAAGCGGGAAGAAGAACTCATCAAGGCCTTCTTCGCAATGCTTGCGAGACCAGAGTGCGACATGGATAAATTGGACGCGGTGTTTAATGCTCTAGCTGACTACTTACCGAACTTTGAGAAGCTGAATGACAACACTGGTGTCAATGGTGTCTCAGCAGACAACCCATTTGTCAGTTTATGTGTCCACTTAGCATCTGCTCTAGATCGCAGACAACGAACCAAAACCGAGGCAGTTGTCGCTGAGGATGGCATGGACATAGACATCGGCTTCGAGTCTCAAAGTAGCGACGCTGCTGCACTTTTGGTATCTGAAAATGCATTTCGAGACGTTGGGAGAGCCTCCTCCAGTTTAAGTTCCTTTGGTCACTGCGTTAATGCTCAGGTACGACCAATCTTCCATATTATTTTCAGAGCTTCATATGAGATGAAACTCTTGAAATTGTTAAAAATGAATGTCGTACTAATAATTTATTCTTGAACTAACAAATCTCAGGCTCACCTATTCACTGCCGTATTGCGAGACTCCGTTGAATTGCCGACAACAGCGGGAAACGTCAGTATTGTCCCGAATTCGTTTGTGAGTTATTTGATCGAGCTATCTCCGAATGAATTCTTTGCCAGCCGAATCGTCATATCTGAGGTACTTAGCACTGGTGCTACTCTCAGAACGGGAGAAATAGAAGCACTTTTGGAACATCTTGGCTTATTCCTTGAAACATATGAATACGCACGGCATGAAATTGCGCTTTTACTTCATGTCGAATTACTTCATCGAACTATCGCAGACTGGACAAACGGGGAGAACAACTATATTACCGAAAGTGCCTCTCAGGCCTACGAGTGGTTAATCAATGTCGCTTTGCCTAACAATATCTGTTCTTCACATGTCAAAGTTAGCATCGCATCATTGCTTTTACAACTATTCAAAGCGAAAGGGCCGAATTATGAAACCAGCCCGGAAATAGCTTCAGTTCGGACTGCCTTATTTCGATTGCTCCAATCGGATGACTTGCTTGTTATTGAGCGTGTCATTCGTGGTGTCCCCGATCTGTTCCATCAGTTTACACTGGAAAGACATGAAGACGTCTTCAATGATTTGCATTCGAGTTCTCTCTACTCTGAGACATGGATAGAGGGCAATGCGTTGCGAATGCTTCTCTTCTCTTCTCTCGGATCCCGTTGGCATACATTGCTTCGGCGTTGTATTTACCACATCTTTGAGACTGCTGGTGCAATACCCGCGACTGCGCCATATGCCTCTCGATGTATTCAAGAGATGGCGGTTCAATTGAGGTTGACGGAGCCACAGGCACTGTTCCGTCTATTTGCTGGACAATTGATGTATACGTGGACACGACAGTCAGAGGGCGGATGGAGCAATATACCCTTTGGTATCTTTGGCTATGATAGTCTCCGCAGTCTACTCTTTGATGTTCGAGACGAAGTATATGCGCAAGCATTGCTACGAAACGACACAAATGAACTTGTTGAAACATCTCGAATGATTGGAATCGGCCAAAACGAGCTGGCAAAGTACGGATTTGCTAGATCTGCGGTTTATTGTTATGCATGGGATGCAGAGAAAAGGAGGCCGGAGAAGGAGAAGTCTGAGACCAGGCTTCGAGGCCTTCTTGGTTCCAACTACACTGCGGAATGCCGCGCGCATTTCCCAAAAGCATTTGGAATATTGATTCTCAGAACCAACTTCGAGAAAAAGACGAGGTCTAACAGTAATGATCAGCAGAAAGCTCAGAATTTCTCTAACGACTCTGTAAGGGAAATTGATAAAGAGATTGCCGAGCTGATGTTTGAAAGAGCCATCGGAAGTGCAACAGCTGCAAACAGAGAAGCCAAATTCGAGGCCAATGCCCTGAAGGCATTCAAGGCGATGACGGAACTGAGTTCATCCGATATGTGTCTACCAGATCCTCAACAACCGGTTTTCAGGCCGAAGCACTTTTTGGAGGTGGCTGATCGTATGGCTCGTCGAGCCAAGACAACTCTTGCAAGCGCTCTGGACCCTGCTGTTTATGTTTTCGTACTACGCCTGCTTCTCAGTCAGGTACACGATGCACTCGGGTCGTTGTACTCCTGTCTCATCGTCCGCAAGATTCGAATTCTCGTAGCGCTTGCTGGACAATCGGCACTAAGTGGCTACCCGCTCGAGGCAACACTCTTCAGCCTCCGTCCGCTTCTAACGGACAAGCTTTGCGCCGAAGATGCACTTGGGATTGTTCAGTATCTTTATACAAACGGCATCAATTATTTGAGGCAGGAGATAAGTTTTGTGGCAGGAATGAATGTCACGGCGCTGATCTCGCTACGGAAATTTCTGGGATCCTCGCAAGAGAGTACTACTCAAGAATCACATCATCGTGCAACACTCAACAGAGCCCATGCATTCAGAAAATGGCTAGTCGAGATATGGAGCAAAAAGTTTGTAGAAGATATGGCTGATAGTGAGCACAAGAATGCCTATCTTCGAATGATATCTTATGCATACGGTGCTGGCATTAAGGCAAATCCCGTGAATGGTTCCCCGGAAAGCAATCTTCTACGACAGTTATTGGAAGATAGGCGCGCAAAACATCGCCTGCTTCAAGGAGCTACATGGGGTCTTGCATTAAACTTGCTCTGCTCTGACTTTGACGAGCCGCCATCCTATCGTGAAGACATGCTTGGACGCGATGAAGACGCAAAGAATTATGCGACTGATATATGGAGCTCGTGCCTAGAAGTTGATGTAAACGAAAGATATCTCCAGTGGGCTGGACGAATCCTCGGAAGGGCAAATAGCAATGACGATTTCGACGGTTCCATTTTAACACATATACATAACCATTCCATGCCGGACTACAATGACGATGAGAAAGGTGAAAGTTCACTGAAAGTCATTATTGATACTATACAAAATCTCCTGCTATCCGGGGACTGTTTGCAGACCGGCCTTGCCGAGGAAACACTACGATCCATACTTGTCCACGCAGATACGCAGCAATTGGTACTCGAACTACAGGAGCTGCTTCCTCAATCAGTGGCCTATGGGCTTGCTTTACAGACTGAAGATGTCGTGGTTCCAATTACTATTCCAGCGACGGTGCCGCTTGAAACTTGCTTTATAAGTGAAAACATCCCAGCATACGACGTGTGGCTACGGCAGGTTACCAGGTCTCTTGTTGCAAGCAGCAATAGCATGTCAATCGTGCGCTCGCTCGACAGGATATTGGCAGGTGTCAACGGATTGGCAGAAAAGCTTTTTGCTCCAGTCCTTCACTTAGTCTTGAGTCAAGAATTGTCATCTACAGGCTCAGCACGTCAGTGTCTGTCCAAAGCCTATAGAGAATGGCTATCACGACCTCCACGAAATTCCGAACCACATATACGAGTTCTCTTGAACTCACTCCTGTACTTGCGGAAGCAACCTTATCCTCAGGAATTGACCAATGCTGACCGGTTAAAATGGCTGGATGTCGACTACTCAACTGCGTCAACGGCAGCCGAGATGTGTGGAATGTACACGGCTGCGTTGATGTTCGCAGAATTAACTTCCGTAAGCGAGCTTGTGAAAGGATCTAGGCGGAGTACGACAACACTCAATCATTCCGCCGTCTCCGAGGAGACTATGCTTGACATTTATCGCAATATTGACGACCCAGACTCTTTTTATGGTGTACCCCAGCCTCCCAGTCTGGATCTTGTTTTACACCGACTAGACCACGAAGCTGATGGCTTCAAGGGCCTGATGTTCCGTGCCGCTAGGCTGGACAGTCAGATGCGCAGAAATAACGAGTTGTCAAAGACCGATAATGTCGCCATTGTGAAGTCTCTTGTCGGCATGAATATGAATACACTTACCTACAATTTACTCTCTAGTCGCAATAGTGCTTTCAAGGCTTCTGGAACCTTGGATTCATTTTTGCAAACCGCGATGAGACTGGAACAATGGGATGTGCGAGTTCCAGAAAACGCTTCAAGTGACACTGTCACTCTCTACAAGATCTTCCAAACCGTCAATATCGCTAAAGACATAACAACTGTCCGCGAACAGATCAACGCCGGAATCACCCGCACTATACTTAATATGAAAGCTCCCACGACTGTGGATCGCACTTTTAAGTCATCTCTATCTACTCTGGGCATTCTCACAGATATTGATGGCATGATCACATCGACATCACCTGAAGAATTACATGACATTTGCGGCCTTTTGCATGAACGTGAGGCAAGTTTGTCTAGTGTCAGTATCGCGGAAGCGGAGTCTGTACTAAGTTCTCGCGACATTTTTCTTAGTACAGTTTGCTCAAATGCATCTTTGCGAGATGCTATGCATGTGAGCATAGAATGTGTCCGCAAGTCACAGGTCGATGCGATTTTGTCATCCTGTAGAGTTTGGAAAAAACGACATGGTTCGCAGGAATATCTGGATGCCGTTACCTACCTGTCTGATTTGGTTCCAATTTGTGCCGAGGTTGGCATTGACATCCGCAATTCTTCTGATAACGCTGCAGCAGATGCCCTTTGGACCCAAGGCGAGTACAGCACATCTGTTAGGATGTTGCAGCGCATTATCGACGGTTCGAAGCCCAAGAATGAAAGTAATGACGTACATCCAGCAGCAGTACTTGCTAAAATTGGACACCATGCTGCCGAAGCACGGCTCGAAACGCCGCATCAAATTTTTCAAAATTATTTGATGCCAGCAATTAATGAGCTGAGAGGAAATAACACTGGTCCCGTCGCCTCGCAGGTCTTTCACGAACTTGCAACGTTCTGCTACGAACAGCTGCAGAACCAAGAGAACATTGATGACATTGAACGAGCCACAAAAGTTAGGAATCGCCGGCAGATTGAGGTAGATGGACTTACGTCTGAGATAAAGGCTATACGAAGCCAAGCAGAACGCAGAGCGCGGGAATCTGAACTTAGTCGAGCTCGACGATGGTGCGTAGCAAATCTTGATCGTCTGCCTGTATTTTTTTGAAGCTGAGATGAACGACACTTTTTACTTCGATATTTGGGCCCCTAGGCTAACGCATCTAACTAGGCTCCGGCTTGACAAAGCAGAGCTCGAGCGACTTCGCAAAATCAGGGAGAGCTTTGTGGAACAATGTATAGAGAATTATCTCCGCTCTTTAACCGCTTCCGACGAGCATGATAACAATGTGTTGCGATTTTACGCAATCTGGCTAGAACACGCCGACTCCGAGCTTGCAAATAGTACCGTCAACGCGCATATTGATCATGTTTCCTCGCACAAATTTGTCAGGTTGATGAATCAATTATCCTCACGCTTACAAGCGGATAACACACTGTTTCAGAAAGTCCTTAGCAAACTCGTTTTTCGGATTAGCAGTGAACATCCTTTTCACGGCATGCATCATATTTCGGCCGGTTCGCACGATCCAGGCACTGATCAAGTTGCTAGCATATCCCGTCATAATGCAGTCAAGCAGATTGCAGGCAAACTGAAGGCCGACAAAGTAGTTGGAAAGCTTTGGGACTGTATGTACCAGAGTGACATACTGTATCACGAGGTAGCGATATATACGGACGACGAGGTGGCAAGACAAGGACGAGAGCTTAGGCTCGATGCGAAGGATCCGACCAAACGTCTGCTCACTCACATTCCACGTCTCCAAACCCCTCCCCCGACTCTATCAATTCCCGTCAGCGCAAAGCTAGAATACAAAGCAGTACCACGAGTTATTGGCTTCAGGACAATGATGCGCGTTGCAGGTGGCCTAAGCGCTCCTAAAATAATCACAAGCAAGCTTAGCGACGGTACCGAGTTCAAGCAGTTGTTTAAGGGCGGGAATGATGACCTTCGCCAAGACGCGATCATGGAACAAGTTTTCGAAGAAGTAAGCAAGCTTCTTCGAAATCATAGTTCCACCCGCCAAAGAAGATTGCGAGTACGAACGTAAGTAATGACTGCAATCGAGACGTAGAACTATATTTGATCACGTGTCCTTTTGGGCTCTAAGTGAAGACTAACTCGATCTTCAGGTACAATGTTCTGCCTCTCAGCAACCATTCTGGTGTTTTAGAGTTCTGTGCAAATACAACAGCTTTGCAGGATGCCCTTATTCCATTGCATCAAACGTACCACCCCAAAGATCTCAAGAGCAGCGTGTGCAGATCGAAAATCAGCGACGCAGCACGTAACACAACCGAGGAGCGAATCAAAGCCTACCGGGATGTATGCAAGCAATTCCACCCTGTGATGCGACATTTTTTCTTCGAGCGCTTTCCAGATCCAGACGTGTGGTTTGAGAAACGCCTTGCATATACTCGAAGCATGGCTGCGATGTCGATATTGGGGTACGTCATTGGCCTGGGAGACCGACATCTCCACAATATCCTCCTCGACTACTTTACGGGCGAGGTGATACACATAGATCTGGGAGTCTGCTTCGAAGCCGGTCGAGTCTTACCGATTCCTGAGGTGGTTCCATTCCGTCTTACTCGAGATTTGGTCGACGGCATGGGCTATACTCGCACAGAGGGCGTCTATCGTCGATGCTGCGAGTTTACGCTTGAAGCTCTTCGGGAAGAGCGGGAGAGCATCATGACATTGCTGAACGTTCTGCGCTACGACCCACTCTATTCGTGGACTGTGAGCGCGACCAAGGCAAAGAGGATACAAGAGACGGAAGATGTTCCCAACAGAGCGGTGGACGAGGCGAATATGATGGAAGCGTCGTTGCGAAAGAAGGATGATGACATGGGCGAGGCAGGGCGGGCTCTTTCGGTAGTGGAGAAAAAGCTTAGCAAGACGCTGAGCAAGGAGGCGACTGTAAGCGAACTCATCGCTCAAGCTACGGACGAACGGAATTTGGCGCTGCTATTCGCAGGGTGGAGTGCCTGGGTATAAGCATGATGATAGTGCCCTTGTGGATAATCAAGCGTCAAGAAAGATAAGGCGCCGTACGCGGTACAGCGGAAAAAAAACAAAGATACCCACGCAGAGCATGAAGTTGAGCTCCAACGCGCTATGTTTTTTCTTTTCTCTAGCGGAAATCTACGTTTCATCTCAGGGTGGTGCGATTTAGCAATAACACCGCCCCACTATACGCTGATTGTCTTGAAGAAGTCGAAACCTAAGCCGGTGCTGAAAACGGCGCCTGGGATCTGAGGGTGCCAGTGGCCCTCCTTAACGCCCTCCTGATAATGCAAGAAAAGCAACTGCGGTGGATACTCCTTGACACCACCGGTCTCCTTGCTCTCTTCGTCGTCCAGTTCTACGGCTAGATCCCACAGCGTGACCGTGTTGTCGCCAGCGCAGGCCATGATGATGCTATCGTCGGTGGGATGCCACTCCAAACAAGTGATCTGCTCCTTGTTGAAGTGGAAGTCGGCCACGGGTTCGGGCTTCTGGGCGGTTGTGGACGAGGGGCGCCACTGCCGCAGATCCCAGACCGCCCAGCTGCCGTCGTCATGACCGGATGCTAAGAGGTGCGAGGTCTGACGCGACCAGGACAAGACGTTCACGTCGTATTCGGACACCTTGACGCTGACTTTGGCCTTGCGGGACTTGCTGCGGGTGTCCCAGATCTTCACGGTGCCGTCGCTGCTGGCGGAGGCGAACACGGAGGCTTCGGTGGGGGACCACTGAAGCTCCTCCACGCTGCCGTTGTGACCGGTGAAGGCTTCTTTGCGGTCGATGCCCCACTTGCCGCCTGGTTGCGCGACGGAGAGGAAGATGCGACCCTTGGTGTCACCGGTGAGAAGCCTGCCGTCGTTGTCGAGGGGCGACCAGTCTATGGCGTAGCCTTCTGTCGATTTGTGGGCGGTGATGACGGAGACGGGCTGGTTCTGCGCTGCCGTGATGGCGCTGCCGGGGTTGTCGAACGCGTTCAAATGTGGGGTCACGTCGTAGATGAGGACCTGGCCCGACTCCATCATGCTTGCCGTGAAAGTTTGCGAGAATCCGCTCGTGTTTCCTTCTCGCGGGCGCTGGAACGCTCGGATCCGGTTCGTACACGACGTCAGCGGTATGGACTTGCTCTCCAGGACAGGCTCGCTCTCCTCGTCGTCGCTGTCATCGTCGTCGGAGTCCGAGCCCTCCTCTTCCTTCTGCACCTTGCTCAGACTGCTCAGCTTGAACACGGACAGTTCATTCTCTCTCTCGTGTCCTTGACCTGCTTGACTGCCTGCAACAGCGTACGCCGTGGCGGGGTATGTGGAGCGGTTGTCGCCGAGATAGTCCTTGATTATGTCCAAGGACAGGCAAGACCATTTGCTCGAGAAGCGGTGCAGTAGCTCGTACACGCTTAGATTGGGCTCCAATGTCTCGCCTGCACCAAGCTTGGTTCTGCCGGGTATGAAGGTGCCCGGATCTACGTCCATTGCTTCTGCGGTCTACCTTTTAGACATGCTTTATGCACGGCTTCGCGGAGGCGATACGCACCTGCTTCCTCAGCTTCGCGCTCGGCGTCGGGCCGTCCATCGACACCAGCCTCGAAGATCTCATCTTCCGACTCGAATTCGTCCTCGTACTCGTCCTCGAAATCGAGCACCTCGCCGTCTTCTCGCACGGGCCTGTCACCGCCCTTGAGGAATTCTGGCTCTTGCAGTGACAGATTGGAATCTCGATGTCGCTTGTTCATGTTTATTCCGGGACGATTCTGCGTAGAAAGAAGAGCCAGCGGGTGGCACAGAGCGACCGCGCGCAATATGTTCCCTGGCGCAAGCCAACAGCGGCGTCTGAGTAGGGAACTCTTTGGTTGTAGATGGGCAGGCTCGTGACTCTTCTCAAGGCCAAGACGACACCAAAGAAGAATCTGAAGGGTAAAGGGAAGGTTGGGTGTGTGGAAATTCGGCGCAAACGGCTTATGTGCAGCTCAGTGTATTATGACAACACCAAAACTTTTTTTTTTCCTGGCAAGGACGCGCGATCTCACGAGTGACTTCGGTGCTTATCGATAAAAAGCGAACACGGCTGAGGGGCCCTGCTGTGAGCGGAGGCCTGCTGGAAGAAGGGCGAGGGGGCACGGAGCTAGGCGGGGGGAGCCACTATTGCTTGGGCGGTGGGAGCCCAGCAAATGGCGGGTCTGCCCGGGACCAGCGGGCGGCCCTCGACCAAGTAAATTCCCTCGTTGCTGGAGACGTCGGTGAAAGGCGGCATGGCGAGAAGACTGTGCCAGGCCATGAACACGGCTTCGGATGATTGATTGGTTGGTTGCTGGCAGAACAGCGCCTCCAGTCCGCACATTGGGCGTCGTTGTAGGGAGTTGAGCTGTGCTGTACAGTCCAGTCATCAGCCGCGGTCTCAACCCAGCCAGCCGCGTGTCCTGCGCTGTTTCTCATCTGGCTGCAAAGCGCAGACGGGATGATAGACCAGGCTCTGCCGTCGAAGGCGATTCTTCTGGTAGCCTTCGTCGACTCGCCCGTCCAGCGCTCTGCGCCCGTCCAGCTCTCCGCGCCCGTTATTGGCCAGACGCCAGAGTCGCACCAAAACCAATCCACAGGCCGGGCACGTGAATCGCGGCAACAACGCGCGCGATCCCTGAACCGCTGAGCGACTCTCACACGCCCAAACCTCGAAACACAAGCAAACGACGGAGACGCAAACAGTCGAAGACTCAGCTTCAAGCACAGGCGCGGGCACACGCACGAGCACACGCACGAGCACAGCACACGCCCAAGCCCAAGCCCAAGCCCAAGCCCAAGCCCAAGCATAAACACAGGCACAACGCACTGGCCGCCGTTGTCCCAGGCTCTTCTCTCGATCCAACCGTCATAACTTCTCGGACCTGGCAGAGCTGCACACGCTTTGTTTCGCTGCGTGCGTCCCCGGTCTGAACAACCACACTCTCCGCCCCCGCCTCCCTCTCCTTCATTGTCGCCGTGCGCATAGTCGCGACCAGCCGGGCTCTCAAACGACAGTATGGAAGTGGACTCCCCCATGGGCGGCACCGAGCCTGGCGCCCCCATGCAGACGGACAATCAGCACGACGACAGCATGAACACCACCATTACGCAGTCGACCATCCAGGCCGCAATGCCCGACTACCACTCGGGCCAGTTCAGCGCCTCCCAGCATTCTCAGACGTCACAACACTCGCACCATGCCTCTCCGCACGAGAACAACAGACCCCACACCTCATATTCCGACACGGGCTTCCATTCTCGACCGTACAGCCACTCGATGAGCCAGTCGGACGTGGACAACAACAACACCCCTCCACACCATTATCGCTACTCCCAGTCGGGCAAGCCTTCTTCCAGACCCCCGAGCGCCATGAGTGGGACAAGCCAGGGTGGCTACGCCTACCAGCAAGAGTCGGCGTACGCTGCACAGGAGCAAAACAAGCAGCCAAAGGTGATCATAAAAGTCGGCATGGTCGGCGATGCGCAGATCGGAAAGACGAGTTTGATGGTCAAGTACGTAGAGGGCAGCTGGGATGAGGACTACATACAGACCTTGGGTACGTCGCGCTTGCATCCCGTGCTTGCCTGAAAGCAGCCCATTCGAGACTGCACCCGACGCCTGACAGCGCAGACTGACGATCGTGCACAGGAGTCAACTTCATGGAAAAGACAATCTCAATTCGAAACACCGAAGTCACCTTCTCCATCTGGGATCTGGGCGGGCAACGCGAGTTCGTCAACATGCTCCCGCTCGTCTGCAACGATGCCGTCGCTATTCTGTTCATGTTCGACCTAACCCGCAAGAGTACCCTCAACAGCATCAAGGAGTGGTACAGACAAGGCAGAGGCTTCAACAAGACAGCCATCCCTTTCCTCGTGGGCACAAAATACGACACTTTTGTCAGCTTTCCGAGGGAGGAGCAGGAGGAGATTAGCAATCAGGTACGTAAGAGCTATTGAAACACAAGCTCAATCGCCTACTGACGGTATCTCACTCATAGGCAAAACGATTTGCGAAGGCTATGAAGGCGTCCCTCATCTTTTCCTCTACATCTCACAGCATAAATGTGCAAAAGGTAGCAGAGCTCTCGCCATTTTTTTTCTTCCAAATCTGGTCTTCTTTGCTAACCTGTTGCTCGGTCAGATCTTCAAGATCGTCTTATCAAAGGCGTTTGACCTGCGCTGCACAATCCCGGAGATCGAAAACGTTGGCGAGCCTCTGGTGCTTTATCAGAGCGTGTGAAACTTTGCCACGGACGACTCTTTCACGCCGCGGGCTAGGTCGCATTTTCGACAACCAGGGCAATCATGAGTCGGGCACAACCAGAGATCCTGCTGCCCGCCGCGTTCCCGACAGAGAGAGCCTTGCGCTTGCTCACTGATGCACAAGTTTTTTTGTTTATGGAGACATGAGCGGCATGGATACACGTCATGGCGAAACGAGAAAACATAGCACACGTCTTTTATGGGATAAATGGATTGACTTATTCTCGACGCGTAACGTGCTGCTCTCATTGTATGTCGCATCGCACAGCCTTCCACAAGACCGGCGCTAATCGTGCAAGCTTTTTTTTTTTGTACTTTTAGCGCGCTGCGACACACGCAAAGAAAATGGGACTGGAGTAGCTAATTCTAGTCAATGACGAGCGAAATGTACTAATACGACATCTTCAAGTCTATCTGGCGCTCCCTATCTTCAGCAATCTAAAAAATTTGTTCCCCGTGCATTTTTTTTTTTCTCGGAAATGTCGATCGCCCACATCTTCGACATACTTCAGCTCGTCCATCTCGTCTTGTCACGCGCAAGACCATCTTTATCCAACCATAGCCACCACTCTTCTACTTCCTGGAGTTTGTCTCTGCAGCATGTGCCTCTTTGGCGTAGTTCCTCGCACATGCACGACCATTTACGAAATCAGGGACGAGGTTTTAGTACGCTGACTGAAGACAGTACTCGGTTGCGAAAACTCGCTCACATTCCCGCGCGCTTTTCCTCACCGTGGTAAGGAATGGATGGCATCCGGAATACGCATCGTCAATCTAATGTATCTTCACAGTCGCTTGTCGAACGTGTGAGGGCCTGAAGTACAGACGAGAATGCGCTTCGCAAGAATTCGCCAGCAGAGTTTCCTCATCATTTTTCGAGCCTCGTCTGGTGTCCTACAAAGACGAGAACGACAGAAACATGTAGGATGCACAATACGGAATGCGTTGCGTCTTAGATGGCCAAGCAGATTAGCTCGGCTGCAAGGAAGAAATGCTTTACGTTGGTTAACTTGCAGGAGTTAACCGGCCGTCACATTACCATTGCAACGCTGATGCTCGAAAACGTGCCGAGTCGAACTTGATCGTGCTGGCCTTGTGGATTTTGGTTCTGGAGGGACGTGAAATCGATTGACGTACAGACACAGCGCTCAACTAATTCGTCTTGAGCTAGCTAGTACATGCCTTTAATATCTGAATTACTCTGCACAGAAACTCCAACGTCGGGCTCCAACATGAAAAAAGCTCCCGTCACCACGTGCCCCGTTTTTGAATCCTGGCCGCAGACCGCCTCATGTCCATCAACATAAGTGGCTTCATCGCTTGTCGTAAAGGTTTGGGCGTCATTCTAGCCGTGGCACGGGTATGCATTTTACGCAACTTGTAGATCCTCGTCTTGAGAGGCGTTTTGCTCAGCCCGTAGCCCTCCCTGATCCTGTCCGGCAGCATTTGGATGGTAAAGCTCCTCATGTAATTGTTGATCCACGCGCTTGCCGGAGCAAGAAGCAGAGGAACCTTTGGCCACAGCAATTGTTTCATAAGCCTTCGTGCCCAGTCCGTAACCTGGTCGGGCGTCAGCGAATTAGCCCCGATCCTCTCTGCCCGTCCAAGATGCAACACCGGCGACCTACCTCCAAGGTGGCAACGTTGTGGTTCCAGTACTCCCAAAAATCGTCGAGCTTGGTAAACCACATCTCGGTCGGCATCCGAAGAGAGGTAGCGAAGATCGAGCACTCTTGCATCAATCTCTCGTGCCATTCTCGGGGCATGGGTTTGAAAACCATTTCGTATACTGTGCTGAAAGCCCAAAAAAGAGTTGCAGCAGTCCACCTGTTAGGATTGGCATGATGAAGCCACCAAAAGGGCCACGACAGCTTCGTGAAACTTGAAATGAAAGAAGAACTTACCTATGTAGTTCCGGGTCGTCGGCCATATAATCCGGACCTTGCTCATCCGCCTTGCCTCGAACGCGGCTATGATATTTGTGAACGAGGCTTGTAATGGCAGCCTTCTCTTCATACGTTCCGTACACTGCTGCGGTCATGTATCGACCGGTTTCGATGCCACGTCGAAGCACACGCTCGCCAAAGTTACTGTGCTCAACGGAGCCACGGGCAAGACCATACTTTAGCCACTGCATCATAATCGCTGGTTGACCACTGAGAAGCCCAATGATAGGTTCTGGCATGAGATCTAAGAGGATCTTAGGTTCGGCAGTGGGCGGATAAAGAGTCACCATTGGCAACGTCTTCTCGCTGTTGTCGTTTTCCTGGTCCTGGGTCTGACCGCTTGACAAATCCAGATCTTTGATCGTGTAACCTGCGGGACAAGCCATTTCGTACAATAGGTTAAGGTCTGAGTAGTGTCAAAATCTTTGGTGTGAACGCTGTCTGGTTGCAACCTGACTTTGTGCCGCAAGAAAAGAGGGGAATATTTCAGTCAAGCCCTCGTCATCGGGACCGAGGGCTTCAATGCCAACAGTATAGACATATTGGGAAAATTTGCCAGGATGTGTTTGGATATATCTTCTTTCTCCACATGGTGTTCGGTAAAATTGCTCTTTCTGAGCCTGCTTTTTACCATGAAACCTGTTACTATTAGAAATTGGGCTTTTTAATGGTCGAATGGTGCAGAACAAAACAATTTCCCAGTTGAATTCAGCTTGTTGGTTGTATCGCCATGACAGCATCTGGTAATGTCACTACGGACAGAGATGATCGTGGCGAAAGGCTTTAGTGAGGACAGAGATGTACGGATCAGGACCGCGAGACCCGCGAGTCACGTGTGCTGAGGCAGCGCAGTATGATTCCACGCATTTTCCTTAGCTTAGCTTGATTCCTTAGTCGTCAGCTCTATCCCCAATCCAAGTATACCGTTCGACCATCTCAATATCACGCTTGCTTTATCCCCCTTACATCAGTGATCATCGGTGAACGGTCTTGTCCCCTTCAACCACTCTTCTGAACATTGCATGAATAACGCCTTTATTACTTTCTTCTTTGGCAAGTATACTTCTTGCGCAAATAACGATCGCTAAAGTGAACGGAAGTAGGATCAGGCATTTAAGATACTTGCACACAGCTGACAAATAATAGGTGGGGAAGCCTGTCATGGCAAGGTCCGAATTGCTAAATGTCTTCGGTGTGAAGAACACTAATCACTAGACCTTACGTGCCAACAAAGCTTTATATAGATAATCATAGCTTCAAAGATTGTTTTTAAGTGGTCCCTTAGATTCAGCGCAAGTCATCCTTATCAACAAGTCCCTTTGGAGCAGTTCATGTTGATGCGTATGGGCAATGCGCTAGGCGACATCTTCATGTTGCCAGTCAACTTCAGCATTGGGTAATCACTAGTATAAGAATGACTCTGGAAATCGAATAGATATGTTGAACACCGCTCCTTATAGATTAGGAAAACTGCCAGGTGAGTGATACGTGGCTTTATCTAAATGCTATTCTTCCGTCTAACGTATTGTAGACTAATTGGATAAACATGACACTGTAGAGTCCAGTACTGGAGCAAGCTTAGGCAATAAATTAAGCGTATACAGTCAACCACTTTAAGGAAGAATCCTGTCTCCAGTAATTACTCCGCCATCTATTCCTTTGTTCTCCTGTGCGCCACGTGAGACCTATTATTCGGCCCACTCCAACCTCCTCAGAAAGCAAGAGCAGACCCAAGCTTTATTGACTATGCGCTGGCCTGAACATGGGGACGGGAAGTATGCAATTCATGTTGCGAGCGTTCTCTAGTAACTGGATTTCAGCTTTCTGGTCCACATGCTATTTGCAACCAAGATGGGAAGAAAATGGGAGGAGCTGAGCTTCGTGTGAGGGTTCTCAGTCTTCTGAGCACGAACCATACCCGTTCCATATTTTCTGTAGATTAATGCCATAGCTACGAGTATGGACCTGGCCCGTTACGAATTTGCTCTCAGCTTCCCTTGTAGAGACGAAATATTTTCACATTACGTAGCATTTCTGCCTGATTCCTCGACTATTAATATTACTTTTCATCTGCGTATACTATTCACGATATTATCGCACATTTAATTTCATTACATTTAGCCTGATTTTAGTCTGCGGGGTAGAAAGCCAAGTCAAAGCTTGTTCAACACTAGGTATAATCTAGACTAGTAATTAAGGCTTCTCAAAGCTTGGTTGATATATGATGAAGATCATTTCCAAATCAGTAGCAAGTGCAGTTCACATCCTCCTCCATTGGCTCTATCAAGCGAATATCATATAAGAGCGTTGCATCGGGATGTTGCAGAACACGCCGCGAATGTCGTAGTCTTCCGCAGTTCCCCGTACACAAAAAAGTGGAAGTTCTAGATATAATTGCTGTACTCATTCACACTTATTCTTAAATAAAACTATTAAAGAAGAATAATCTCTCAGCCTCTAAATATGAGTGAAAAAAGCAAAGTAGAAAGTTCTGACTCGAGAAATGAGTCTGCACCAACCACTTATATCAAACCGCAAGCACGTCCTCCACATGACCCTTCCGTCACATTTGAAGAGTACCACTGGTACGCTTTGCGGACTAGAGAGGAAGAAAAGAACTACGAAGCTCCTAAAACAAACTGGAAACAATTGCTCACAGGCAGGAAAGGCCACAGCCATGAAGATGGCTCACTCGTTCAGGCTGACACAGAGCGGAAGCTATCCCATGCATCGAGACGACTGGAGATCTCTGATGAAGAGTGGACGAATGCTAGTCGTGCGTTTAGGACCGCGTCATGGGGAGCTGGTATGTCCATCCTGCATTAATATGGCCCGACTAACAGCATGTAAGCTTGGTATCTCATTACCACTGACATTATTGGACCTTACAGCGTAGGATTCGCGATGGGAACGCTGGGATGGGGACCTGGTAAGTCGTCGATCTCCTCGCCTGTGACTTTGAAAGCATAAGACCCATTCCATACTGATGCTATCGAATACAAACCCACTTTGTATCATAGATCATTATGATCCAATCGTACTTAGAGCGTAATCAGTCATTGACACACAAGCCCTACCATTCAACCCTTTCTAGTCTAATCGGATCATAGGAATTGCACTTTACACTGTTTTCGGACTCATGGCAGGTTATTCTGGTTATCTGATTTGGCATGTATATTTGGGCGTCGACAGCTACGAATTTCCAGCAAGGAACTACGGGGATCTAGGCGCGCGAACCTGGGGCACAATTGCGCGACACTTCACCAACTTCATTCAGGCATTAGGATTGCTGTTGATTTTGGGGCAAGTCACCATTCAGTTTGGGCAAAATATCTCTCAGGTGTCGAAATTTCGCCTCTGCTATGCGGTTTGCCCTGTGATCTTTGTCTGTGCTGGCTTTTTTCTGACACAAATACGCACACTAAAAGCTTATGGGATTGTTGCGAACCTTTGCGTATGGCTGAATCTTCTGGCAATCTTCATAACCATGGGTGTCATTGCAAATTCACCGCCAAACTATGCAGCATCAACCCTAGGTTCAGCTGGAAGTGCTGTTGACCCCACTACAATCACTCCTGACGCATCAGGTAACTATCCAAAGATTATGCACTATGCTGCGCTCCCCAAAAACTCTCTTGTTGGCTCCATTAACGGTCTATTATCTGGTGTTCTCGCGTATGCCGGTGCTCAGCTCTTTGTCGAGTTCCTCGCCGAAATGCGACGTCCACGCGATTTCCTGAAAGCGATGTGGGGAGCACAACTATTCATATATACAGTGTACATGGTTTATGGATGCTTTGTATACCATTATCAAGGTCAGTACAGTTACAGCCCTAGCTATCAGGGGGTAAGTCCGTATGGCTGGCAAACGGTCGGAAATATGATTACGTTGATTGCCGCATTGATCGCGGCAGGTTTGTATGGCAATATTGGGATAAAAGTCTTTTACAACAACGTCCTTGTTGACTTGCTCAATGCACCACCGCTGATCGCGCGCCGCGGGAAAATTATCTACGCTGCCGTTGTGCCGGTTTGGTGGACGATCGCATACGTTATTGCTGCGGCCATTCCCGACTACTTCGGATTCGTGGCGGTCATCTCGGCTTCATGCTTACTCAACTTAACCTACACACTTCCACCACTATTTGCTCTGGGATATGATATTCGAAAGCACTCTATTCGAACGGAAGCTGGGGAAGGATTTGATCCAACCACTGGGAATGTCAATAGGGAGCAATCGACTTTTAAACGCTTGATGAGAGGATTTTTTAGCGGTGGAGCTTTCCAGGTCGCGAAGAATGTTTGGCATGTTCTCTATATTCTTGCATCATTGTCCATGTGTGGGCTTGGAATGTATGCTGCTGTGGATGGTGAGTTTTTTCAGACTGGACATTAGAAGCTATGCTAATACTCTCACTAGGCATGATAGAGGCGTTTAAGGTGCATCAGCTTAACTCGTTCTCATGCCGTTCCCCCCTCAATTTAAACGCTTAGCTCTTCGCTCAGTCAATCATATTACTCGCATCTGGGGCGACCTTGACTTTTTAAGCAGAATGTTATGGCACAGTCAAATTGCTGCTGGCTAGGCCATGGTTATTCCCGACGGGTTTTCCGCTATTTTGAATTTCATGGATACAAATACCATCAATGAATGACATGATAATTGTATGCTTTGAAAGCAATATGGCAGTTGCACATTTGCACACTATTCGCCATACACATGCAAGCTCACGGAAGGAGCTGGTAAAGGCTGTTTCGAAGGCTGGAATTTCACCTAAATCATGTCTTCTAGATTTTAAATTGAAAATACTACTCAAACAAATGTCAAAAAGCAAAACACGTAATTATCATTTTGCCAATCTGGATATCACCCTCCATGGTGATAACTCTTGGTGCATACAGAAACATCAAGGCTTGTCCAACAATGAAGTGAAGTAAGGTAAAATTCCATTACGTAAAATTAGTCAAAATCTTTTTAAGTTAAATGACGCTATCTTATTAATCATATTATCTCCCTCATCTTTTTTGTGTACGTCATGTTTTACATATGAATATCGTTCATTATGAAACTGAATCCCCTTTTATTATGGCACAAGTTTGTTCCATGGGAAGTTCCCCACTGGAAAGCCAAACAAAGCAATCATGGCCTGAAAAACTGCCTGTGCTGCAGTTAGAGGCCCCCAAGCCTCGATAGTGTCTATTGATACGAAATCCTTCCTGCATCCCTTGAAGGGAAGAGGCAGGCCGGCATGTCTGTCCTTTATCCACTGGAATGCGCCTGGAAAACCTTTGCGAATTTTTAGTAAATTTTTAATCTTTTTTTTGATTATACATGGAGTGAAAATGTCAAGTTTAAAAGCAGATGACTTACCGTAAACAGATTCAT